GAACAAATCTGCGAACAACCCCCCGCTGAACACCAACGTCTCGGCCATGAATACCACCCGTGTACCTTCCAGCTAGCCACCTCCAGTTTCTCCCATTAAAAAGAAGAACCGAAAACTCGTCGCCACTCCCCTTAATCCGCCAACCCGTTGGCTTTTGGAGCCCTGCCATTCTGGTGTATATTCCCTATGCGCTCGTCGTCAATAAATATTCATTTCCGACCGCTGTTTCCTTGTTTCCAGCATCATAAAGTACGATTTTAGAGGCAAAGGACCCTTGCTAGCCTGCCCTTACAAAGGGTGGATCGCTCACGGCGTCTTAGGCCTTACTTGGAGCGCGCACGAGGGGACGGGAGGGACTGGGCTAGGCCACGCCCCTTTTTGGCCCCCAAAATGTATTAGAAAAGACTTTCTAAAGGCTATAACTTTTTTTCGCGAAAGAATTACAAATGTTCCACCTGGCGATCGATGGAGAAGACTCTAGGAAACGAACTTGAAACGTTTTGAAGCAAAAATCAAGAGTTTTCCGTCCCATCTGCCCAATTTTCTACGTGGACTTCGCAAAGATTTATTGACGGTGCATTGCAGAAACGTTTTGCAAAAAAAGCAAAACGGTGTCGCGTCTTTTGGCGAGGGAGGAATCGAACCAGCACCCCGCGCCTGCCGCCGCCTTAGACCACTAGGCCATGCCCGTCCCCACCCCCCGTGCGCGCTCTAAGACACCGTGCGCTATCAAGCGACCCGGGCACCGTATGCGCTGCCCTGCACCTGCTGGCGCCAAAACTTTTTTGAACTCGCCACCACCTTCTCGGTTAGTACTCGGGTCCGAGCGGCAGACCTGCCGGCAAACCTTGGGGCAGACCTGCCGCCCACGATCGCCGGCAGGTCTGCCCCAAAAGCCGTTTGGCAGACGTGCCGGCAGACCTGGGGCTTGGCAGACCTGCCGGCAGACCTGGTGAGGGGCAAACGTGCCGGCATGGGCTTCATTATTGAATAATTGATTTATTTATTGTTTAAGCTTAAGCTTCACTAGCTTACAAGCCAATGAAAAAGTAGTTCCGTAGGTAGGGGATGTGTCTTCGCAGATGTCTCTGGGGGACCTGCAATTGAATAGTTAGTTTGGTTTCTATCTGTTCGTTTGTGACTTACCATACATCGTGATACGCGGAACTTTGCAGATTCCCCTGAGATTTCTTTTGAGATTTGAGTGGTTTCAAAGTTCTCGCTCACCTGCTCTGTTCCAAAAAGGGCAGCGGCCAGCGTACCTTGGCAAACGTGAAGCAACGTCCTTGGCTGGCGACTGCGCTAGCCTGCCCTAAACGTCATCGCTTAATTTACGTCCTTGTAAGGATATGAAAGTTCACTTATGCCTTTTTCCTTTATTGATCTTTATCATACCGCCGCTTTGATTTCAAAACTTACGCTCGCGTATTAGCGCGGGTACAAGTAGATTGCTAAATGGCGGCCGCTTTTCTCAAACCGTGGTTTACTTGGAAAACACTAAATATTTTGTGACAGCAACTTACTTTCTGTCCGAACCATATTCAACGAATCGTTCGGATCCAAACCAAAACCACCGCCGCGGGTAGACGCTGCTTGAAACTGCCTTTTGCTGTTACATTACCTAAAAGCGGAAAATTAAGAAACGTTTAAAAAAACCTTGGTTCTTGCGGTTGGACATAGCAGGTTTCGAGCAATCTATTGACCACGGGGTACTTGGCGACGGATCCTTGTAAGCATTCGACAGGGTTCTAGCACATCAGCAAAACAATGAAACTATCTAAATAAACTTACAATTACCTGTACAAGTCTTTTTATTAAAAAGAGACTTGGCGCGCCGAACGCCTCGCTGCGTGGGTGAGCTGGCCATCTTGGCTGCCATCATGTTTTAATCATCTGGACAAGCGCCATCAGTTAGCGAAGCATCTATAAAGATGGGATCATGGTAAACGGTAAAAAATTAACGCACCTTTCATTTCTCCGATAGCGCTAAACCATGTTCTGAAATAAGTAAGATTTGAAAAGTTTCCGCCAAAAAAATAAACCTCAATACCTTTTTCGTTTTTGGTTTCCGCAACATATACCTTTTCGTTCTTGCGATCCTGAAATCGTCTTCCACTAACCTAATCCGTAAATAGACAGAACCTGAAAGTATTACAGAGAATAAATAATACCTGTTGTAACAGTAAAAAAAATTGTAAAATAATGTGAATGAGATGAAGATGAAGAGCAGCGCGCTTTGTTCTTGAGGCTTGCCGGCACGTTTGCCACAGGTCTGCCCACCGGCCTGCCCCATTTCTGGCCGGCAGGCCTGCCCCAGGTCTGCCGGCACGTGTGCCCCGCTTCAAGTCTGCCGGCAGGGTCGCCGACCCCCGAGGCTGCCGGCACGTTTGCCCAACCCTGCCGGCAGGTCTGCCGGCCCCAAATTCTGCCGGCAGGTCTGCCGCTCCGACCCGAGTAAAGCGCCCGCGCGCGCGCCCGAAATTCGCCCGCGGGCGCGCTCACGGGGCGCCTGGGCGCATTGCTAAAAGCGCCCGCGGGCGCCCGAAACTCGAAAGCGCCCGCGGGCGCGCCCCAATCGCGTTGTAACGGCGTAGGACGGGTTCTTTTAATGCTTTTATTATTTAAAAAAGGGCACTACATAGCTTTTGACGATGCTGTACCCTATACTTAATGTAGATCTTCACGTTCCCTGAGAAATTGGTTGTATTGCGCACCTGAAATATGTTTTTTTTGCTTTCTTGGCTTTAGCTTCGTTTGGAACTTACGGATACGTTCGAATGCGCGATAGACGGCCCCTAAAAGTGTAGCTAATTACCTAATTTCCTTTTGTATACTTCGTAATTGGCACTTACTTTTTTCCCGCTTCCTGAAAACCTGCTTTGATTTGCTTCTTGCCGACGTACTTTGCAACTCCGCCCCAGAGATACCGCAAACGTCGCGCTTCCCATTTGCAATGATGACCATGATCGTCTGAAAGGTTGGCTTATATAAATCGAGAATCTGTAAATCTAAATCTGAAGTATTTTTAAAGTTTTTTGAAGGGACTGGTTGCGTAGCAAAACTTTACCTTCTTTACCTGCGCCATGGCGCTTCAAAGTATCGTATTCTACATTCGACGACCATAACCAAGCGAACCTAGTAACGTATTTGTTAATTTATATATGTTTTGAACATAAATAAGTGCATAATCCAGGAACTTAGCCGTTTTTTTCGCAGAATTGAAAGGTGTTCACCATTCAAATGCGCCCGCGGGCGCGCTCCTAGTTGCGCCCATGGGCGCTTTTTGCGCCCGGGGCGGTTTTGCGCCCTTTGCAAAATTGCGCCCGGGGCGCAAAGGGTCCAGTTCGGGCGCCTCGCGGGCGCTTTGGGTTTTCGGGCGCGCCCGCGGGCGCTTTGCTAACCGAGATTCTTGAAATAGTTTTGGAAGATACGAAATGCCGGAAAGTCAGTTCTGACGGTGCAAAACTTTGTTTTGTGATGCGATTGGGTCCGCCCCTCACCAATCTATCAAACTTCATCGTCACTTTTCCTATCGATTTTCATATTTTTCCTATCTTTTCTAGTATTTCACTACAAACCGAAATCCTACGCATTTTTTTCAGAAATGGACGTCAGTGCCCTTTCGGATCAAGATCTCCGGGAAGAGCTCATCTCCTACGGGGTCAACACTGGCCCGATTACTGGAACAACGCGCACTCTTTACGAGAAGAAGCTAGCCAACCTTCGCAAGGACGGTGTCGCAAAGCCAAAAGCTAAACCGTCGACCCCAGTGCGCTCTCAAAGCTCAAAGTCACCGGCTCGTGCATCGGCCAAAAAGGTACGATTTTTCTGGTTCGATCATATATCGCCTTTAGTCACCAACTCGCCGCTCCAACACCGGTCGGCTTGACGTGAGTGCAGATGAGGCCGACAGCGATCCTGAACATCCAGTGCCCACCTATGAGCAGGCAAGAATGACGCATTGGACCAGTATCTGTTGTTTCAGAAGAGCCCCATCACTTCTTCGCCGAAGCGCGAATCGCGGACGCCGATTCCGATACCTGGCCTCAACACTACGCATGCTCCCAGTTCAGCGGTTTGAAAGGTCTAGGTTTCATAAATTGCTTTTAGAAAAAATGGGATTCTGTCTCGGTTACGAACAAGAAGAGCCGCATCCAAGAACTCCGAGACACCAGCGCAGGCCGCAGCTCTTCGGGCTCCCAATCCACTCCAGTGTCGCAGCGCGACAGCTTTGATCGTCCCGGCGCCACGCCGCCTCGCAATTCGGCAATGAGGACCAAGGTATTTTAATGCGAGGTTGCGAAAGAAATTCTTTTTAGACTACAACTTCTTACTACACACCCGATCTCACTTCAACGGTGCGCAAGACGGTCCGCTCCGGTATGTTTCTCAAATCGGCGTCGTTGGATCTGTTAGATGTGTGCCATTCAATATTTTTTTGCAGGTGCTGGTTCCGCTTACAACAATCTTGGACATACTACCGATGAGGAGGATACGCGCGGTGAAGAATCTGAAAGAATCATTTTCCGCGACACTCCACGTTCTCCCAAGGATTCACCGATCGTGCGCCTCTGGAAACGGCTTTCTGGCAATGGTGACGAGGTTTGTTTTGGCCCTGACAATTTTCCAATCTCAAAGCGATAGCATAGGTATTTTGTTTAGTTCAAAGCCGGGCCTCCCGGAACTTACTACGACATGAAGGTCGGCGGACATCGTACCCGTGTGGAGAATGACACTCGTGCAGGCCGTATCCGTATGCAGCATCAGCAAGAAATTGTTTGTCTTGTTTCCTTTAAATAAGATTGATTTTTAGGTAAATTGGTGGGACGATATTCCGCGGCTGCTCTTGATCATCTTCTCCATTTTCTTCGTGATTCTGGCGATCGGATACGTGACATCCGCTCACCCCGACACTCTGGCCAATGGAGCTAAAGTTGTGGCCGGTAGGGTTTGCCTCTAAAAATTACATTGGATTCGTATTTTCAGCTTCGACTCGTGATATGGTCGGCTTCTTCTACCAATACCTCATCGTTCCGTCTGCTGTGCTGGCCGCCCTTGCTGTAGCCGTCATTGCCGTCTACTACACCCATCGCTACTATCGCAACTCACGCGCCGAAGAGGAGGGCGCCTTCTTCGATCTGGTGGAGAAGATTACAGGTATTGAAATTCAAGAAAAAAAAAATATATTTTCTAATCTAGACACTGTCCGTGATTCTGCTGCCGATGGCGAGGAATATATTAGCGTGCCCCATGTCCGCGATGTCATCTTCCCTCCGGCTCGTCGGTGAGTTTTTAGAGATTTTACAAGATGAGCGTATTTTTTCTGGTTTCTTACGTTTACCTTTTTAGCCGTCCCGCCGAACTGGCTCGCTGGGAGCGCGCCGTGGAGTACGTCAACGATAACGAGTCGCGCATCGCCACCGAGACTCGCCTCATCCGCGGACACGAGTGCGCCGTCTGGAAATGGCTGGAGGCGAAGAAGACCGGATGGCAAGGAAAAGGTTCGCAATTTCTTTTTATCTAATACAGAATGTGTAGCCTTCGCCGAAGCCCTTTCGCCGAACGTCCCAAAACAGGGCCTCACCAAGTTCCTAAAAATTCGCGATATGGTGGCTAACGACGGGTTCGCTTTAGTTTTCCGGTTTGCTGTGTTCTTTGCATTATTACAAGCATGTCCGAGTTCATTCGTTGATGAATTCGAGAGTCGAGGGGTTCTTCGCCCGGGTTTTTCTGTGACTATTAGCAACAATTGATTGGACGTTTTTTATAGGAGATTAGGTTCTACGAAAACGTTTGAATGTCGTTTGCTTGCTCCAATACTTATTTATAGGTCGGATCGCCTAAAGGCCGAGCTGGACATGCGCGACAAGCTGCGCCCTATTCAACCATTACATGTTGGAGTACGTTTAACTGTTTCTTGCTTTAAAATGTCTCTTTTAGTATTGTGCCGACCATAGCACTAACGAGAAGCTAATTTTCGCGATGTTCTCCACTAACGACCAGGCTCATAAAGCCTTTACTGCCCTTCATGGCGAGTGGTATTGCGGTTGGTTTTTGTGGTCAACTTTAGATAATGCTTTTTCAGGTCGCCTCATCAATGTAAAGTACGTCCGTGATATCCGTTACTTTGACCGGTTCCCGGAAGCCGCCAATTTCGAGGAATAAGCCACCGCCCTACCCCTCCGCCTGCCTTATCCATTGCTCACCGTATCTCAATTGTCCCCATACCCGTTGACCAATCTTTATTTTCATACTTATTGTCTTTGCGTTGTGCCGCGAAGCCCCGAATGCCAAAAATTACCTGCCCCGATTGATATCTCTTACCCCGAGGAATAAACTTTAAACATTTTTTTGTACGACACTGGATGAACTGTTACGCTTGCAACCGATTTTATACACTGTTTCCAAACGGTAGGGTATTCGGTGGTTCGTCGTCGAAAACAATTTATCGTCTTTGCCTAGTCCTATGTCGGAAAGAAGAGCGGTGCTCATCTTACGGGAATTGAAGAAGAATCGTGAACGCAGGCGATTTGTCGAGGATGGTGAAGGCTTCTTGATACGCCGTGACACGAACAATGCCCTCAACGCCATGGATACGGCTTTTGATGATAAGATTGTCTCTCGTCAACACGCGCACGTCACCTACCGAGACGGCCAATTCAATATCAGCGATTGGAGCACAACTGGTGTGCAAACATTAAAGCCAATAAACTAATTTAGGTACATTCCTCAATGGGCAACGGCTTCCGAAAAGTGAATCAACCACAACGACATTTTACCACGGAGACCTGATCACGCTTGGCGATCCGGGCCGTCGAGGTACTTTTTCTCGCATATATTCACTGTTATCCTAGATTGTGTTAACTTGGCCGTAACCGCATACGATGAAGCCCAAAATCCGTTGGCGGCGAGGTTGCTTGGCCCTTTTCGACAGAATTTATTTGTCTAGGCCGCTTGCCGCGTTACCGAAGTATGACAACAGTTTTCGCGTGCCAGCAGAACGCTACGATTGGAGGCCGGCACTCGATCGTGGGATCGAGGCGTTCAAATTCCATCTGGTAACTAAATAATTTCCATTTCGACATATATTTTAGCAAGGTGTTGTCGTTCGAGCCGAGCCGGACCTAGATATTTACATCATTTGCCCACCAATCATCAGCATGGAATTTGGCGGGCTACTGTTGCAAAGAGAGTCGTTAGGGCCCGGGCGGTAGTCCTTGATATGAAAATTTATGGTTTTAGTTTTCCCCCGACCAAGAACGTGCTCGAAGTTGGAGACTGGCTGGACGTGGAGGCTTTGCCTTTACAAGAAGGCGATCCGGTTTTCATCACTCATCGTGTGATTATGGTATTTTTTTGATGATTATCGCAATTGGCTATTTTTAGGTTCGCGATATATTGCCAACGCCTGTGGATCAATCAACTGTTTTTGGCCTCTATCAGGTATTCCCTTCTAAAAATCAGGTGCATTACGATGTTCAGGTCAATCTGGAATTCAATTGGCCATCTTGTGTGGAAGAAGAGGTTCACGCAAAGAAGGAGATCGTCCTAAAATCAACCCTCGGCGTTTTCGTTATCGCCCCAGCCCAACTACTCGCACAATTTTCAAGCGCCCAGTCGCCATTGGTAAACTTGTCTGCCTGTTTACAAGGACACTATTTAGACGTTCCGCGCCAAAGCGACTTGTTCTTTGCCAGATGATGATACGAAGATATGGCTCCGACTCTCTAGCGCGACCGAATTGATCGAAGTCCGGCATCCTTAGTTTTTATACCCGCCTAGATTCTACATTTGCCTAATAATTTACCTAGTCCTCCCCCTTCTACTCTAACATTGGTTACTGCGAAATGTGATATTTGGTGACCGGTGACCTTTTCATCATGTTTGTTTCGCGCATGATCAGCACTGTGATAATTCTTGCCATCGCCTTATTTAGATCATCACTCGACTGCTCAATTTTTCTTTGCTGTTTATGATTTCATCATGGATTTCCCTTTTGGCTGTTTGAAGTTTCGTTTTGAATGAATTTCCACATTTGGTTTGCAGTGTTTACGTTAAAAACGTTTTTTACAGATGACATCGTTGACATCGTTATTTGCTTAGAATTTATTACCCCTACCGCGCTTCCGTTTCGCAAATGTCGGCAGTAGAGCGTGTCAGAGAGCGAGTCTCATCAGCCTTCATACGAGCGGCTGATGCTGATACTCAACGGGGCTAGAGTTTTCGGATATTTCTTTCTAAAAGGATTTGTTTGCTCGAATTTCAGTAGACATGTTTGCCTGCAGATCAAACTATAGAGTGCTTTCCGGTACGCATCGTTGACTCCAATCAGAAAGACTGAATTGAGGAACCCATGCGAGCATATGAGGGCGAATAAAAAGTTGCCAATGGCTGACGCAGCAAGTGGATTTTAGAGTGCAGAATATCTCACCTGGGTGAGGATCGGTGGCCTTTGTGATCAAGACAAATGGAAAGTACAGCCATGGAAGCCCGGAAGCCAGTGTCGGTATTGTATTCTGCAAAATTTTTACTGTATTTTTTTGAAAGCCCCTTCTAGCACCTGGATACATAGGGTGAACAAAAATTGCTTCTGCAAGCGGCGAGTGCTTGCGCTCATATGGCTCGATTCGTTCTGGAGGATGTGAAACGAGTGGTTGATGCATGCCACGTTCTCAAGTTGTTTGGTAGCTTGGTAACGTTAGAACTTACCACGACATTATTGCTGACGGTGATGTACATCGCAATGTACCCGAACGCCTTGATGACAGAGATATTGGTGTACGGGATCGGCTGATCGGTAGCGGAATATAGAAATGGGTAGTTAGCCGCCGTGGACATGCACGGATAGTCCTAAAGGTGTTTGAGCTTCTTTGTTTCCCTTTTCGTACGGCAAATAGCTGTTGAATGCCGGGAGCCGCTGGGCCGTCCTCGAATGGAATCAACTCAACGACGATCAGTATGCTACCACTGTTGAAGAGGTAAGAGGCGAGCACAGCGAAGGCCCAACCTCGTGTCGATAATCTGCATAAAATAATTGGCGTTGAGCTTGTCGACCAACTTTAGGCGGCTATCCGGGTCTAACAGGAGCTGATGCTTGAAGGTGAACAACTGCTTCACACATTCGTTGATAGCTACAGTGAGGACGGCGCCGGATGCCTTAAACTAGGCTGTGTAAGGACAGGTCATGTGAGGTTCAGAAATCGTATGATTCTGCTCACAAATGCTTGTCGGACGCCAAACCCGAAGACTGTATCCCAGGGCCCAAGTACTCGTCCAGCCAATCCGGGAAAGTACAATTCCGGAACGATCGTGAACATCACAGCCTCAAAAGTCATTGAAATTGTCTAAAACGATATGATACGCCGAAATACTAACACCAACGTGTGTGATCAGGAATTGGACTCGAATCTCCTTCATATGGGGCGGAGTTCGGTAGAGCACCAGGTAGAAGGCGACCACGCCGAGCGGGATGCTGACAAACGGCAGTAACTCCGAGTATAACAAATACAACGTAGGTGGATCATAACAGCTAGTAATTGTAGGGAATACCGTAGCCATATTCTCCGGGGTGGGTTTGCTACTTCCGAACTGGAAAATAAGTTCTCTGGGAGGCACAAGGTATTTTAAATGTGGCTACATTTCTACGTAGGAGTCTCTGTAGTCGACTGAATGCCAAATAAAGACGCCCACATCTTTGTGCGCATGCGTTAGTTCTTGGATCCAGTCAGGTGAAAATGATTCTCGATTCTGGATTGGCTGGAACGGGAAATTTATAGGCTTCGGTTGCAGCTGCTTTGCAACGCTACACGGTATGCCAAAGAATAAAGCAGGGATCTAATATTTTTAGATTTATGATTTATGCTATCAAAAAGGCGATTCTTTTGTGTTAGGATTATTTTGCTCGATCTTCCAATTTTTATAGTTGGATAATGTTTATCAGGCAGGTTTAGGCAGGTGTTTAGATGCTTGATGTCGAGATCCGAGCGCTTGTTGTCCCGGGTTGCTACAATGTTACTGTTGGAAAAAACAGTCACTACCGGATAAACATCCCAAAGAAGGCTTGCCGGTTTCCTTCATATATGGTGGAGTTCGCGCTATTACCAAATAAAAGGCGAAAAACCCTAGAGGAATGCTGATAACTGGTAAAATCTCCGCGTACCACTGATAAAGCCACGGTGGATCATAGCAACTGATTATTGTTGGAAATACCATACTTGTGGCAGGAAAGCAGGTAGCTAGGGCATGGCCAGTAGGTTCACGTTACGTCGAAGTTAGCTCGCACAGGCTCGCAAAAGGTGAAAATCATGCTTTGTCTGGTAATCAGTTCCCTTGAATTGAGCCTGATTCCTTTTTTCACTTTCAGCTGTTTGGGCGTAATCATAGCCTGATGATCTAAGAGCATGACGTTGCGCCAAAAATTCTTTGCATCTTTTGTAGCCATTTGATAGGCCATTTTCCTTTATCAGCAGGTAATCTAAACGATTGAAAAGGTTGTGATTTTTTTTAGGAAAATTGTCTTGGCGCAGGGCACTTCAACTACAACGCTCGTTGTCAATGCACTTATCGGCTCGCCAGGTGAAAGTTGGAAGCTGACATGAGAAATGTGTACTTTGTTTCAGCTCTTTGCACACCAGGAAGCTCCGGCTCAAGAGAGACCCGACACGAGCGTGACGCTGGCAGAGTTTACAGGCGTTTTTGGACCTCTGAAAGAGATTATCGGAATTGCAGAGCAAAATCACCTGCAAATCAACCTGAAAAGCCCTCTCCTATAACTCTCATTGACGCCGATCAAAAACACGGAATTCAAGAAGCCGTTCGAGCAGATGAGCGCGAAGAAGAAGTTGTTGATCACTGAGGAGGATGGAAGGTATTTGTGCTGAACGTACTTGGATGGGGGTCGATCACTTTTGTGATCAAAATACATGGATAGTAGATCCAGGGAAGAGCGCATACCAAGAGAGGGATTAGATTCTATGGATCAGCTTTTATTTGAGTTTATGCGCTAAAACCTGGCTGCATAGGGTAATCATGAATTTCGTTTGAAGCTTTCTGGTATTAGTGCTCATATGAGTGGATTCACTTTTAAGGATGTGGAACGAATGGTTGATACAAAATGCATTCTAAATTATTACTCAGTTAGATGATCATGTTTTTCAAGTACTCACGATTGATATGGAAGTGACGGTGATGAATAAGACGAGAAAGGCGAATGCTTTAATGATCGAGATATTCGTGTAAGGCAGATTCCCATCGACCGCAGCATAAACGAAGGGATAATCGGTCAGTACCGAGAGACACGGATATTCCTAAGATTTTTTACAGTTTTATGGCCTTCAGAATACGAGGAATAGCTGTTGTAGGGCCGGGGAATCATTGCCAGATTCATACGTAACCATTTCGATGACAAACATTACCGAAAGGCTATCGAACGCCGAAAAAAATCCGGTGAATATCACCCAGCTTGTTCGCGACAGTCTGAAAGGGAAACGCATTGGAATTAGACGGAAACAGTTACTTTAGCCGGCTCTCGGGTTCTAACAACATTTGATGCTTGAAGACGAAGAGCTGTTTCACAGATTCTGTGATAGCCACGGTGAGGAAAGCGCCAGTGCCCTGTAACATTTTGCTATTTAGGCTCAGGAAAGCTTTCTTAAACTTGCGACGCGACCTTCTAGGAGTTCCCACAGGTTCCAGCTCACTAGATTTAACAGCGTAGGGGATACCCCTGGCTATCTTCCACGGCCATCATAAAACTATGGATTCACTTCCGCCCCCTTCTCCCCCTCCCCCCCCCGGCCAGCGCCGAAAAGCTTGGAACCCCTTCCCCCCCTCCCCCCCCCCCCCACCTATTTCCCCCCCCTCGCCTTTCCCCCCGATTTTTTTACACATGCGTTTAACATTTTACGCCTACGTTTAACCGGTTGAATAAACCATTCATATATGTATATGTAAGCTTTTCAGGCCAACTTACAAACGCATGCCTCGCTCCAAGCCCAAACACCGAATCCCAGGGCCCAAGAATCCGCCCAGCCAATCCGGGAAAGTAAAGCTCCGGCACGATGGTGAACATCACCGCCTCGTAGACCATTGAGATGCCCTACACTTTTTCTGATTTCACAAAACCCCCAACAAACGTGTGCTATCAGAAACTGCACCCGAATCGCCTTCATATGAGGTGGAGTATGGGCGTAAACCAGGAAGAAGGCCACTAAGCCAAGCGGAATGCTGATGAAAGGCAACACCTCAGAGTATAACTGGTAAAGCCATGGCGGATCGTAACAGCCCACCACATCCGGAAATGCGATAGTCATCGATTGCTGCCTTCAGTGGAAGCTCGCCCAGATTTACCGATTTTCAAGGGCAGTAGGGTTGTGTTTAGAGCCCTTACCAGCTGTATCTCCGGCTCCTCATGAAATAAAGCCATTTTGCAGGTGAATTCTGCGCGTAAAAGAATGCTGCACAACTATAATGAATCCCCACTACGATTTACGGGACTCCGCAATTCCGCGAGTTGCCCAAAATTCATGCTGGCTGATTTGTACGTTCATTCGCGCTTTGCATAAATTAATTTACATAAAAAGTCTCTACTATTCGCGAATTCCTTCCATTTCATTTCCGTTTTCACATACCTCTTTCCTGGTCAGTCCTCTTGTCCCGAAATGTTTTATTTACCCCTTCATTTCCAGGAAAGATGGTAAAATTCACGGCAAAGCCCAAGGATAAGGACGAAGCCTCCGATTCTGACAAGGAGGATGACGGAGAGGCAAGAATTCAACTTTTTTTTGTAATTTTGTTTAGGAGAGCTCCACATCTGGCGCCTCGAAATTTTCGTTGTTGAAGAAGAAGCTCGGCGGACGGTTGAAGCGAAAAAAGGGGAAACAAGGCAAAAAGTGGGGTTGATTTTAATTTGGACAGTCTGATAGAGGCCGTTTTTTATACCGGAAGTGCCATTCAAAACTTGAATAGCTTCCGGATTCCAAATAGCGACCAGTCAATGAGTTTTATCCGAGGAACCGAGAGTTTGATCCAAATCGAAGTTGTCAGCGTAGAAATACCGAAACCAACGATTAATTTTTGTTTATAGAACCAACGCTACTACTGATGAAGAGGGCTCGACCGACGCCGAAGCCGACACAGATGGCGAAACCGGCACAGAGGTTACTTTGCAAATTATTGGCTTCAAACTGTTTAGGGTGACGACCCAAACTCGGAGGCCGAAGACGGGGAACACCGGGCCGATCAAGAGGGCGACGCTGAAAACGTGGCCCGCACCGGCGGAAAGAGCTTTGAAAACACCGACGTCAAACAGAATGTTTTTGTGAGTTTTTTTTGTCAGTTTGGCTCGGCTGCTTAAGCCCCAAAATTAACAAACTTTAGGTGACCGTTCGAGTGATCGAGGCGCGTGATATTCGGGACAGTGGCAACCTGCGAGCACGCGTACGCTTGGACGGCAGAACAAAAGCCACGCGTGTCACCACCGAACTTCACCCAAAATGGCAACAGAACCTCAATTTTGCCCTGGAGACAACTTTGGAAAAAGCGGCAATGAAGACCATCACATTGCAGGTGAGGAGCTTGCCCGAAAAGTTTTGAATTAGCTTTTCAGGCTTATGCTGTTCGCCGTGTGTTGAGCGATAAGCTGCTTGGATCCTTCGATTGCCCAATGGCTATGGTAAGATTTCCACTTTGCTACTTATAAGCTTTTTCCAGATCATGCACCAATCCGGCGGCGCCATCCTCAACAAGTGGATTGCCCTGGCACCACCTCCAAAGGATGGCAAACGAGCCGAACGGGATGAGGATGTCGGCTTCATCAAGGTGGAGCTCTTGCCGAAGCTTTTTACATTTTTTAGGTGTCTATTGCCGTCTACAGCGCTGGCGAATCACCACCTATGTTTCGCGATGACGACGATAGCAACGACATCTTCAACTCGGCCCATTTTGCCGGATACACACTTGTGGTCAGTACAAAACTCGCCGCTTTGAAATTCGTGCCGTCTCCTAGGTACGTCTTCACCGCCTGCTCCAACTCGTCACCGAAGTGCGCGAGAACATCCAACCGCGTAAGGGCAAAGGACCCGATGCAGAATTTACCATCAAGGTGCAGTCTCCTACGCTTTGTTGCACGAATATCTGAATTCTAGGTGATTGCTGGCGATCAATCTGGCGAGACAACACCTGAATCCTTTGACGTCGAGTCGAAGTTCATCCCATTCAACGAAGAAGTTGCCCTCCCGTTCCTCTGGCCCACCGTCATCCACCGCCTTGTCTTCCATCTGATCATGACGCGCGGGAAAAAGAAGACGGTCGTCGCCCAAAGTTCCATCGCGCTGCGCGACATCTACGCTCCAGGCGAAGAAGGATATTTGCCGTCATTTGGGCCCGCCTTTTTGAACTTCTACGGCCCCGAGAAGATGCCCCAGCTCCGCCGCTTTCGCCGCAAGTTGACGATTCCGGAAACCGACAACTGCAAGTAAAGATATACTCGGTCGCGTCTTTACTTTTGGCCTAGGTTTTACGGTCGCATTTTGGCCGCAGTTGAGTGTGTCGACTTCCAAGGCGATCAACCGGAGGTGGCTATCCTTTCCCATGCCGCCGTCAAGTATGGGCTCAAATTTGAAGTGAGTGCGAATTCACTTACACAATAAACTAGCATTTTTAGCGCCTCCACCACTACAGCCTTTTTGCCACGATGACGGCATGCAACAAAATCAACCCTCGCTATGCCTCGGATAATGTCTCGTTTCTGGTATGAAATTATTAAAGCTGACGCTCCTCACTCAGTTTTAGCTGTCAATGGGAAACTACGGAAGCAACGAACGATCGTATCCGCTTCCCCGGAGCAGCACCCACCCATCGATGCCGGACTATGACGATTGCCGCGATTTCTGCATGGGATGGGGCAACCACGAGCCACTGCTCGAAATTGGCTGTCTCTGGGAAAACGTCCACCATCGGGTCGAGAGGTCCAATGCGATATCGGCGGTACTTTTCCGTTTTAGCTTATAATCCATTGTTAGGTCGCTACAATGGTTGAAGAAGTCGTTGGAGAAGTGGCGGCCCTCGGTGGACAAAAATCGACCTATGGTGGCGAGCTGGTCGTGGAAGGCCTCGAATGGGCTGGCCGCATGCTCGCCTCAATCCAACACCACCAAGCTCCCAAGCGACTCCGCTCCCACCACGATTTTCTTCACCAGGAGACCCGGCAACGCATGATCGCTGAGGTTGAGTTGCCTAAAAATTCGAAATTACTGTTTTTGAGATTCGTGAAGAGCTGCTGTCGCTCAAGGATGAACACCTGCCGCTCGAGAAAGCTGTGGAAGAAGGTACCCGTTGTCTGGCCCGTGCCGCACTTTCACTACGGTAATTTGAGAGCAGATTTCCCAAAAATTTGTGAACTTCTTAGCAAATTGGCTCGTGATGCTGAATGTACCTTGCCTGATATCCTCATCAAAATGGTGGCTTCGGAAAAAGTCGTCGCCTACGCTCGCATTTCTCCAGCAGAGGTATACCGGCCAAGTATTTTTATTAGAACAATCCTAGATCATGCATTCGGAGGAAGCGGAGGCTCTTGCCGGACGGTACTGCGGTCTCGTACGGCCCGTGCAGTTGATGTGGATGGATGGCGCCGTCCGGAAGAAGTCACAAGATGATCAAGTGCCGGCCGTCTTGCACATCAAAATGTGGATGGGCCGACACAAAAATGGCGCAGCCTACATAGGCGAGATGAAGCCTGCGGAGCCGAAGTGTTTTTGGGAGGTCTACCACTATCAGGTGCAGAAAATCTGTTTGCTTACCACTTTTGTTAAGACAAGAACTACTAGCCTGAACGAGTGGGGAACGCTTGGGTACTTCGACTTTCGCGGGCACATCGTGGACCCACTTCAAGGACCAGTGGTTCCGGATGGTTGGCTTTATTCGGTAAGGCATGATTTATTACATGATTACCTTTGAATTAGGGAGATTGGCAAGTGCGCAACACGCACGAGCGCTGGATCCCATCCGAGAAAGGCCGCGTCGTCTACGATGACAAGCTGTTCGAACTACAAGAACGAACGGCTGAGGGGTGGGTCATGACTAGTTTTCGGCGATTATCTTTTTAGGTGGACTTTCGTGGCGCATACGGATGTTTGGGGCGCTAAAATCTCGCAGAAGACGATGAGCACGGCTCCGAATGGTGGGAACTTGATACCCACATTGACTTGATGGTTACGTTTTGAAACAATCCCGAATGATTTAATAAGTTAATTTTCAGGGTGGAAATACGAAGGCTCCTGGGCTCGCGACTTCCATTCCACCGGAGACAAAGAGGGCTGGATGTACTCCGTCGGCGGCCAGTTTGACGGCTCTGAAGCGAACGAGAGGGCTGAAAGGTCTGAAATTAAAACAGTCCGAAGAAAGCTTTTAGACTCATTCACATGTTCCGCCGACGTGTTCTGACTCGAACGCGCAAGCGGCGAGATGGAAAGCCCAGTACTAGCGGCAGCATCTTGGACGTGCAGGCTAACATTGGAATCGATGACAACTGGGAGGTAATTGGTGATTTTGGTTTCGATCGACGGTTTAAAAAAATCTGATTTCGTTGCGATTTTATTTCTATTGGGCGTTTTTCAGTATGCCACCAAACAAAACGGCGTCTTCCACGACAAGTGCATGCCAGGGGACCGCGCACGTCGGCGTCGTTTCGTTGCCCCTGTCGTGAAGAACGAGTAAGACGACTGAATTTGGTCATGTGTACCCCTCCCTTCTAGCGACCCGGTGACCAACTACAACGCGATGCGCCAGTTCGAGATCCACGACGTCGTCTCTCAATGGCAGCTACGTGCCTATGTCTTTGGGGCAAAGATCTGCTGCCCGTGACGAAGGACTTCTCATCGAGGGCCTTTGTTCGCTTCTCCTACCTGCACCACACCAAACAAACGGCTGTCGTGGATCGTACGGCGAATCCAGTCTTCAACGAATCGCTGGTTTTTGACAAGGTATGATCTTAAAATTATAAAAATCACCGATTTGTGATCAAAACTCCGTTTTTAGTCGGTAGTAGTAGAGTTTAAAGGTATATGAAAAATTTCCAGTTATTGATCCCCGGCTCTCACAACACCATCATCGACTGCCCTCCATCCGTTTTTGTCGATGTCCGAGGAGAGCGACACGATGATTCTGAAGTAGGGGTTTCCCCTTGATGCTAACAACTTCTATTAGTGCTTCCTCGGCCGCTTCACAGCTTCTCCGACCGTTATCTGTTCTGCAACGGAACGACGTGCGAAGATGCGCTGGTTCACCCTGTCTTTCGGCCAAGGCCGCACCCGGTAATAGATTTTCTAAAGTCATTTAAACCCTCATTCTAGTGGCTCGTTGCTGTGTGCCTTCGAATTGTTCCTCCGCGACACCAATCACAAAGTCGAACTGCCCCTGATGCCGGCAAAGAAGAAGACCAGTGGCATCGAGGTGAGCTTGATTTTCAACTCCCGCTCAACGACTTTTAGGTGCCGGCCGAGTTGCGGCCCAAGTTTTCCAAGTACAGCGTCCAGATGCTCTGCTGGGGCGTCCGCAACCTGCAGCGCCACAATGTGGGATTATTCGGAATATCAGTGTTTTTCGCCGATTTCTGGCATGCGCGAAATGCTAGTAATGCCAAAATACTGAAGATTTTTGGAGGTAAAAACCGTTCCAATCGAAGGTTTCGGACGGCGAGCTTAGCGAACTCTCAAAATCCTTTTTCAAAACGGTATTTTAGTTGCTGACGGTCCGCCGCCCTTTCATCTCGATGATCTTTGGCGATTCTGATGCAAAGCTCCGCCCATTGCGAGATGTCAAGGATAACCCGAACTTTGACGAACCCCTCGTCACCTTCCAAGAAGTCATGCTCCCGGACGGTAATCGAAGAATTGCCGCTTCAAAATTTATTTTTCAGAGCTGGAGCTAGCTCCGCCGCTCGTGCTCAACCTGCACGATCAACGAGCTTTCCGGCGCCAACCGCTCGTCGGTGTCTGTCTGGTTAGCGACTACCGCAAATACGTCAAAACAGCTCGAATCCAAAAGGTTAGCGGCGAGATACTTTGTGAAATTTTGTTTTTTACAGCAAGACCAACTATCTGACGACGGCTGGCAGCAATTTGAGGATCTGGTTGAGCTAGAAGATGCTGCGGATGCTAAATTACCGAAAGGTAGACGTTCAGGTTAACGTAATTCTTTGATTTTAGTGGTGAATGACGAACATTTGGGCGATTATCGCATCGACTGGTGGAGCAAGTTCTACTATTCGGATGGCCACTCCGAACGCGCTCCTGGTTTCAAAGAGTTTGTCGTTGGTGTATTTGCGTTCATTACAAAAATTCCAGAACCGGCATCGAATCGCTGCGCATCTTCCCATGGCCACTGGAAGACACTAAGGAATACGGGCGCTTCAAAGACTTCCTCGACACATTCCAGTTCAAGAAATCGGCACGAGGCATGTGATGTTAGCCCTGCAAAAACGCGTGGTTTTAGGCCACTTTGATGATCATGAAGAGAAGGAATTGACGGGAGAGCTGAAAGGGCGCCTTTTCCTTCGAAAATATGAAGGAGAAAAAGCGCGTAAGGGCCTTCTTTTCCAAGACAGATTTTTTTTTCTTTAGCCGCTTTGGCTCAACCGTCTGGCGTCGAATTTCCTGGAGTGACAGCGTGCCGTGTACGTCTCTATGTTGTGGCTGGTGGGCCCTTTTTGGTGTTTTTTGAACCACTGATTTAGCCACCGGCCTCATCAACAAGAAAACGAACCGCGCCTGTGACTCCTACGTGATGGCGCGAATTGGGAAGAAGAAGGTTGGAGTTTATGAGTTTTTACTGTCTTATTTCTCTGGCGTAGTGTAGCGTATTTTTATAGCTTCCTTTTTTAGATCAGCCGCATAGCCAGCTACTCCCCGGACAACGTTGATCCAGAATATGGAGAGGTTGTGATGGCCCTTCAAAACCTTCAAAATCGGATTTTCCAGTTGATCGAATTTGAGGTTGAACTGCCGCTCGAGAAGGACTTGGTGATAACCGTCATGAATCGCCGGCGCATCATCCGTGATGAGGAAATCGGCTCCACAACGATCGATCTCGAGGACCGCCTTTTGACGCGTCACCGGGCTACTGTAGCCCTCTCGCAGCAATACACCACAAAGGTATCAGGGCTTCTGTGTTAGCGGGGGTGCTAGGACATTTTTTTCGATGCGCTTGAGGGGCTAGGATTTAAATGTCGGGTATTTCCGACGTTTATCACTGTTTTTCATAAAGTAAAATCTTGATTAGGTCACACAGGTTCCGAAAAATTGTGATTTTTGTCGAAGATTAGTGAAAAATCGGGAAAATTGGTCAAAAACTTCAGAATTTTAAAATCTTATAATGGGGCTTGATAAGTTTATACCTATTTATTTTTTAACTTAATTTTTTTTTACTATTTAACTACATCTTCAGGGCGATCTGGTGTGGAGGGACCAACTCAGCCCCCTCTCCACCCTTCGTCGATACTGCCGTCGGATGCAACTCCCACCACCACGTTTCCTTGGCGATGCCTATCCGAATCTGGGACTTGAGGTGCATTGGATAAGTTTTGTGTTCAACGTTTTTGCTTTCAGGTGCTGGGCGTCAAATTCATGATCAGCGACATTGAGCGCGAGCCAACGCCCAGACCCCGGGTTGGCAGCCCGGTGCAGCGAGTGGCCCTCTTTGTACTCCACAAGGTAACAATCGCGCCGCTTTTCCAACTTTTCCGTATTTTTTAGATGGGTCTGGTGCCTGAACACGTGGAATCCCGCCCACTTTTTGACAGCCATGGTGGAAAGCAAGAGGTATTTTGCGATAGATTTCACCACTTTTATCAGGTGGGCCGCATCCGCTGTTGGGTCGACATCTTTCCCTTGGATATCGGTAATTTCTAGCCTGACCTTCAAAAACCTTAACCAAATTCAGGCCCTGTACCCCGCCCGATTGACATCTCCGTCCGCCGCCCAGAACAATACCAAATCCGCATCGCCATCTTCAACGTGTTCAACGCGGTCGTCTGCAAGCGCAACTTCCAACAACCATGTGGCGATCTTTACGTCAAGGCATTCCTCAATGGCCAGAAAAAGGGGCAAAAGACGGATGTTCACTACCGGTAGTTTCGTCGTTTTTTGTGCTTTACGCTCTTTCCCTGTTTAGAGTGCTCGACGGCTTTGCATCTTTCAACTATCGATTGATCCTCGATTTTGATTGGAACCCTTGGGAGAAGAAGATCTACGCCAAGGAGAAGAAACGCCTCTTCAGGTAGGTTTTACCTTCCTAAAAAAACTGGGCTCCTTTTAGGAAATCACGCACCGAACTGACAGACTCGTTGCTGATTCTACAATTGTGGGACAACAACAAGTTCAGCAAGGACACCCTCCTTGGCGAGCTGGTCGTCGATCTACAGGGTTTCCAAGGTGCTCTCTTCCTTCAATTTCATTTCCAGATTTAATTTAACTAAATGACCTTGATTGAGCATGAGCACGAGCAAGACTTTTGTTTGTTATTCCTCTATTTTCAGAGGGTATGATGGACCCCGATGAGATCCAAGCCGTCTACTACCCGCAAGTGCGCTACCGTAACCTTTGCGCCCGGTGTTGCCGTTGGTCGTGGGCGAGACGCCCGGCTCTTTGCTGCAACCGGAAACGGAAGGAGAAGCTCAAGCTCAAGGAGACGATCCCGCTCCCCAAGGCCCCGGTGAGTCAAATGGAGCTGCTGAAATCGGGAATTTTTAGCTCTACAAACCCCCAAACAAGGACGACCCCTACTTCCGGCCCTTCGAGGGCGAGACACTGCGCGGCTACTTCCCGATGCTCCGCAAAGGGGCCGAGCTGCCAAATGAACAGGTCGGATTTTTGACGAGCTTGGTCACCTTTTTTCCTAGAAAGTCGACCACGACGCAAAGAAAAAGAAGAACGACGACTACGCGGTGCTCAACCCCGACAAAAACTATGTGACTGGTATGCTTGTACTCCAATTTTCAAGATTTCTCATCTCTAGGAGTGGTCGAAATGGAGGTGCAGCTCCTTCCGAAGCACGAGGCAGATCGTGAGAAAGTGGGCTTGAAGCGGAAGAAGCCAAATCATGTAAGTATTTTCAGGATCATCGATTTCAAGAGCGTTATGATTGATTGAGTTAAAAATTTATCAAAAGTGAAGTATTTATCGAAAAAGTCATTTAATTTGTTTAATTTTTCTAGAGCCCAACCCTCGAAAAGCCCGACAGATCGACGTGGGATTCTCACTGGTTGCTATCTCGGATCCGCCCGGCTCTTCGTCACTTCTGGCATACCTGGGGAAAGGTAGGAGAATTTTCGAAGACTCTATCTCCTTTTCTAGCCATTGATCGTCTGGCTGGTGATCATCCTCTTGATCGTACTCGTCGTCGCCTCAATCCTCTACAACCTGCCCCTCATCCTCGAGCGCGTCTTCGCTTCGATGGCCGAGCTCATCACGGGCGAGTGACGCTGTTCTTCTACAACCGCCCGAGCAACAGATTAAACCCACGCTTAAAATTCGTTAAAAAATACGCTGTCGTTGTTGTCTACACATTACTTGCCCAGCACGTGCTTTGCACCTCGATTAAACGGTCTCCGATATTTGTGCCATATATTTATGTATGCTTACCCCAGTGTCCGTCATGTGATTATTGCTATATTATTGGACGGGTTAATAAATGTTTTTGTTGGTTTTGAAATGGCGAATATGATAATCTGATAAGCTGCGCAGTAGAATCATCTACAAAAATACTTTTTAGGCGTTAAAGGAGCCTGGCAGGAACGTTTAACGCTGTGGACTTTGTTCGAGGTACGAGCATGAGGCCGGCCATTTTTCAAAGTTTAAAAAATGAAGTATGACCCAAAGATGCCGTTCCTCGATCTAAAAGGGCCTGCTATTCTTGGGGTTGCTATTTATCCGTGCAAACAAGCAGAGAGTATCTTTGCGGACCCTTTAGCCCCCACAGCGGCCGTCACAGACACCGCTTCCGCTAGTCGCTCAAGTCTGAATGGCGACGAGGGCTTGGCCATGGCCCTACCCTGGTCGCGGCTTGGCCCCCAAAAAGGACCCACCCTAATCACTTCTTGACACTAGCTAGCTTCCATTCAATCGGCAAAAAGGATAACCTATTGTTTAGCGGCTTCAAGACTTTTTCTTGTGAAAACATCGTCTATAATTAAATTAATTTTCGGCTATATGTTAAAAGGCAAAAGGTTAATAAACTTCTAAGGAACTTTTCTTTCCAGGACTTTTAAATCTGGGTAAATCGATCACACCAGATAAGTTCCCGAGCAGCAGAATAGCGTTTCTAGCAGGTTCTAGCAGTTTAAAAGCTAATCAAAACACTTTAAAAACACTAAAAATTCGAAATTTTGGCAAAAAATTTCTCGAAAATTTATTTTTTTTATGCGACTTCTATACTTGAAACGTCTTCAAAAGCTAAATAAATGGTGTGTACATATTTCATGGCTGGGGCCCTTACAAGGCGGAAGGCCAAAGGTCGGGTCCCCCGGCTAACAGTCCAGTACCGTTTTCTAATATGACTCTCCCTGCCGAACCCTCATCCTCAAAAAATAGCTCGTCCTCCTCCTTGAGCTCAATTCAATGAACTTTTGGCGCGGTGGGCTGAATGTGGATGAGTGTGTATGTATGTGAATGTGGGTGTGGGTATGCGTTGTCGAGTGGCGGATGAGAATTCGCGGGACGAGAAGCCAATCGAATTTGACGGGCCATCCCGTGCCCTAAAAAGTGCCCCCCCCCCATCCCACCCTTCCCGCAGCGCGGCTCACAATCAGCCGTTTCTGAGTGAGTATTGGGGGGTTGATGTTGTGGCATTGGGAGTGTGTGCGTCTGTCGTGAAGAAGCGGCGAATTTTGTTTGTAGTATGGATGGCAGAGGAGAGTTGAGAAGTCGATAGGAGCAAAGAAATAAAACATTTGTCGTTTTCTTAAAATTTTTACAACTTTAAACTTTGAAAACTTCTTTTCAAGAGGTCTTTCTCATTAGCGGGGGTAAATTGACGAAAAAAATTTTATCTTAGTATCAAGTTTTTTTTTGTTTAGCTAGAGTAAGTGTTTCTAATCTTTTTTTTTGCTATTCTTAATCGTAGAAAACCTTTACAAATTTCTATTTTACAAGATCAAAAAATGCAGATTTTTGGGTGTTCGAAGTTTTTAGATGGTTTTCCCGCTTATTTTAAGCCAAATTTTAATAAGAACCTTAAAGATACATACTTCACTCGGTTTTTCTCGACTTATAAGAAAAATACTGTCTCCCCCCCGATAATGCAAAAGAACCGAACTGAGGGTTGTTGTTACGATTTTTCATTTTCAATGATTTTCCAAAATGTTAAATTCAAAAATTGGGTGTTTTTTAATCTGAAAACTTTAGAAATTACTATAAAAATGGAACCAGAAAATTTCTGTTCCCTCTGCTAACAGTCGAGTACCAATTTTTGTATCTAATTGAATCTGGCGAAACTTTTTTAAAGGATACATTTTCTTTCAGTTTTTTAGAGGCATTGTAGTTTTAGATTTTCACCCTCCCCCCCGATATTTCCGCACACCTGCCCTCCCGGAAGCTTCTCGTCGGGCCACCCAATATCTCCAGGGGGTGAACGGCCGATGCTTTTGAGATGAGATGAGATGAGTTGTGCCGGCGGGGAAATATTTGTCGAGGGGGAGGTTGAGACGAATCTCGGAGAAAATGGCTGCTGCTTCTCTGGGCTTCTCCTCCTGCTCCTCCTCCTCCTCCCTTGCCTTCCTTGTGTGGCCCGAGTGCCGACTGAAGTGCGACAAATTTAATAGAAGGCCCTAGGGGGGGGGGAGACCCTGGGGAAGAAGAAGAAGAACCGCCACCACACGCAAAAGCCCTGGCCATTTTTTAGTATTGTAGCGGATTGATCCGGAGCTCCAGACCGTCGAAAATAAGTCGCTAGGCACTGGTTTGTTAGCGGGGGGGGCGTCTAGCTTTGGCCTATCCCCTGAAGGGGACCCAATTATAAAGTTTAGAACATTTATCTAGGGTTTGGCGGCGTTTCTGAGTAATAAAACCTTGTAAAGATTATTACAATTTTTGTCAAGATAGATTTTTGTTAAAAAAGTGAAAAATTCAGATTTTTATAGTCCTTAAATTAATTAAAAAAATTTCCAAGCTTTTACACGAAAAAAATTATTTTTGGACCAAAAATGGCCGTTTTTTATGAAAGGTTGGGATTTTTCTAAATTTTTTTGCTAGTTTTCTAGTTGAAATAGAGTTTTGTTTTACTCTAAAAACAGTTACTGGGCATTTCTAGAATTCTACAAAAAATCCCCCCCCCCCGATAAGGCGAAAGATACCCCAGGTTTTGTTGCGATCCGCTCCCACGCTCCCCATCCGCCCCCTGAAGCTCGTCTAGATAACTAAAAGCCCGTGCTAAAAGCCAGGCATCTATGCTAGGTCGAATGATGAGAAGTGGCAGGTTGATGCGGTGGATGGGGCTACCGTAGCCGAGGGCTGCTACCCGGCCCCCGCAGCATCTTTTTGATGTGAGCGCGATGAGGTCCACGATCCCACGCCTCGGCTCTGGATTTGCATGGCCATTTCTGTGAAAAACTTGGGGATGCACACGTTCCAGATTAGCATCAGGGATTTGGGGTTGGGGTTTCTTGGGCGGTGGGACCTGGCAAGGCTTGAGAAATCAAGCTAAAAAAAACTAGCGTCAAGTGTTTTCCTCGTAGTCATACTTTTTTTAGTTGTGGACTACAACGTCTAAGCGTGCCTTTTTAGATCTTCGTGGGAGCTTTCGCGTTATCGGGGGTTCTCTTTTTCTAACTTTTTCCTCTCTAATATTTTTCTTTTTCACAATTTTTCTAATAGAAATAGAGCAGTGTTCCTAAGCCGTTTTTTACTATTCCTAAATCTCAAAACGATAATTTTGGTTAAAAATACCAAATTTGCGATTTTTTTGGAACAAAATTTCAAAATTTTCATAGAATTTTAGATATTTTTCCACTGTAAATAAAGTTAAATTTTACTAAGAACGTTCCTAAACTAGGTTTTTCTGGATTTAGGAAAAACAGCACCCCCGATAATGCGAAGAACCGAAATCTGAGCTGGCTTTTCAGGTGTTTAAGATTTTTTATTTCGATTTCGCTAGGGTTTTTCGTTTAGTTTTAGCTTAAAGTTTAACTTTTATAACCCTGTTTTAGATTTTGTCTTCTTTTCCGCGAACTTTGAAGTGCATTTCATTTATACAGCGTTCCCCCTTCGTCCTCTTAAAAAGCCGGAAATTTTTTGAAGGAGCCGTGAATGTTTATGGACGCCAGCATTCCGGAGCTACTTCCTAACGTCTTCCACTCTGCAATCAATTTTTCGCAAGCGGTTTTTCGACCGTTTAATACGGGTCATTTCCAGTCCCAAAAATTTGGCTTTATTGAGCAAGCCGGGGTCAATTGGCCGCACGAAATGTGACCCGAAAAAATGGCGGAGATGGCCCGAAAAATGGCCATTTCGCGCTCGCTTCCATGCATTCATCAGTGGATGGAAGAACATTGCCAATACGAAGAATAGTTTTATTTTGGAGAATAGTTAAATTGCGAACGAAAAAATTAGACCTAACCTAAGCCTGAGCCTAAGCCTAAGCCAAGCCTCAGCCTAAGCCTAACCTCAGCCTGAGCCTAACCTGGACCTAAGCCTAAGTAAGGGCGTTCTCTTTTTCCTATAGACGCCGTGTGAAATGGGAAAAGATCTAGAAGAGAGCCCCAATTTGCGAGTGCTTATCTACCCGTGGGGCCCCGGAGGGCAAATGAGTCTTTGACCACACACCTAGCCGGCCACTTCAAAACAAAAAAAAACTCTCATTGAAGCAGAAGCTTAGGCCTAATAAGCAAGTTGAGCCAAGCCGAAGCTTATCAATCCAGTTGGGTTCTATTGCATTATCAGGGGGGGGGGTGTCAAAGGGGGAAACCAAATTTTTCTTAGGATCCCATTTTCTAATAGAAAGTCATTTCTAATATAAGACTGTTTATAAACTTCTTTTACTATTTCTAGATGTAAGGACTTTACAGATTCGTCTTAAAAAAGACAAAAATGGCGATTTTTCGACCAAAAAGGTTGATTTTTTACCAAAATTTTGACTTTTTAAACTTTTTAAGGTATTTTCCGCTTGAAATATGGTTAAATTTACTAAAAACACGATTAAAACACTTACCATTACTTTACTAGATATTTCTATACTTATGCAAAAAAGTGTCCCCCCCCCGATAATCCAAAAGCACCCAGTATTTAGTATTTGTCGGAAATCGCGGAATTTTCATGTAAAAATACCTCACCTTGATCGCTTCATTTTACTCTTGCTCTGTTTGTCTGCAAACACTTGTTAAGGCTCAATTTCCACAAGCTTCTTCTTTTTCTTCTTCTTCTTCTTCTTTCCCTTCCGGCGCATGATCGGCCAAAATGTTGCAACAACTGTCCCGGCCTCTTTTCTTGGCTTTTCCCCAGCATCAAGCCAACCCAAGAAAAAGCCCGGAAAAAGAGCTCTTTTTAGGGGTCAACACAGCCGAGGCTTCCCCCCCCGGCCTTCCCCCTTTAGGCGACAAATTTGGGCGGGTACCCCGCCTTTTGCATATCCCGGGCCCTCGATTCAGCGCTGCCGAATTCGATTTGCACGAATATTTTTTTTGCGGTGGCTGGGGAAACCCAGGTGGGATGCTTTTGGGTTCCTGAAAGCGTAGGAGTTGAAAGGGGCCCTTTTTCAAGGAGCTGCTTCAATTTTGAAATATTTGCGACGTTAAAAAATGGCCCCAGATTCTTGTACATACAAAAGGTTTTTAATATTTGGTTTATTTCTATTATAATGTCGAATCTGTATAATCTTCTAATATTCTCTTTTTATATTTTTTTATTGTACCGAACCGGGTGCTTTTGTATTATCGGGGGGGGGCACTTTTTCCTAAGTTTTAATTTTTCTAATATAAATAAGGGAAGCATTGGGTGAAAATTTCCAAAAAATGTGGATTTCCGACCAGAATAAAAATTTAGAATTTTTAAAAGGTTTTGAAAAGTTTAGCTAGTTTTTTAATCTCGTTGAAAATATGGTTAAATTTGACAATAAAAACACTATTAAAATACTTACTATTAGGCTGCAATTATTGCTGGACTTATAGGAAAATCTCGCCCGGTAATGTGAAAGCTCTGAGTTAAGTTTGGGATTTAGAAATATCGTTAAAAAGCTTACTGATTTTATGGAATCTATTTTATACTTATACTTCATTTACATTTAGTTGTATTTACCAAAACATTATTTAAATGTTCTTCCCGGCTCTAAGCCTTTTTTGAAGCGTTCGAAAAAACCACAACGTTCAGAAGCCACTCGCCATCCCCTTCCGGCCTCCAGATCTCTCCAGAATTCATGACAAAACCGTCTATCGGCCCCCCTTAGCATCGGCTTGCTTTGTTTTTGCCACCCGTCCGACAACCGGCCAAATTGGGCCTATTTCGCCGCGGGACCTTACGGCTTTGCTTTTTCCACTTTTATGTCCTCAATGCCTTGAGATAACCTCTATTATGCCGATCTCAAATCATTCTTTTAAGTCCTTCCAACACCTATAATATCCAATTTTCAGCCCAAAAATCCTGGAGCCCCATCTCGTCCTCCTGCTGCTCCTGCTCCTCCCCCTCGATTTTTGGCTCTCGGCCGTTTGCCAGTTGGCTAGGTAGCAGTGATTCTTTGAGAATATTTTTACCTGTTATTGTAGAACACTCTTGATAGCAGTTTCGTTATTGAAAAGCGGGATCCACCGAGCCAAGAGGCCGCCGGGCCCGGGGCTGCGACCCTGTAGAGGTACTGTAGTTGGCGCGATTTTTACCTGGATTTAGGGTCGGTAGAGCGGAGAAGCGATGCTCTACAGCCATGTGACGCTTCTGATGCTTCGCGTGGTGGATGTGGTGGCCAAAACGACTGTGCAGCAGAGTGCGAGAATGTTGGTGGCCGAGATACCCGGAGAGATACAGGCAAGAAATATCTTTCTGATCGTCTTGACTTTTCAAATTTTATGGAAAATCCTGTTTTTGCGTAATTTCAATAAAAATTGTAAACTTTTGCGTTTAGATTTAGGGCGTTTAAGTTGTTGTTTAGGTAGGTTGGAAACAAAAACTGTTTAGCAATATTTGGCTTTTTATATTAGAAAAACCGGTTCCTAAGGCAAAAAAGTCCCCACCCCCCGATAATGCCAAAGCACGAAATAATTTCTTTTTCCAGATCGGCGCCCTTTTCCCGTTGCACCGACAAATGGCCGGCGCCGAGGGCTGCGGCGAGATCTGGGAGCAGTACGGTATTCAGAGGTGCGTTTTCTTATTATATTTTTTGTAGTTAGGATGAGGAGGAGAAAGAGTCCATTTATTTTATATTTTCTTTAGAACCGAGGTGGCCTTAAAAACGGTGAAAGAATGGAACAAGCGACTTCCGTTTCGACTAGGCATCACAATACGGTAATATCTAAAGTTTTTTTAATGTAATTTTGGGTTCAGAGACACTTGCTGGAACGACCGGATATCGATGGAGCAGACGATCGCCTTTCTCCGCGAGGGCATGTTGACTTCAGGTAAGCAGTTGTAGTTCGTAGTCCAATTTTCATCATTTTCCAGGTTTATCCCAGTGTCCATGCTGTCAGACGCCCGGTTGCAACCGGAAAACGGTGCCCGTTGTGGCGGTGGTTGGCCCTGGAAAGAGTTCGGCGACGATTGCCGTCCAGAATTTGCTACAGGTTGCGATCAACGATATCTGTCTGCGCGTTCAAATTCGAAAAATCTACAAAAAAATTATTTATTTAGGTGTTCCGCATCCCACAACTCGCCTACTCGGCCACCACCCCCGATTTGTCGGATAAGGAACAGTTTGGATATTTCATGCGCGTCGTCCCCAGTGATGTCTGGCAGGCCAAGTACGCGCAATTCCAATAAACGCTGCTAGTACCGAACTTTCCAGGGCCATCTATCGAATTCTGGAGAATTATAACTGGTCCTACGTCGCCGTGGTTTATACCGTAGGCAAGTATTCGATTTTAAAGTTTGAAGTTTCATTTAAAGTTGTTTTGAGAACTATAAACCTAGCAATTCAATTTTTAGGAAACTACGGTGAGAAAGGTTTTGCCGAGCTGCAAAGTATGAGCCTCAACTCGTCGGCCGTCTGCATCGCCTTTTCGGAAAAAGTGAAGAGTCTCGCGAATCCGGAGGAGTTTCAAAAGGTAGGGGTTTTCTAAGTCGTAGATTAATTTTTCAGATCCTAATCACAATCCACGAGCAAAGAGTACGACCTCAAGTCGTCGTATGCTTTTGCGAGGGGATCACGATGCGCGGGTTTCTAAAAGCCCAAGAATTTCTGCGAGGTCACTATCGCGGGGAGCGTGATGTGAGTTTCCCTTTTTTTTGTATAATATCAACTTTTTGACGTCGAAACCAGTAAAACCAGCAATTTCCAGTTCTCAAAATTCCAATGGATCGGCTCGGACGGGTGGGCAGACCGGAAAGACGTCATCGACGGTCTGGAAAATGAGGCCAACGGCTCGTTCTCGATCCGGATCCACTCGCCAAGGGTACGGTACCCGGGTCAGCCGATAGCTTTTGTAGGTTCGCTCCTTCGATCAATACTACATGGACCTAAATCCGGAAAACAACACGCAAAACCCGTGGTTCCGCGAGTTTTGGCAGCAAAAGTTTAACTGCACGTTTTTGATCGCCAAGGAGGAGAAGAACAAGGTGAAAAAAGTTATTTGGACGTAATTTCCGTTTAGGTGGACTCGAAGCAACTCTGCACGGGTCAGGAGAGTTTGGAAAAAGGATATGAACAGGTAGAAACATTAAATTTTCTTGTAAAAAAGCTCGTTTTAGGACCCAAAACTGTCGCAAGTGATAAATGCTGTAAATACAATTGCCAGGGCATTATTAACGCTATATAACGACAAGTGAGTCGATACGCTAGAGGTAGACGCACTTTTGCAGATGCAAAAGTATCAACAAGACCGATTGCGCGGATATGATGTCGAAAAACGGGACATTACTGTACGAATATATGAGAAATGTGACGTTCACGGATGAATACCGACAGGATATATATTTTGACAAGCGTGGAGACCCGCCGGCATGGTAAGAATTGAGACTTTTAGAAGATCTTTTTATTGCTGTGATATTATAGAGTTCATATAGGTTTTATAAACGTTTAGGTATGATATTTTGAACTACGCGGGCCCGAGAATTGGCTACAGAGATGTTGGACGATTCAAGGGTGTTAAAGAGGGCGAAGAGGTCGGTTGAAACTGTGAAGATTAAGCTTTTTTTAAAGCTGAGAATCGTGGAAAAGCCGATCTTTGTGACGGGGAATCAAGTGCCGGAAAGTGTTTGCAGTAAGCCGTGTCGAGCTGGATATAGGGTAGGTAAAATCATAATCGTAATAATAATCATAGCCGTAAAGTTTAAACTATAGTAATATGTTAGAAACGCGTAACCGGGGCTTGCTGTTGGATCTGCGAAAAGTGCGCCGACAACCAGATTGTCAATTCGACGGTGAATGAGTGTGTCGACTGCCCGATCGGGTTGTGGCCGGATGCGAATAAGACCGGTGAGATACAAACACAACGTGTTTATGTTAAATAATATCTTATCGTTATTGTTATCTATTTATTCTAGAAGCAAATTATAAAAAACTCTAGAATTGCTCTTTAATAAAGCGCGATGGCAATCTTTCTAGCGTGCTACGAGCTCGAAATCGAGACCTCCGTTGATTGGACCGACCTCGGCGCTGTGGTGGCCATCATTTTTGCGGTAAATCGTCATAGAAACTTTTTAATAATACCTTAAAGCTTCTGAACTTCTCAACTTTGTCCTTTCTCTTAAGACGTTGTTTTCTGGATGTTTAGGTGATTATTAGCGAAAAATGACTTTTTTACGGTTTTCCCATCGGGTCTTTGGATATTTCGGATGTTTTCTTTATGATACTAGCAATCAAAATATTTTTATTGGCTTCTAAGATCTGTATTTTTATGGCTCTTAGGTTATTTATTAACAAGATTTAGCGAAAACTGACTTTTCTACACTTTTTCTGATCAGGTTTCAGAGTGATCCATTTATACCCATTCGGTTATACTCTTCGAACATTCTTAATGACCTTAAATTTACCGCTTTTAAAGTATAAATTGTTAGCAATATTTTTCTATATAGTTTTATTCGAGCTTTTTAGGTAACCGGAATGTTGGCCACTTCATTCACCATCCTCACGTTTGTCCGCTACAACAATACGCCGGTGGTGAAAAGCACGACGCGAGAGCTGAGCTACATCATTCTGGGAGGTATGCCAAGTTTAATTATCTAAATATAATTAAATACATATTATTGTATATTTTGGTGTATTTGATACATCCATAAATATACAAAACTAATTTCTTCTATCCTAGGTATCATGGCCTGCTACGCCGTCACTTTCCTGATCCTCTGGCGTCCAACCTTTCCCACCTGTTTCTTGACGCGTATTATTCCACCGATTGGTTCGTTTATTCCATTTTATTATCTATCTGATGTTCCTTAAAAAAACCAACCGAAATGTAGCCTTTTCCATCGTCTACTCGGCCCTATTGACAAAAACCAATCGGATAGCTCGAATATTGGCGGGAAGTAAAAAGCGGATCCTCACCAAGAAGCCCCGATTTCTCTCTACTTTTTCTCAGGTAATACGGTTTTGGAGTATCGAAACAGTGCAATATTTCAGGTTGTAATTACGTGGATTCTGGTTGGCGTTCAATGCGTGATCGTCGGAATCAGCGTGATCAAGGAGATGCCGGCGGCCGGGTATAATCCGGTTTATTTGCCGAAGAAAATGGTTTGTATTTTATTCTGATTTTTAGGGGAAATCCGAATATTAAAGTATAACTTTAAATTTAAACAAAATTTAATTTGCGCTTTATAGCGATTTTTGGGTCCTATCAAAGAAAAATCGGGAATGAATAGCCTAGAAAAATCCAGTATTCTCTAAAAATCTACCTAAAAAATAGGAAACTGGGTTTCTAAGTGAAAACACAATTTTTAGAAGACGACAAAGGCAGATTTTTAGAACGCAAATGTTTTCCAGGTGCTAATCTGCGTCTCTTCCGACATGGCGTTTTTAACCCCTTTCTTCTGGAATCTCTGCCTGATCACCCTCTGCACGCTGTACGCAGTCAAGACGCGGAACCTACCCGAAAACTTCAACGAGGCCAAATTCATTGGATTCACCATGTAAGTATCTAATATTTATAGAATTCAATTAAACTTGCAGGTACTGTACTTTGGTGGTCTGGGGAGCATTCATGGTTCTTCACCTTGGCCAGACGAACAAGGCGCTCACGATGAGCTTCTCCTTTTCGATATCGGCTAGCGTTGGTGAGTCCTTTTCGATATACAATTTGGGTACTTTTGTATTATCGGGGGGGGGGGATTGTATGTCTCAAATCTGGTTGTTAGTAAAATTTAACTATAGTTCAAGGAGAAAAGCTATCTAAAACTTTAAAAAACATTTTAGAAATACGAAGTTTTGGTCTAAATCGCTTTTTCTATGTTTTAGAAAGAACGGGTTTTTAAAGTGTTGCGTTCCGACTTAAATTGCAATTTTTTAAATTTAGTTTCCCGCCTGATACCCCCCGCGATAATGCCAAAGAACCGCGCTGTGAAAATCATTCTCCGAAACAGCTTTCGAAAGCCATTTTTCGAAGGGTCAATTGCAAGCCTCTTTTTCGAAAGATTCGCTCCAAAATTAAGTTTTTGCATAAAACACTTTTCTAAATTATGTTTTCGAAACCTCACCTTTAAAACAAATTCCACCCTTTAGCCCTGATGCTCCTCTTCGCGCCGAAGCTCTGGATCATCATCATACACCCGGAGAAAAACGTGCGCTCCTCCTATACAACGACCAAATTGATACGGTAGGTTTGAAAGGTGTATTCCGTAACACTCCCCATTTCAGGTGCCATTTCGGCAACTCACAGGGCGGCACGTTCGACTCGAAGCATAACGCGTCATCGAAGACGACGCGTGCCTCTACACAGTCGGCCTCGCTCAGGTTGGCCCCCCACACACGGTCAGCCACACAGTCCCGGTGTACGGTGGTTGCTGCTGTGCATCGTTTCCCTGTTGTTTTTGTAGTTTACGCTTTTACTCTCGGCTATGTAGTTTGTAGCCTATATTTTTACGATTAAAATCTTGTAAATTTTTAAGGTGTTTTGTAACCAATTTTTTCAAATTTGCGCAGTTAAGCTGGATGGCGTTTCAATTTCCATGTTCGATTTTCAATTCAAGGTCCCGGCAAGGCATTACCCTAGTTTTTTGGTTATGGATTCGCTATGGACCTTGCCGCGACGCAAAAACGATCTCCATTGCGTAATCGATTGCGGTCTCGGTGCGCAGTAACGCTGCGCGTTGCGTGTCGCGGCGCGACAAGATCCGCACGTTTTCCCCTGATTTTTGAGCGCATTTTTCTCCCTAGGCGTACGAGCTGGAGATCTTTAGGATTGCACCTTTGTTTAGTTTAGCTTCCCCTTTTTAGCAATAAATTTCGACACTTACTGGGCTTTTCTTTCCCAAGAAAACCTGTGTAATTCCGTCGTGCTCCTATCGACACTCAAATTTTTTGAATAAAACTTTCCAGCCACTCGTCGGGCGTCACCCGAACAGCCTCCGTGCACGTCGTCTCCCACCCAAGCGGTCACACCGACGCCCAAACACAAACCGACCCGCCCGCCTCGAAATTCAGGTAAAATCGGCTTTCGAGATTTTTTAAAATGTACTTTTATTTCTTTTCTCAACTCGCCTGTTTATAGTGATTCCCCGGATAGTGAATTGAGGTAATTCGCCCCCATCACCACCAATTTTCCGGGCCTAATAGGTCGCCCTAAATAGGCGATGGTTCATTTGGGAGCATGAACTTGTTGGCCTCCCTGGTTGGTCCCGGAATGACACCCGTCGGCTTTCAAATCCTGTAACCCGTGGCCCCAGGCAGCCTTCAGTCTCGTTCGACCCTATATCCTGCCCGAGCTACCGTACCCTCGATTTTTAGCCGAACATTCTCGATCGCTGGGAAACCGGGGAAGAAGGTGGTCGACGACGATGTGCAACTACTGGTTGATGCGTGTAGACGATATCAGGTTTGGACTGGCTGTATTTCATGTGGACAACCTAATTGACCCTCCCAAAATTTTCCAGATTTTCTGTATTTTTTCGGGATTCTTTTAAAGCCATTCGCTAAGCATCAAAAACGTTTTTTGTTGTTGTGTCTGCTCAAAATATTGCATGATGAAAAAAAGTTATATATGAAACAAAAATAAGTTTTGAAAATTGAGCTAAAAAGCTCGTTTTCGACATTATTCCATTTTTACGGGATTTTTAAAGGCATTCGATAGAGCATCAAAAAAATATATTTATTATCAAATAGTTTGTATTGAAAAATTGAAAAATCTCGTTGTTTCGAGACCAAGAATGGCCGATTTTGACAAAGATTTCGAATTTTTCTAAAAATTTAAATTGGCAATTTTCTTGAAATGGTTTTCTGTTTGAAATATGGTTATTTTTGCTTGGCTTGCAAAAAAACACCACAAAAATGCTTACTATTAACTTGCTAGGCATTTCTAGGCTTATAGGAAAAATTTTGCCCCCCCCCCCCGATAATGCGAAAGCGCCAGAAATAAACGGAATTTTTGTGATTGCAGGATGAACGCCTCCGGGGCGCCGAGTCGAACCTCCTCCTCGAAGAAGCGGAAGACGAGGGACAAGGCGGTGATGAGGTCGGTGCCCTGCTTGTCGGTTCGATTGGCAACTCGATGCGTGCCGTGTTGTCGACGATGGGCCATGGGACAGCTCTTGGCCCAACCACGGTCCCTTCAAAGGGTCCCACACGTCCTTCTGAGGGCCGTCCATCCCGGCAACTTGATGAGGACTTTGAGGAGGTACGGTATTGCATGGTGGTAGTGTATTTAGGAAGGACCAGGTAATTGGCACGGAGACAAATGTTAGTAAAAATTGGGGTTATGGGCGTAATTTTGACTTTTTAACGTTGATCTTGTACAGAACTTTCCGCTGATTCCGGATCTGTTTTTAGAATTTATCTAATCGTTATAGTTAAGAAGTCACAGCGCATTTTTACAAATAATTACAAATAACACAAAACTGTTGTTTTTAGTGTGATTGGATATTTTATGACATCTAGCTTGACCAGAATTTGGCGCTAATTCTGAATCTGATCTCAGAATTTATAAAATAGTCGTATTTGAAAAGTTCTTGGTACTTTTTAAGGTACCCTTTTTAGTTTTCGTCTTATAACTTTCAAAAATAGGCTATAACTTCTTAAATTAGAATATTCGACAACTTCTGATAGCAACTTTGGGATCAGCGCAAAATTCTGCACCAGAAAAACTCGTTAAAATCTCGGAATCCCGACTAAACGTCGAAAAAGTCGATTCTCAGCCCTGGAGGGATCGAAATTTCTAGTTTTCTAGTCTTTTCACCCTGAAAATGCTTTAGAACTTTAAAAAAGATCATATTTGACATATTCTGATAGAAAATTCGGAATCAGCACAAAATTTTGTGCCAGACAATGCCTCTAAAACCGTCAGATAACCTAGAACAACGACAAAGAAAATCGAAAAGGGCCGATCAGCCCGTGCGGGATTCGAACCCTAGTCTCTGGGGCTCAAGAAAACCCAGAATCCAACCAATACACCACACCAGTTTCCGTGCAAATTCCCTTGGTCCATGTATAAACCGTAGAAATGTGGGTGTCATTGTCTGAATCCTCGTTTTTTTCAGTCTTTCTCTCCCCACTGTGCCGGGATGAGACGCCAGTGGTGCGCCAAGAGTTGTCGCTCACCATTTTTTCCTTTTTGTGTCACCGCCGATCAACCCTTTTTGGGACCCTTCCGGTTGCAATGGGAGGACCCAGCAGCTTTCATTTTGTTTGCCCGCTGCGAAAAGGAGTGGAACGGCCGGCTACAAACTATAGGATTTATAATTAGGCAAAAAAGGATTAAGCGGGATTTATAAAATCATTTTTGTAGTTTGTACCCTGTGCCATTCACCTCTTTTGGCTGGGTTCGCTGATGCACCGGGTGTTTTTGCTAGAGATACCAGAAGGAAAAAGAATCTCGCCCTTAAAGGGATGCCGACGGCATAGTCAATCGTTTACGCGCTGGAAAGCAAATGTCTCTGCGCCTCTCCCCAGCGCGCGCTCTCTCCCCTGTTGGCTACTTGCCAATTTGTTGATGGGGGGGATCGACACATGCCGTCGGCAGCCCTTTAAAGGGATTGGTAAGGCGGTACTTTCCCATTATCGGGGGGGGGGGGGGGGGGGGGCGAATTTTTATATAAGCCCAAAACTCCCTGGAAATATAATAGTATGTAGTTTAACAGTTTTTCGTAAAAGTAACATTATTACCAGCGGAAAAGCCATCCATAAATGAGCAAATTTTTTAGCATTTACATCTTTTTCCAAAACCGGCCATTTTGCCGAAATACGGCTTTGTCAAGTTTTTGTGCTTAAGTAGGCAGTAGACTCTAGAAAACCCTAAAAATTTGAAAGTTGAGATTTTGCCCGAAAATCGACCATTTTGGGTGGAAAATTCAAAATTTTTGTGTTTTTATGGACCAAAGACTTTAAATGGAGAATGATAAAAAACCGTTTTGAAACATTTCCGCGATATATTAGGAAAAGATGGATGCTAAGAAAAAATTACGCTGTTTCCTAGAGAATCCACAGCCAGAAAATCCATACCCGTGCCTTGCCGGTCCCTTTAGAGCCGAGATTTCGATAGCCAACATCCCCGGTGCATCACTCTGGATTGGGGTGTCTTTTTCGCGCTTCTCCTCGGTTCCCGGAGCTTACAGGCAGCTTTTGCAAGGCTTTCTCTCTCTCCATGGTGTCTCCTGCAGGTCTTCTTGGACAAAAAGGACTATTTTTGTTTCAGCTGCTGCGTAGCCGTGGCGTGCAACCCCCTCGGATTCCACACGGCCACTCCGCTCTGAACCAGGTAGGTATACTAATTAGGTTCTTTGGCATTATCGTGGCCGGGAAGCGATTTTTTGCCTAAAAACCGGAAATTGCCAGCAACGTCACAGGGAGAAATTAATCGCGTTTTTAGTGAAATTTAACTTTATTTAAAGTAGAAACTGGTCTAAAACACTTTGAAAAACATTGAAACTCAAAACTTTGATCGCCCTTTTTGTATTTGTCGTTTTTGATGTAATTTGATACGTTTTTGGGTGTGGGAAAAGTAAAAACGTTTTTGAAACACGTCCTTTATTGATATTAGAAAATTGGAAACATTTAGTTTAATTTAATAGAACTTTAATTCTAAAAATTCAGATGGAACATGTCATGATCAGCGTCTACCCGCTCAATTCTCCTACTGCCTCCTCCTCCTCCTCCTCCTCCTCGTTCGCCTCGTTTTCCCCTCGCCAAATACGGGTGGGCTAATTTTGAATTTAATTTATTAAAAATTAAGTAAAATTCTTTTTTTTTAGCAGCTAATTGGACTAGTTTAAAAAATCTGAAGAACCTGAATTTTTGTGAAAGGGGTTTTTCCATATTTTCTACAACCTTCAGGCACGCCAGCTTTTCCTCCCCGCTCCCCCAAATGTGCCTTCCGTATGCGACGAAGAATGGGCGCAACCACTTGAATCCTCCGCCAATTGAATCAACGACTACAGGTACGCAATGATATTATCGACAATTGGCATCGAACGAGACGATACTATCGACAAAAAGGGCGAAAAAGTGCTGAAAGGATGCCGGGGTCAGCCCACCGCTGCCGAACCGAGACCCCCACTCCTGATAGCCTTGGCCCTGTCCACTACACCCGCCGCCCGGTTAGCTCAGTCGGTAGAGCACCAGACTCTTAATCTGGTTGTCGCGGGTTCGAGCCCCGCATTGGGCTTACTTTTTGCTTTTTGCTCGAAAATTACTTAAAATGTTTCGTTAGTCCCGCGCTGTAAGGATTTTGTCAGTTTTCGATGTTACCTTTACAGGGTGTGCAAAAAAAAAAGCCCACAGTTTGCACCAAAATATCTCGCTTATAGTAGAGAATCGAAGGTACGTTACCATGCCAAAATGCTTAAATATGCTGGGTATGAAGATATAACACAACTTGATTTTTTCGATTTTTTAGTACGAATACATTTATACTACGAATACATTATTTTTTAGTACTATACTATTGACGCTGGTTACGACCGAAAATTGTGCGTTCTTGAACGGGAGGTAGGAAAATTCTGATTTTTGGCCTAAAAATAGTATAAATTTGTAGAAAGGTAATGGCAAAATCTTAGAATTTATCGAGGTCAATTTCATTTTTTAAAAGCAAAACAATTTTCGCGATTTTGCGTTATTTTTGTTCTTTGAGTCATAACTCGCTTAAAACTCACTGCCCATGGCTGCTTTTTTGCCAATGGCTTATCCAAATATTAATCTCGGATTCCACACCAGATTCCACCACAATCTATGGTATTTTTGTATTGCTTGCTAAAAGGTGCCCCAGCGGGATACTGTAGGTTTCGTTTTTCCCGCTTTTCTCCGGACCCCTAGCTTCGATCCGACTAAAATTTTCAGGGTTGTTAGGCAATCGGTTGTGGCACCTTGCTGCCAAATACGAGAGCGTACTATCCACAAACTTTCATGAAAAAGACTAAAAACTGATTTTTTAATTCTGCCACAGAATCTTGTAAATTTTTTGGTCAGTTTGTCCATAAACCGCTTCTATTGGTTTTACAAAAAGATCGAAGCGATTCCATGGCAAAAACCCCACGAAAATCGCAAATTTCGGTTTTCTACAGTAACCCACGTGGAGCGCGTTTTAGCATGCCATCACAAAATTCCATAAAGTGACGATTTTTCTATTCGAGGGCCTTCTAGAGGTGATTGTAAGACAACCTGCTAAAAATTACTGATTTTGGGTGGTAAATAACAAAGTTACGAGGCCCAGTGCAAAACAAGGCCAGAAGGCCGATTTTTGGTCCGAGTAGCCGGGGTCAATTTTCGAATTTTTCAAAATAGAAAAACCAGCTGGGTCCTATGGATACGATTATAGCTTTGATGTTATTATCTATGCCCGTAAAATTTGGGGGCAATCTGATTCATGATCATGGTGACTTTCAGCTCAAAATCGAAGATCACCCTATTCCAAAATCGAAGTTTAAAAATCTTCTTAAAATTCTTGCGACGCGAAATTGCTTTAATCTTTGCATAGTTTTATTTAACTGATGGCACTGACTTATTGCTTAAAATATCCCTACGACTCCACCTTCCAAAATTTTTTTACGCAACCTCCAATTCGGTTTATTTCGAGTTTTGATGAATTTTCTTGGCGCCAACGGCTGGTTAAAAAATTCATGAGTGAGGCTTTAGGATGCGCTATTCAACCGGTATCAGATAAAAATAAAACGATAATTTTCACAGCGCGACTAAATTTTATAAAATGGTGGCAAGGTTCGGAAAAAAGCACGAACCAACCGTTTTGGAGGCCGTAAAAGACGCCCCTCTAAAGGGGTACGGTAGCTCGAAATTTTGTAGATGATTGATAAAGCCCAGTACTACATAGTTAAGCAAAGAAAATAGCTGAGTCCCCTTTGGCAATTTAAAAATATTTTTCTAAAGTTCGGTTTCGTGACCTCGAAAATATCCATGACCAGGGGGTCGTTGAAAAACTCAAAAATTCATCGATCTCAAAAAATTCTTTAATATGTTTATGCGATTGTGTTAAGCCCGGAGGTATTCCACAACAACTGATTTTGAGGTTTTCGCCATAGGTTTTTCCAATATTAAAAATTTACGAAATTTCTCCATACAAAATTTCATTCCTCTCTAACTTTTCAACCAGACCCTCAAAAATTCTTAAATTTCGTAGTTACATATCTGCTGCCTATATTAACTTATTTAATAAAAATTAGATGCCAACCACCACAGGAAACTGAGAAAAATACAAATGAAGTTTCCCCGAACGCACAGTTTTCGGGTGTCATTTGTATTGATACGTCGCCAAAAATCGAAAAAATCAAGTTGTGTTAAATCTTCATACCCAGCATATTTAAGCATTCTGGCATGGTAACGTACCTTCGATTCTCTACCGTTCGCGAGTTATTTCGACCCAAACTGTGGGCTTTTTTTTTGCACACCCTGTACTAAGCTGATGGTTGCCCAATAGAAACCACCAGGCCGTAGCAAGCTGAGGTCGGCAATTTTCCCCAAAGGGCATCCGGGGTACTGATAGTGCTCATTTCCCGTTTTTACAGGGCCACAATCGACAGGTGGTCTCCTATCTGAAGCACAAGCGGAGGACAATCAAGAATCGAGGTTATGCCTTGAATTGTCGCGTTCGACGCATTCAGAATCAACATCAGCCTGCGACTGATGATCTGCTGATCAGGAACAGGGTGGAAATTAGTATAAAATTTCATTAAATGTTCCGAATTCAGACGGTGGTCAGTCTGCAGGGACGGCTTCAGTACTACGAGAGCTCATACTCAACATTCTTCAACTATTCTTCAAGGCGCCTGTATTCCGGCCCTTTCCTATACCATGATCCCCAGATTTCCATAGATACCCTTGTAGCTTAGAATCTCGAATTCATTGACAAGCTGGCCTTCTAATTGGAATATTATTTTTTATCCATCCATCAAACTACAATTATAAACGACGACGTTCCGCTACAAACTACACCCATAAGGGCGTAAAAGTGCATTTTTTTGGGTGTAGGCCCCGAAGAATTGAATTTCAAATTGAAGGAATTTCCTTGAGCATAGCATGAATTCCGCCAGGTACGGTTAATTCTACTCCATTCTACTAGCCACCATTTCTGTTTTTTTTTGTACAATAACTCGATCTTCCCCGTAACATTGACCAAAATCTCTGATGTCACTTGTGATCGCCTTTTCCACTTTTTTATTTTTTGTCGTCCGTATCCAGCTACCGTACTCTTTTTTTGGCCGCATTTCCGTTGTGATATAATGTTCTCCTCCTTTCCGGGTGGGTGTCCGCCTGTTCCCTTGGCCAGCCACCCACTCGACGCGATTGTGATATTTATGTGTTACTGTACTTTTGATGTTTTTCGGTTTAATGTATTTCCTCAAATATGTCTTAAAAATTTTCCAATCATTTTTCTCCGCATTATTGTCTAGTCGATAAATATTCGTTTACTTTTTAGTCTTGACAAAGTGAAGGTTCCTTTGGGGAGTTTCACCATTTTTTTCTTTTCCCGTTAGATGGGGACCTTCTCTTTCCGCTTCTCCTCCTTGCTTTTTCTGGCGGTACCAGAATAAAGAGATAGCCGGGGCACAAATGCCCGACCCCCAGCAGCCGGCAGCCCTGCCCATTTCTCGGTCCGGTGTTCCCCGGTTCTGCACAACTTTAGCACATTTCTTTGGCCGGAAATTACTGTATTTCTCGTATTTCCTGATCCCTAGATTTCAGGCGTAGAACTTCACGCAAAAATGCAAAATGGAGAGGCGAAACGGATGGGGGCTCAGGTTTGGGCTTGAAATTACAAAAAAATACTTTAAAAGCTTGGTGTTTCCTTTTTTTCTGTTGGGCATACTAAAAAACTGAATTTTGCAAAAAAAACTATTTATATTCCAGCCGGAACACGCAATGATCGGCGTCTATCCGCTCAATTCCCCGGCTGCCTCCTCCGCCTCGTCGTTCGCCTCATTTTCCCCTTCGCCAACTACGGGTACGAGGTTTTTTTATCGTTTTAGCTTATTAAAAAATAGACTAAAATATCGTAATACGTTTTTTACCTATTAGTAGGTAATTTTAAAAATTCTAAACCTAAAGTTTCTAAAAACACGGCTCGTCAGGCCTTACCAAAAACGCACTTCTGGGGGGTGCGGGCCCTCTCCCCGCGGATAGTGGGTTAACCTCCCAGGCGAGCCCCCCTCACCCCCCGGGTTCGGTTCCTCTGAGGCGCAAACTCCCCCATTTTGGCGATCTTTGTTTTGCTTTTTGCTCCAATGTATCACTGATCGTCTACTGTAACACAAAATAAAATCATACCCGCGAAAAAGTCCCAGAAAATAGCAAAAAGCGGCTAGAACCCGTTTTAACAAAGTGTATCCGAAAACAGTCGCAATTTCGCTCCATAACCAGCTTTCACGGTTGCTATTACAATTTTTTTTTGGCTTAGTAACGATAATAAGCGCTTTGATGCGTTTATGTTAGCAAAATGGGCTACCGATCACGAAGCTCCTGCTCCAAGCGTCCAATTCCCCGACCACCTTGGCTATTTTCTTAAGAGGAGGTTCATAATTCAGCAGTTTTTCGATTAATACTACATTAAATTGATATAGTTACCTAGAAAACCGCCATACAAGGCTCAAATCCCGCCGGGTGGGGTGCTAGCATCGAAATATTAGGATCGCCATCGGACAAGGGGTGATCTTTTCCAGAACTTCCGTCATTAATTCAAAAGCATGTATCGTGACTCCACCCAACCTTCTAGCGAGATTTGATCGTATTTTGATAAAAACAGGTCGAAAAACTAGCCATAAACCAGCCGGGTCGAAAATTTCGGGAACTTTAGGCTTTAAAATCTCCTTATTTTGGTGAGAACTCTTGTCGCGACCCACACAGTTCGATAGAGAATTGTTTTCTCTACCAAGTTCCCACGCCTCCCGAAGATTCGAAATAGTATACAAAAAGTTATTAGAAGAAAACGTAGATTTTCTGAGTTTTTAATATGGGCGGCGCCGCCACACAGAGCCCGGAGGGCAATAGGCGCGCCCCGGACTAAAGTGCCCTTTGACGAGCCGTGAAAAACAGCTATAATAATATTTAGGCCTGCCGGCTTCTCCTCCCCCTCCCCCAAACATGCCTTCCGTTTCCGATGAAGAACTGGCGCAGCTCAGCGTCCGCCAATTGAATCAACGACTACAGGTACGAAATGATACTATCGACAAATGGCATCGAACGAGACGATACTATCGACAAAAGAACAAAAAAGTGCTGAAAGGATGCCGGGGTCAGCCCACCGCTGCCAGACCTACACCCCCACTCCTCATCACCCTGGCCCTGTCCGTTGCACCCGCCGCCCGGTTAGCTCAGTCGGTAGAGCACCAGACTCTTAATCTGGTTGTCGCGGGTTCGAGCCCCGCATTGGGCTTACTTTTTGCTTTTTGCTCGAAAATCACCAAAAACGTTTGGTTAGTCCCGCACTGTAAGAATTTCATCATTATTCGGTGTTTTTTGGTGTTTTTGACGGGTTATCAATAATAGGCTGGTGATTGCCCAATAGAAACCACCAGGCCGTAGAAAGCTGAGGTCGGCACTTTTCCCCAAAGGGCATCCGGGGATACTGATAGTGCTCATTTCCCTTTTTTACAGGGCCACGATCGCCAGGTGGTCTCCTATCTGAAGCACAAGCGGAGGACAATCAAGAATCGAGGCTATGCCTTGAATTGTCGCGTTCGACGCATTCAGAATCAGCTGCAACTGGAGGCTGATAATCTGTTGCTCAGGGATCAGGTGGGAAAGTTGTATCAAATTTTTAAGGGGATCGGCAGGGAAATTCTAGGCATTTCGAAGCCTAAGCCTAATCCTAACTAAGCCTAAGCGAAGCGAGGGCCAGAGCCTAACCTAAGCGAAGCCTAAGCCTAAGTCAAATCTCGTAATGGCAAAGATATCAAACATTTCGGGACTATTTCGGCAGCGGCTAAAGTGGTGCCTTGCCTTGCCCGGTCCTTTAAACATCCCCAGTTGCAGATTCGCTACCTGAAGCAGACGGTGGCCAGTCTGCAGGGGCGGCTTCAGTACTACGAGCCCACACAATCGACATGTCCAAGCCTTCTCCAAGCCGCCTATATTCCGCCCCTTTCCTATACCATGCTCCCCTCTACATTGCCATAGCTTTATTTAGCCGAAATTCTGGGATTCACTGAAGAAGCTGGCCTTCGAAATTAATACACATTTTTTCAACTTTTGCTAGTTTTAGTATCTACTTATCAACATTTAATTTAATATTAATGTGCTACCGCAATTCCAAGCCTTACGCTCAAAACTACACCCTGAAAACTACTAGAATTTATAAAAATTTAATTTCGGGATTAGCCGTTTTTCGAATAATCTACCATTAACGCCGGACCCAGGAATCCGGACGTTACGCGCCAAATTACGCCCCGAAACGCAGAATGTAAAAAAATCGATTTTTGAACGTTTTTTCCAGTACTGCTCCATTTTTTAAGATTTTTCGTTTCAAAAATCGATTTTTTTGAACCGTTTCATTTCCAATCAATTTTTCCTTGAGCATCGCATCAATTCCCCCAGATACGGTTAATTCTCAACCATTAAACTAGTCACCATTGCGTTTTTTTTGGTAAAATAACTCAATTTTCCCGGATTTTTTTACCAAAATCTCCGATGTCACTTGGGATCATCTTTTCCTGGTTTCATTAGTTTCGCCGCACCTTATCCAGCTACAGTACCCATCTGTTAGCCGCATTTTTGTTGTGATATGATCTGCTCCTCCTTTCCGGGTGGGTTTCTGCTTTTTTCCTTGGCCGCCCACCCACTCTCTGATATTGTGATATTTATTTTGGCGCTATGTTTGATGATTTTATGATTAATCTAACATCGAGACATCCATGCAAACATCCAAAATACCGACAGGCCAAAATACCGGCAGCCGATATCCCGACAAGCCGAAATGTCGACAGCTCAAAATAACGGTAACTGCAAATTTAGCAGGGAAAATACCGACAGGCGAAAATCCCACCAACCGGAATACCAACCGCCAAAATCCCGGTTAGCCAAATGCCGACAGCCAAAACCCGCCAGACCAATAATACCGACAAGCCAAAATTCCGACAGCTAAAATACCGACGGCCACAATAGCTGTTTAACCCTTGTGCTCCCCCGCATTCTGACGCGGTTACGTAAACAGTTACACCATGTAATTCGGGGTAAGGCTTCGTCGTTTTGCTGATTATTCAACATGTCTAAACCAGGCGATGCAGGGCAAGCTAGTGGAGATCCTTTAAGGCATTTTATGTTTTCTAACGTAATTCAGCAACTTTTCTGGACCCTCTTCCTTTCCCGCACTCTCTCGTGGGGTTACGCAACCCGTTACGCCGTCTAAACTGGATATATTGCGTCGTTTATTGCTCTTTTTCGAGAGTTTTTCGGCATATGCCAGGGCCACTTCTGGGCAAAAACATGTTATGATATTTGGGCGGAGGGTGTAGAAGGGAATATTCTGGGTTTCTCCTCCCTTCTGCTGGGACGTCATCTCAACGGCTTCTCCCCTCTTATCAGAAGAGATGGTTTCTAGGTGCCGGCCGGTGCCAGCCTCCTACGCTTCTTCTTCGTCTTTCTGCTGCAGAAAAAAAAGGTGGTGGCAGAAAAAAACAAGCGGGGAAGAAATGGATGGGAACGATGGCACGGGTCGGGTCAAATGGCAAAAAACTTGAGCTAGTTCGGGGGACGGGGTAAACCCCAGAATTTCCTCAACGATTTCCGCTAGCTAGCCTTGAGAACGAGCTCCAGAGCTGAAGAGCCAAAAAAGCGACCGTGTTTTGGTTCCCCCAAGAGGGGTATGCTAGCCGGAAACGCAAAAATCCCGACAGCCAAAATCACGCAATAAAAATACCGACAGACCAAAATCCCGACGGCCAACATCTCGAGAGTCCAATCGGGAAAAGCCAAAATGCCGACAAGCCAAAATCCCGAATCCTGAGAGCCAAAATTGCTATTTAAGAAGCAGTGACATTGAAGGTAGCGTGTGGAATCTGTCGGTATTTTGGCTTGACGGGATTTAGGCTGTCGGGATTGTCGACTGTCCAGATTTTGCCCGTCGGAATTACAAAAATCGAGATTAGGATGTCGGGATTTCAGCTTGTCGGTCTTTTTTGGATGCCGGGATTTAGCTCTCAGCCAGTAAGCAGTCATTTCCCAAATGATTTCTGCTAGCGCCCCATGTCTAAACACAGCCCCCAGTCCCTCTCCCAACCTCGGGTAAGTCGGGGGTTTTTTTGGGTGTTGCTAATAAGATGTGGTTGGGGAGGGGGAGGGGGAGCTACGGAAGGGGAGGTTGAGATGGGAGACGATGACCTGAATATTTGCCCCTTTCCCCGCTTCTTTCTGGGTCAGGGTCGTCCTCCAGGCACTGATATCCGCGATTCCCATCTTTCACCCTCGCACACATCCATCCACCGAGCGAGAGAGCGGCGAGAGAGAGACAGAGAGAGAGAGAAACCACCCGACCCGAGAATCGACTACTTTCTACATTGTCTAACAATATGGTTTTCTAAATACTGTGAACGCAGGCTAGCAGAGACCGTTTGAGAAAAGCGAGTGGGTGGGGCAAGCTAGCAGTGACCATTTGCCCTTATTTAATGCAATACAGGTAATGCCCACCAAAAACCCATAGTCCGTGGTTAGTGCGTTTGGCTGCCAGGCGAAGGGTCGAGGGTTCGATTCCGGCCGGGGCAAAAACTTTGCTTTTTGGTTCCTGGGATTAGTAATTTGAGGGCAATAGAGCAATCATAGTAATTTTAAGGGGAAATGGCTGCAAAAACGCTAGAATTGCTCAATTTTTTGGCTTTTTTGTGTTCAAGCAGCATTTTTTTTTAAGATTTGAAATTTACAGATTTAAACGTTTTTTCTTTGAATCCTAGTTCCCCCTACTAGGTCCTTCTCACCCCTTCCCTCCCTCTCTCTTGCTCCCCCCGTTAACCCCATTCCCCCCTTTTGTACTCGACCCGGTTTCCGAAACTGGCTTTTCGCCTTCAATCCCCCCTTGCATCCCCTCCGTTCTTTTGCCCATAACTGGTATCCAGCCCCCGGGGCTTCTTCCCCCACCCTTTTCACTTCTTCGAGACTCGCCACCACTACCGTTCCTCCCCTATCCTGGTTTTTATCGATATTCCGGTTTGGCATTCCGCTTTTTCCGGCTATCACTGATCCAGACCATTTTTGTGCCCCGAAAATGTTCTATATTTTCCCCTGCCAGGTCCCTTTAAAAGAACTCGATCTATAGTTTCATGAGCAATTTTGGAGGTCATGGTCAAAAAGCAAAAAAAAAATGTGAGCGGCCAGGGTCGAAAGCCCGGTCGTGATTTGCATGTTTTTTTGCTAGAAAAAGGCTCTAAAGACTAAGATAGGCTTCAAGGATCCTTAAAAACTTGGTGGTTATCGATTACCTTGGATTTTCATGGGTTTGACCAAAAAGCAAAAAATCACGCCCCTGGCCGGAATCGAACCCGGGTCGTTCGGCTATGATGCGAGAACTTTACCAATGGACCAACGGTCCAAAAAGCAGCCAGCCTCCGCGCCAAAATACCATCTCAACTCGATAATAACTCTAACTATCGTACCCCTTTCCCTTTCCCTTTAGACAACTGTCAATAGGTGTATTGTGGATTGAGGGGAAAGTGCCTTCCTTGGGAGGCCAGCGATTGATGATATCTTCTAGACGAGGGTGGGAGGAATGACCGCGGTTGACCCCGTTCATCCAAGAGAGCAGGGGAGGAGGAGGTGGAGGAGGACTGTAGTCACCCTCAATCCCCCTCATTCACCCATTCTGACTATTGCTACTCGGCTAACTCATATCAGTTTTTTTCGAGTTATGGCCAAATCCTAAATTGTCTCTGCTGGTCTGCCATGGTTCGAAAACGACCCCTGCTAGTCTGCCTTCCCTGGACCCAAAATGATCTCTGCTAGCCTGCCCTTGCTCCAAAATGGACCCTGCTGGTTTGCCCCGGCAGCAAAATGGTTTCTGCTTGCTTTGCCCCTCCTTCGAAATGGTCTCCGCTAGCATGCCCCGACACAAAAAGCATCTCTGCTAGCTTGCCTTGGCTCCAAAATCATCTATGCTATCCTGCCCTCCCCCTACAATGGTCTCTGCTAGATCGCCATTCCTCCAAAACGGTCTCTATTGCCTTGTCTTGGATCCAAAATCATCTCTGCTAGCTTGCTCGGCTCCAAAATGGTTGCTGCTAGCCTGCCCTGTATCGAGAATCATCTCTTCTAGCTTGCCCTGACTTACTGAATCGCTATTATTAATGCGTGTATGCCGTAGGGCATCGAATTTTTCTCGAAACCCTCCAAACCCTAATTTGCAGCTTTTTCCGCCGACCCCTCCCCCTATCCGTTGCCCTTTTACCGTACCACTTTCCCTTTTAGGGCAATCACCCGCCGGCCAAACGAGAAAAAGCACCCCCTATCACCCTCCCCCCGAAAAAAGGAGCGCATCGGAAACTGGGACACGACGGCGGCCCGGGGGCAGCACATCCTAATTTCCACCACGCTCCCCTCCTCGTTCCCTTTCCGTTTGACCGCATTCCCGGCTATCAATCCGCCACACTCCAGGTTCCACCCTCCCCCTTACTGTCCATTGTAACGTACCGTACTCGGGTTCATTAAATTATGATTTTTTTGTTTGGGTTACTGTGGATTGATCGATCGAAAGGGGTTGTTTATTGCTTGGACTTGCTTCCTAAATGGTCTCTGCTAGCCTGCCCTGATTACAAACCGGTCTCGGCGAGACTAGTCTTCTTCCTAAATGCTCTCTGCTAGTCCGCTTGATGCCAAAGCGGCCTTGACTTGCCCACTTCCCAAATGGTCTCTGCTACCTGCACCGGCTTCTTAAAGGACCCCCTTCTAGCCTGCCCTGCCTCTTATAATAGTCGTTGATACTGCTACTCCTGCTCTGCTTCCGAAATGATCTCTGCTAGCCTGCCCACCTGCGCAAACGGACTTTGCTAGCTTACCATGCCTCCTAAATCGTCTCTGCTAGTCTACTTGATTCCAAAATCTCTGCCGCCTTTCCCTACCTCCTAAATAATCCCTGCTAGCCTGCCCGACCTCCTAAGTGGTCACTGCTGGCCTACTCCGCATCCTAAATTGTCTCTGCTAGCCTACCCGGCGAGCATAATAGTCTCTGTTAGCTTGCCCTCCTGCCGAAATGCTCTTTGCTGGTTTGCCCTGCGTCCTAAGTGATCTCTACTAGTCTACTTGATTCCAAAATGGCCTCTGCTGCGTTTCCCTGCCTACTAAATAATCCCCACTGGCCCATCCGACTTCCTAAATCGTCTCTGCTAGCCTGCCCTACCTCCCCAAAAATATTCTGCTAGCCCATTATTCCGCAGCCTATTCTGCCCTCTTGTTATGCCCCCTCCGAAATGGTCTCGGCTCGTTTGCCCCCAAGCTTTTCCCCTGTCCGCATCCGGATAACACGTCAATTCCAAGCTAGCATTCTCGAATATCCGGTTCTCAAGATGAGTCACACTCCAAAACCCGCCGCCAACAATCCTCTCTCCCTATATATTGCCCACTTTCGAGCCTCAAATTGGCCGTATTCTTCTGGATTTCCCCTGCAAACCCTCGAATTTCCCTGCCTTCCAGGTCCCTTTAAACCCCCCCTTACAGTCCGCCCGTTAATCGTATTGGCGCGTAGCCTGGATGTGGGATCGGATCAGCCTAGCTGACCCTTCTATAGATGGGATGTTGCCCATTGTGCGAATGGTTCGAGCCTTTTTTCGGCATTCGTCCAGACCGGTGTCCTTCGTAGTCCTCTCGAGTGTCCGCCTCCCATTTTGCGGGGAAGGGCGCCTTTTAGGAAACTTGAATCCCCGGGATTCCCGAACTTGAACCGAAATACATTTGCCCTCCAGGGGATCTGGCTTGTCACGGGGGTTACGGTAGTTTGGGCGGATTTTAGGGTTTTGGCAGATTTCATTCTTCCCTACCATTTTTAAGCCAGTTTGTAACTCGGTTACGGTAATTTAAATCGGGTTCTTTCGCATTATCGGGGGAGGCAGAGGGCAAAACTTTTTTCTAAGGAGTAGCGAACGTTTCTGAACGTTTTTCTATTATTAAGCGTAAAACTCCGCAAAATTGCATGAAAAATACAAAAAAGTAGATTTTTCGACTAGAAATAGCCGATTTTCAACCAATATTTCTAACTTTTTTTGTTATTTTTGCACTTGAATGATAGCGAAGTTTTAATAAACACACAATAGTATGCTTATTAACACATTTCTGGACTTATAGGAAAACATTAGCCCCCCCCGATATGACGAAAGCTCCGAAACGGGTGAATTGTATGCTTTTCTTGATCATTTCTAGCTTATATTTTATGTTTTTCTAGCATTAATACGATTCCATGGTTCACTAAATATTTCATTGCCTCTTTCCAGACGGGCTCCACCGGCGCGGTGCCATCATCCAAACGAGCGGTAGCCGAAAAGAAGCGAAAATCACCAGGATGTGGCTTCTAGCCCTCTTCGTCTCGGCCGTCGCCGCCCAGGCCATCCGTCAGTTTTTTCGTTTTTAATTTTAGATCTTTAGTTTCAATTTTTCGTTGGGAAAAATGAAAAACTTTATGCCCCCGCCAGGCGTCGAACCCGAGCCATTTTGCGTCAGGCTAGGGCGTAACAAAACGGCCACGCGTTCGTTTTAAACGTCGCAAAAGAAAATGTCATAAACGCACAGAATTTGGCGTTAGTTGAAAGGGCACGTAATCGATCGCTCGAAAACGCTGGACTCCTATTTGCGCGCTAAATCCATGCGTTCAATACTTTTCTTTAACTATCGTAATTAGTATAAAAACGTACTAAATTTGGTTTATATGGTTTGTAGAGCTAGATTTATAGTTTTCTATTTAGTTTTATAAAACTTTTTCAGAATCCACCACCCAATGCCCGCCCGGCTCGAACACGGTGTTCGCCCTCCGGCACAACGTCTCCGTCGGCGCGCAGCTGAGGACGTTACCCGCACCCAACATGGCCGTCTGCTCGGATCATTGCGTCGCCTCCCTGGTTTGCTTTATGCAAAATTTGTAACCCTTAAATTTAGGACTGTGCGTCGTTCGAATTCTCGGGCGCCAACTGCCAAATCTACGGCGCCGGCGACAACGGCGACAAGCGGACGCGCGCCTTCTCGAAGACGTGCACCAAGTCGGACCGCGTCTGCTTTTCCCCGTTCCATTTTGACGTGTTCGAGCAGAAGATTCTTGTCGGATTCGCCCGCGAGGTCGTCGCCGCTGAGAACATTCAGGTGGGGCGTTTTCCTGGGTTTTTAGCGTCCAAAAATATGGTGAAAAATATGGTGAAGACTTTTTCACGTTTATAAGCGTTCCGCATAAAAGTTGTGAAGTAACACTTTTCAGAGTTTCTTAGCATTAATAGGCTGAATTAAACTTTATCGCGTGAAAGAACGGTTTTATTGTGAAAAACATGGTTTGAAGGTGGCAAAGCCCTTCTTTTTATTTATCGAACTTTAAAAAGTCCCAATGCATGTTGTAAATAATGAATAATACAAGGAAGTTTAGATAAAACTCAATATGCGCTAAAGTTGTATTTTTAATCGTTAAAAACATGAAAAGTGCCACCAAACGCTAAATTTTCCATTTTTCAGGCTTGCATGGCCGGCTGTTTGAACGCGTTCGACACGTTCGGCTTCGAGTGCGAGTCGGTGATGTTCTACCCGGCTGATAAGGTATGGATTCTGCGCTGTTCCGTTACACTACTCATTCCAGGAATGCATCCTGAACACCGAGGATCGTCTCGACCGCCCCGATCTGTTTGTGGATGAGGTTGACGATCAGGTCATCTACATGGACAACAATTGCGCCGGCTGTAAGTGGAAGCTTTCCACTTCCGCTTTTTTTATTGCTTCTTCCAGCTTCTTCCAGCTTTTCCTTTTTTTGCTAGCCACACCGCAAGCCGCCCACCCCCACTCGCACAGTCATTCAAAAGAACTTTTTATATGATTTAGTTTTTTTGGTTTGAAGCCTCGGTTCTGCATGCGCATTTTATTATTTTATTTTTCGTTTGGTGCTTCCGGTGGCTGAGCATGCTTCAGTTTATTTGCTTGGCTTTTTGCGGGTTTTTGCATGTGGGCAGAGCTTGCGTTGTGCTGCTTGTGGTGCTTTTCGCGCGCGCTACACCGCATGATTTGGTTGGAGGGCTGGAGGGTGTGGATCGGTTGGAAAAACTTATATATTTTAGTATATTATAAAAGTTTCCGTTAAAAGTTAAGAAAAAAACGTTTCTTAGCTTTTTAGACTTCTTGTAACGCCGATCAGCTTGGCCTCTTGGTTCGGGTTTGGCGCCTTTCACGAAAAGAGTCGAGGGTTCGATTCCTCGGCCTGCGATTCTTTTTGATTTTTGGTATTTAATGTTAAATCTTGTTATTTAGTATTGCCGGTGGTTTTCTACATTCTTTTGAATGGAAAATGAATTTAGAAACGTTAGAAAGCTTCAAATTTTGATCGAAAATTGATCATTTTTTGGTCTAAAATCTATTCTTTTTTCTTTAATTTATTCATAAAAACTTGTAAAACTTCTACATCTAGGAACAGTAAAAACAGTCCCAAAACATTAGATCCTAACAATTTGATCCTAAGGACAAATTCCATTTTCGGACAAAAAAGCCAGGAAATCCTTTTGCGACCTGATTTTCCTCAAAAATCCACCGAATCCGATCCACACCCTCCTCGCCGGCTTCTCTTTCTAAAGCCTGGGGCCTGGAACGGTGACCGGGGTGCATCCTTACGTTGTTTCCAGCCCAATGCTACGCCCCCTACCTGACGCAGTACATCGCCGTCGAGGGCATGCAGCTGGAGAACGAGCTCGACCGCATCATCAACGTCGATCTGGAGAGCTGCGAGAGTCTCTGCACTCAGCGTCTGTCGTTGACCGTATGAACTAATTTTTCGGCCTTGAATTTCGGTTTTAGACGAGCGACTTCAACTGCAAGTCGTTCATGTACAACAACGTCACCCGTTCTTGCGTGCTGTCCGATGAGCGGTGGGTGGCTTTTCCTAAATGAGCTTGGCTAGATTGCCGCTTTTGAAGTCTCCGAGGATTTTTTTAATTTTAAAAATTGTTGAACCTTTCTCGATGGTTAAAATCCGAATTTCCTAAAAAATCTCTGATGCATGGTCATTTTTGAAGTCTGAGTGTCTTGAAATTCTTTTGTATATCCTAAAGAATCTTTGCTAGATTTAGCCTTGTTGAAACGCTTGGTATTTCCTAAAAAATCTCTGCTAGTTGGCCCATTTTCCGGTACTTCTGAAGCCAGTGCTGCCTCTTACAAACCACTTTTTCGTTAAAAAATTCTAGGTTGGTTAAATTAAATTTAAATTTATGTAAATAAATTCCCGGGCCTCCCCCAAGAATCTCTGCTATGCTGCCAATTTCAAGCTAGTTTTAACCTACCATTTTTTTTCCAGCTCGACCCCGCTCGGCCGTGGCAAGCTTGTCCCCACCGAGGGCTTCACCTACTACGAGAAGAAGTGCTTTGCTTGTAAGTATCGATTTTTTAAGGACAATTAAAATGATTAAACAAAAAAAATTGCGTTATTAAATTTCTCTTTTTCAGCCCCCAACACTTGCCGTAACACCCCCTCATTCGTGCGTGTTCCCCAGAAGATCCTCGTCGGTTTCGCCGCGTTCGTCATGGAGAATGTCCCCTCGGTCACCATGTGCCTTGATCAGTGCACCAAGTAAGTCGACTTTTCCGGCTTATCGACTTGGCTTGGTCGTGAGAAAGATTTGTCTCAATTTTGCTGTAAAAGCCCGTTAAAACCGTGATTTTTCAGCCCTCCCCCAGAGACCGGAGACGACTTTGTGTGCAAATCGGTGATGTACTACTACAACGAGCAGGTCGGATTAAAGCTAAAAACTAAATGAGTTTCAAAAGCTCAAAAACTAGCTAAAATCTAAAAAATGGATTGAATTTTAGGAATGCATCCTGAATGCCGAGACTCGCCTCTCCAAGCCCGATCTCTTCATCCCGGAGGGAGATGATTTCCAGGTAAATTCGATGGTTTTTTAGAGCTTGGAAATCGAGGCAAATTTAACTACTAGTCACTTTAAAAAAATTCATATAAGCTAGAATATTCTTTTTTTAAGCCAGGTTTTTTCCAGGTTGACTACTTTGACATCGCCTGCCACCTGAACAAGGAAGACTGCCCGTCCGGCACCTCCCCCAAGGTGGTCCGCACTCTCAACTCTGCCCTGCCCGAGGGAGAAGGAGATCTCCACGTCCTGAAGGGAACCAAGGGAACCGTCGAACAGTGCATGCTTAGGTGGGTGTGAATTCTGGGCGTGAAATCGCGTTATTGCGACCCTTTTAAAGGGACTGGCAAGGCAAAATATGAATATTGTTGCCTATGGATTCCGCATGTTTTTAATCTCGCGTCCGGGACACAAAACCCAGCGTGAAAAGCTCGTACTCGCTTAGGGAAGGGAAGAGCGGGCGCGAGCGCGGTAAAAACATCGAAATCCATAGGAAAAACAATGCTAATTCCTTGTCCGTTCTTTTAAAAAAATGCAAATCAGAAACTCTATGAGCGCAAGGAGTGTAACCGTCTTTTGGAGCATATCGTAACATTTTTGCCAAAATCCAATTTATCAGTCGAAAATTCGAGCATTTGACTTTCCCTTTAAACCTAAAATTATCCTTTTTTTCAGCTGCATGTCTCTGGCCCCTGAGAAGTGCCGCTCGTTCAACTTTGACAAGGCCACCGGCCGTTGCGATCTGATGTATCTGGATGGCAAGGTAAGGACTAGGAAAACTTCCACAATTCCGTCCATTTTCAGAGCACCCTCCGCCCCGTCGTCCGCCAGGGCGTTGATCTCTACGATACCCACTGCCTCGCCGGTTAGTTTCAATGCCCTAACACTCTATAGCTTGAATTTTGAGTTTTTTTAATTTTTTCGTGTGTGCTTGCAAACGCAGCTTTGGTTTACAAAAAAATACAAAAGCTAACAATTTTTTTTGGAAAAAGGGTGGCATGGTTAGTGGGAAATTTTGATTTGGTTCGGAATGTCGAAATTTCGTAATTACACAATTTCTAATGTCTATTTTCGTTTAAAAATCTACCTGACAATACCCAAAGTAACTTAACAAAAATTTTGACATTCTGAATCTCGACATTTTGAATGAAAACCACATTTTCGGCTTAACAAAAATATCTAAAATTAACGAAAATTAAATTCTAAAATCAACTACCCACTGGCCGTCCCCATCGCAAAAATTTCTCCACACGAATAATGACCGCTTCTGCTTGGTTGCCTGGGTTATAGCTGCCTCCGTTTAGTGCAGCCTTTAGTGGAGGGACAGTGTGCTGTCGACCGCAAGGATGCCCTCTTCTCGCGCGTGTTGCACACCAAGCAGCGCGGCATCGCCGCGAAGGACTACAAGGTCGTGTCGCTCACGTCGTGCCTCGAGGTCTGCGCCGGAAACCCGACGTTAGTTTTTTATCCACACTTTCCGAAGTATTCCAAATTATTCAAAACGCCGAATATGCGACAAAAATTGCTGCTAGCCTGCCTTGTCTAATCTAAATCTTACTCTAAAGTAATTATCTTCGATTAGGATAGGGAATTCTATTATTAGATTTTACTAAAAGAAATCAGAAGTGAAGCAAAATACAAAAATAATCAGAAAGAATAAAAAAAAGAGAAGAACAAAAAACCCAAAAATGATGATATTCAAGTTGCGCCGGAGTGAACTACAACCGCCGCGTCGGCCAATGCGAGGTCTTCGACGCCATCGACGGTGACGCCGACGTCAACGAACACGTCGACTTCTACAGGAATCTCTGCGTCGTCAAGGAGCAAGAGTCGAGCGTCTCCGCCGCCGCCAATGTCCCCATCCAGAAGGTGGTCGCCTCAGCCCACCGCGGTGACCTCAAGGACGGTCTCCAGGCCGCCAAGAAGGTCAGTTTTCGGAGATGTACCTTTTAATGGCTAGATTATCTATTGAAAGTCAAATTATAAAAGGTGGTGAAAACCTAAATACACAACTTTCTAGGCTCGCCCTCATATCAAGCACCAGGAGCACCACCGTCGTGCCCCCGAATCCCGTGATGCCCTTCCTCTCGGTAATTTTTAAAAGTTATTTCTATCAAAAAAACAAGATCCCAAGAGGCAAGCTAGCGAAGACAATTTGAGACCCTAAAACCCTGAACCCTTTAGGTCCGCCCGTCGAAATCCCCCGCGATGCCGTCCACACCATCTGCAACTACGAGGGCATCAAGGTGCAGATCAAGCACACCGACAAGTTCTCCGGCGTCATCTTTGTCAAGAACAAGTACGACACCTGCCGGTAAGTAAATGAAAAGCTTGCTCTAAAAAATTTTTTTTTAGCGTCGAAGTCGCCGCCCAGCCCACGGCCACCCTCACCCTCGGTCTGCCCAAGGACTTCGGTATGAAGCCGATCACCCTCGAGGAGATGGAGGAGGAAGAGAAGGAAGCCAAGGAAGGAAAGGACGCCAAGGCCGAGCTCGTCAAGGAGGACACCCCCAAGCCCGACGATGAGCTGCGTCGTGTGCGCCGTCAACTGGAGCAGGGGCGCGAGTGCGGAATCGCTGATTTGGTGGGTAACATTGACCCTGTTGCAGTCGTCGGCACATTCCGACCTCTATAAACCAACTTTTTCAGGGCAACGGCACCTACACGGCCACCGTCGTCGTGCAGACGAACAACCTCGGAATCCCCGGCCTTGTGACGAGCATGGATCAGCTGTACGAGGTGTCGTGCGACTACTCGAGCATGCTGGGCGGAAAGGTCCAAGCCGGATACAACATGACTGTCAAGTCGGTGATCACAAGGATTGCTTTTTAGAGGCTGTTTTTTAGCGGACCGGAAGCCTCGCTGATCCAGCCGCGCGGAAAGATCGAGCTCGGAAACCCGGTGGCGATGCAAATGACCGGAGAGGGAGATGCGCCCCTGTCGCAGGCCAAGCTCGGAGATATTCTCGAGCTGAAGTGGGAGATTCTGGCTATGGACGACGAGTTGGACTTCTTCGTCAAGGTGGGGATAAGGACAAATGAACTTCGTCGATTTTTGTAAAGCGCTAATAATCGAAAAACAAGCTTTAGTAAAAATTAACGGTTGTACAGTCATTTTACGTGTGAAACCGAAAAAACCATAAAGTTCAGGACTGCGTTGCCGAGCCCGGACAGAACGCCAAGAGCGAGGAACGCCTTCAGCTACTGGAGGGTGGATGCCCGACCCCGGCTGTCGCGATGAAGCTTATCCCCGGACCCGTTGAGCAGAGGTCGAGCGCCGTCAAGGTGAGGACCAAGCTCGAGTACGAAGTGTAACTATTCGGATTCAGATCGCGAAGATGCAAGCCTTCCGCTTCGACTCGTCGCCCAGCGTGCGCATCTCGTGCACCCTCGAGATCTGCAAGGGAGACTGCACCCCGGTTGAATGCGCCCTCACCACTGGACAGCGTCAATCTTGGGGACGCAAGAAGCGTTCGGTCGAGAATGACGTCACGGAATGTGAGATTTACTTTAAAATACGATAACTATTTTATATTTTTACTATTTACTATTGAAAAGCTTCGGAATTGACTATAACAATGTTTTCAGTCGAAACTGCTCGCTACAAGGTTCCCAGAATCGCCCAAGCCACAACCTCGATCGTCATTGTCGACCCATTGCAAACGGTAGGGGAGCACGAGATAAAGAAACGATATACTTAAAGCCGGGTAAATTAAAATCCAACTTATTTTAGGTCTCTGAGCCATTCGCGCTCCAGAAGCAGTCCAGTCTCGACCTCTTTTCCGAAGACCCCGTCGAGCAGGTCTTCGTGGCCCCCGAGGGACAATTCTGCTTGCGGCAAATGTTCCTTTTCTCCATCTTTGGTGAGTTATTCTTTCCAAACTCTCAAAAAACACATTAGATCTAAAAAACTGTCTTTTTTTCTAGGCGTCCTCCTGTTCTTAACGGTGGCCCAAGCAGCCGTCGTCGCCCACTACATCTTCCGCCGCTATTTCGCGGTGTCAAAGAAGCTCTAGAGCGCGCGCTACGCGAAACCCCCGGCCCTAGATGGTCGAATCAATGGTGCTTTCCGAATCCAAAACTATCCTCGCTATCAGGTGTCCTTTCCAACTTTCCAAACCCTAAAAAAACTTTGCCGTGCAATGATGATCCCTTTGCTCAACATTCCCCCGCAGATAATAATAGCCTATCCAAGCCCTCCTTCCCTTTCCCTTCTAAGATAATATTGTGTCCACTGCTGATGATCCAATCTCGTTATGCTTGCCCTACGGTTATCTTCGCACCTCGCCCACATTCCTTGAATACTTTGAGCCCGAAGATGATGATACTGAATACGCCTTATCTCTCGCAGAATCGTACTCCTCCTCCTCCCTCCCCACCCACCCACGATAGATCTTCTTGCATTTCCTGTCTGGATTTATGTTCTCGTTAATAAAAAAAGTTTAACAACGACATGAGTCATATTTACGCACAATTTCCCTCTGGAAAGCAAAATAGACAAAAAAGAACAAAACAATTAGTTAGCAAAATTATAGGAAAGCTAACGCATATTCAAAACAGGAAATCAGAGACCATTACAATCCATAACCACCTATAAAAGAAGCCGCCACCGGAAGACGTAAAACAGCGACCCAACAATGTCCACCCTGACCGTCGACCCGCCAGCTGGAGCCGTGCCCGCCGCAGGAGGAAAAGTCACCCACACATTGGCCAACGGAGGTGCCGCCAAAGTCGTCTTCAAGGTTCACCTACATCCCTAAAGCCCTCAACTTCCCCTCACGCCTCGAAAAATAATCCCGGTTTTAGGTGAAGTCATCGAACAACACCGAATACCGCTTGACCCCGGTTTTTGGCTTCGTTGAGCCGGGAGCCCAGGCCCCCGTTGAAGTGACGCGTCTCGCCGGCCCACCCAAGGAGGACAAGCTGGTCATCGAGTACGGTGACGCCCCAGCTGATGCCGCTACCCCCCAGGACGCCTTCAAGGTTGGGCCATCAACTACCTCCAACATCCCTCTTTTTCAGGGAGTCGCTGCCCCACAGAAACTCACCGTCCCGATCAAGGCCGAATAGACATGACACTCCAGCAAAAAACCCCTCTTCAAACCCCAATGAAATCTCGTAAAACAAAACGCGGGACTGTAATAAAGTTTTTGAATGCACAAACCTTTGTTGGCATTGTACCTATGCATGAATACAGAATGAATCTTCGACACGGTCGCCACTTTCCTGCACGCAGCCAGAAGCTCGAAGGCGGCTGTAATTTATGGAATGTCTCCATTGTCGTGTGCTAGCGCCACTCTTTCTCAAAATTTATTACGACACTACGTCACGACTCACTGGAGCATACAAAGTGACAAACTGAGAAAATAAGAACTACAGTCGAGGGCAATACACAGGGACTACAAGGAGACACCGGACTCGATGAGTGTTCACCCGAGTAGGCTTCAAGAACAGGGGGGGAGGGAGGGTTTAAAGCTATAACACTAAAAACCATGTCACAGAATGAGCAAGCACAAAGTAAACAATTGTTCATCTCAATTGGCGGTGATAATGCGGAGAGTATTTGTGTAGCCGGCGCCCTGCTGCCAACCGGTGACGAGAACGAGGAAGTCGCCCTTGTGGATGAAGCCGCGTTCCTTGCCAACCTGAAAAATTGGCATTTGCAAGGTGTCTGGCTTTATAACCCAGAAAGAAAGAATCTAAAATCTACCTCAATGCCAAAGTTGATACGGTTGTCGACATCAGTCGGCCAGTCGGGGTTGCGCTCCTTGTTGTAGTAAAGCGGGAACACACCGCGATGCAGGTGCAATTGCCGGGCGGCCTTCTCTTGACGGGTGATGGTCAGGATCGGCACCGCAGGCTTGTAGCGCGAGCAGAGAACCGCAGAACTGAAAAATAAACAAAAATAAAGATTTTTTTAAATGACTCACCGGCCAGTTGTGGTGATGACAAGGATAGCCGATGCATGGCAGCTGACCGCGGCAGAAGTGGCGGCGATGGCAATCGTATGTGTCATATCTGAACAGACAATATAAAAATCTACCAATCATCTGTTTACCAGTTGGCTTCGGTGTATTCTGGAGCAGCTCATCGAAGAATTTGCGGTAGTAGAAAGCGGACTCAGCTTCCTAAAGAGCAAAATAACTCAAATGTGACACAAGGAATGTTACCTTGCAAATGAAGTGCATGATCTTCAGTGACTCGAGCGGGTAATCTCCCTTGGCGGTTTCACCGGAGAGCATCACGCAGTCAGCCCCATCCAGAACTGCATTGGCAACGTCACTAAACTATCTGAAAGAAAATCCGAAAATCCTTACCTTCCTTCAGCCCTGGTCGGTCTCGGCTTCTTAACCATACTCTCCAACATCTGCGTGGCGCAAATGACCGGCTTTCCAGCCATGTTACATTTGGCGATCAGCATCTATTCAGAACAATGTAAAAACTGGGGATAGAAAAAGTACCTTTTGGGCCAAGAACACCTTTTCAGCAGGAATCTCGATTCCGAGATCTCCACGAGCAACCATCACACCATCGGATTCCTAAAGCGTACAACTGTTCAAATTCACCACAAATTACCTCAATAATTTCGTCGGCATTGTCGACGCCTTCCTGATTCTCGATCTTGGCGATGATCTTGATGTTCTTGCCATCTTCGCCGAGAACCTGAACCCAAAAATGAACATACGAAAAAAATTTACTTGACGAATGGTGCGAATGCCGTCGGCGTTGCGAATGAACGAAGCAAAGACCATGTCCACGCCTTGCTCAACACCAAAACGAAGGTCCTGAAAAGAATAATGGATCGAAACTATGAGCATTACCTGGATATCCTTTTCGCTGACAGCCGGGAGATCAACGATAGTTCCGGGAAGATTGACACCCTTGCGACTGCCCAACATTCCACCATTTTCCACCGTGCACACAACGGCGTCGTCATGAGTCTAAAAGTTCCAGTTAGAATTGTCGACCCAAATTACCTCATCGACAATCAACGAGATGAGACCATCATCAACGAAAATGCGCGAGCCCTTTTGGACGACCTTTGGCAAGTTGAGGTAGTCTACGTAGAGGTTCACAGCCGTTCCCGAGGACTCGAGCTTCGCGTCCGTTGTAAGGCGAATGGAAGCGCCTTTGACGAGTTCCACCTAAAATATACATGAAATGACATGTCTCTCGAAATACCTCAGCAGAACCACCGCCCTGCAGCAACCCGGTGCGGATTTCGGGACCCTTGGTGTCCAAGGCAATGGCCACAATTCGGTTGTCGGAGAAGCTCTTCACGGCCTCTCGCACATTCTCGATGGTACCGCCGTGGTACTAAACTCCAAATTAATCTAAGCATAAAAGAAATCACCTCATAAGATCCGTGCGAAAAGTTCATTCGAGCAATGTTCATTCCATTGGCAATCATCTGCTGCAGCATGTCGATGGAACGGCAAGCAGGACCTAAAATTGGTTGGTGAAGGTAACCCGCAAGCTCATACCGATGGTACAAATGATGCCAGTTTTGCGGACAACATGTGGGGCCTCGCGGATATCCAGACGGCAGAGATGCTCCAAGTGGGTGGTAGCCGGCTGGGCATCTAGGCGCTGCTCCTGCCTATAAGAAAAACGTTTGATAAATTTTCTTGTTTTAACCCCCCCCACTCGTTTTTGATCCTCTCGGTCCAACCTTATCATTCCAAAAACGGAAATTACTGTCAAAAGAATACCGCCTGTCAATCAAGAACCCGGTCGCCCGCTTACATGTAATAGGAGCTATCAGCGTCCGGAGATCCGGAACGGCTATGGTCGTTGGTCATCTTGTTATAGATTACGAAACACCCGTGAATAATATGTCTGAGCGGGGGAAACAGGAGCTCCTCTTTGCCAAATAAATAGCATTCCGCCGTGAGACGCAGAGAAGGAGCGCGGGCCCTTTGGGGGAAAAGCAAGGGCCTCTATCGATCAACATCCGTTTCTGGGTGCGTAATTTTTCGAAGAGGCGCGATCCAATGAAGCCACCGACTGCTTGTTTTTACCGCGGGCAGGCAGCCCCATACCTAGCAACAAGTTTACATCGAGTAAGTCTGGACGTAAAACGGACAGCGTATGCCAAAGAATTAAATAGCATTGAAAATGTTTTAAAACTGGAAACCTAACCTATACGGCGCGTAGGATAGGGGATCGATACATGCAAATCTATAACTTAACCCAACCTAGAAAGGATCAAGGAAGCTTATCGTTAGAGTATGCCTGGACCACGATCAGCCTCAAACTAGCAGTACCCCAAAAATAGAAAAACGGCCTACGCGGCCTGCACCAAACCTACACATGATCATAAGCGGCCTCGTCCAACTGCTTACGGAAACCTTCATCGATCGTGAAAGAAGTCATTCTTGTAGATTCAATTCCACAGAACGGCTACTGCAAAATACGCATAGAAGGGGATAACGAACGGGGAGAAAATCAACGTTGGAAAAGAAAACATTGATTTTCTAAATAAGGCGTATGGGCGCTGCGAAAAATATCGTTGATCGCAATCGGAAACTTTGGTGGAAAAAGAAAGCCAGCCAGGATCCAAAAATTGCCAAGTCCGTACAACTGGCGACGGAATCCGTAACTTGGAATTCCGCGTAGGGGGCGTAATGTAGTGGAATCGAAATTCCTTACATTCTTTCTATTTTTGAAGATAACCTACAAGAAAAGAAAAGAAAAGAAGCCAAGAAGTAGATGGATGCAATGGATTCCCTTACGTCTGCGCGTGATGAAATACTAGGGTTTTTAGAGGAGTTCAATGACGAAATGGTGCCAAAATTTAATGTGTAACAAAGCTCAAATCAGGAAACCCATCAAAATAGCGGGCCAAGGATTCGAATCCAAAGACCTCCAGTTTCTTCCGAGTAACTTGTGCTTTCCCCATATCATCCAGCATCCATTCTAATAAAAAAAGTCAATGACAAGGCCGCCTGTAGGATGTCGGTCTTCAAATTTTGTTCGTCGGCGGCGAATCGATGATCGTGAGGTCAGTGGGGGACATTGGGCCGAAAGAGCGGAGGGTCTGCCTGGGTCTACCGGAAAAGTAGGAAGCTGACAGCCCGAGTTTTCCTCCCCTCTTGCCGATCAGTGCTCGGGTCCAAAAAGATTCTCGGTCGCCGGTCGCTGCTTTGCTGGTTTTTTGAGTGGAGACACACGAAAAAGGGAAGGGCGTGTATTTACCCCCAGATCGGAATATTTTCAGCCGCTTTGAAGTTTTTTTTTCCATTTTACATAATCTTTTGAAGGGATTGACCCAAAATATAAGCCCTATGATTTGTCGCCTACTCACTTGAAATAAGCACCAGCTCGCTCCTCGTCCAAAGTCATCGCATGCTCTGAATTAAATCGGGTGAAATTAATGGCAAGGGCATTACCAAGTCTCTTGTGGTGATGCTCCTTTCCAGGGGCATGGGATCCCTTAAATAAACTTTATGACAAGCCCGGACATCTACCAAATGCAGTGCATCTTCCAACTTCTCGGCTGCGCCCAGCACCTTATCTTTTATGTTGTCCAACAGCTGAAACCGGCGATTTCGAAACCGATAATTTCTTTAGCAACGCAAGACGCGTGGTAAAGTACTCTTCCTTTATAACCAACTCGATAATATCGGCCATGTATATAACTGCGGAAGAAACTTACATCACCCATATTGTCGATAAGTGGCTTTAGGTGAAGCGGCTAGTTGTTTATCGGTGAATGGATCGCACAGCAGTTGTGGGGCCACCTAGGAGAGAGCGGCGAGCCGACGATAACAAGCGACCAGGGCGAGGACCCAGAGACGTCTATAGAGGGACTTTGGCCAGTGAACGGAGAAAGCGCCTAGTCCAGCTGGCAGGGTCAAAGCCCTAATCCCGACAACCCAAAAGTATTTCCCTTTATGCGCGAGCCCCGGTCCAATGTTGCTCTGTATGCTTTTCAACGATAAAATCAATTAATTTATTTTAAACGCTGATGGGGTGATAACAATCTAATGAAAAACAATCGTGGGGGCTCGGAAAATAACGCCGTTTATCATAAAATAACAAACAACAGTAAACATTTCACATGCGATCAAGGAAGTTATCCAGAGCAGGGATTCCCTCTTTGAGTCCTTTGCGTTTCCTCGTCTCATTGACGACGACGTGGGGGCGGGTGGAGGGGTCGAGGGGGTCTCCGGGGAGGATCTGCCAATGGTCGAACACGCATTGAGGGAAGGCCTGTCCACCGGTGTTGGAGCGGAGGTCAGCGGTGAATCCTAAAAGAAAAAAATATTAACGTTTAATCGAGAAAAACGTACCGAAGGATTCATTGACAGGAAGGTAGGCCTTGACGATGAACATGGGTGTTCCGGCAACCTAAAGAGAATCTATATAAGAAAACAGATTAGCAAATTTACCTGGGCTTCTTCAAAGACGTGTCCACGACGCCTGTTGAGCACGCCATAGATACCACCGACGGCTTGTTCGGGGCACTGGATCTCGACCAAGTAAACGGGCTCTAGGAGACGAGGACCGGCAGTGATGCACGAAGCGTAGAAGACACGGCGAGCGGTCGGGATGATCTGGCCACCACCACGATGGATGGCATCAGCGTGGAGGGTGACGTCATGGATGTCGAAGCGGATTCCGCGCATGTTTTCGTCGCAAAGCACTCCTTCCTTGGTGGCCCACTGGAAACCGGCAACGCACGAATCCTTGATTTCGTTGAGGTACTGCACTCCCTTCGTGACATCAACAAGGAGGTTGGGGCCAGTGCCGTCAGGTCCGAAGCACCAGATCTTGCGGGCCTCGGTGGGGTCATATTCGTACTTCTCGTGGAGGATCTTGGCGCGGGCCTTGAACTCGTCACGGGGGTTGACCTCGCCCTTCTCGATATCATCAGCAAGGCCGTCAGGCATGGGCTTGGCCGTGCAGTGCAGACGGTTGTGCTTGTTTGGCGACTTCGACAAGCAAATTTGGTTGGACTCAGTCTCGACTGTTTCACGGTAGGAGACGACGGGGTCAGACTTCTTGAGGGGGATGCAGGCGTGATCCTCTTCCAAATCCTTCAAGCAAATCTCGAGATGGAGCTCTCCAGCACCAGCGATGATGTGCTCTCCAGACTCCTCGAAGATACATTGCACCATGGGGTCGGACTTGGCGAGACGCTTCAGACCTTCCACCTGAAAAACAAGGGTGGGCCGCAAAGTTAAAGCTTACCAATTTGGGCAGATCTCCGGGGTTCTTTGGCTCGACGGCAACGCGCACGACGGGGGAGACGGAGAACTTCATGACACGCATGTTGTGGGCATCCTTGTAGGTGGTGATGGTTCCTCCCTTGACGAGGTACTGGTCGACTCCGACCAGACCAGCAATGTTTCCGGATGGGATGTCCTCGATGGGCTCGATGTAGCGGCCCATCATGAGGATGGTGCGCTGGATGGTCTTCTCGTACAGATCCTCCTTCTTGCCGGGCACGAAGTTGGGTCCTTGGATGCGGGCCTTCATTCCGGTGGCGACCTAAATAAACTTGTAAAAATCGTAAAAAAAATTCCCTACCTTGCCAGAGAAGACACGGCCGAAAGCGTAGAAGCGACCCTTATCGGAAGTGGGCACCATCTTCGAGACGTACATCATCAATGGGCCGTTAGGGTCGCAGGTCTTGATGGCGACGGCAGCCTCATCATCATGGGGTCCCTCGTAGAGCATCTCCATACGGTACTTCTGGGCAGTCACGGGCGACGGCAAGTGGATGCAGATCATTTGAAGCATAGTGTCTCCTGCAGGCAACCAGCGACGCATGAAGACCTAGAAACAAAACGATTAGAAAAGTCTCCTGGCAAATATGCATACCTTCATCAACGGCTTGCCCTCAAGGTCGCGCTCGTCCACGGCCAGCTTGATGCCGAGCTTCTCAACGAGCTTGGCGGTGTCGTCCTTCTTGACGTTCATGATGGCATCGAACACTTTGAAGATCGGGTCGAGGACGAACTGCACAAATCCACGGACTGATCCGGGAGTGGAGGTGTTGCTCCACTTCTTGGTCTTCAGGTCGAAGAAACGATCTCCCCAGAGGTTCTTCATGAGCTTGTCGACCTGGACGCCGAACTTGTCAGCGTAGATCTCGGCGAACTGCTTCAAGGTGAAAGCCCATCCGTGGAGTCCAGATCCAAATCCGACGTTTCCGACAGAGGGGTCGACCATGATGGCTCCCATCGGGCCATCGTCATCTCCGTAGGTGGCAATGATGACGTTGATGTTCTCGACAATACGTTGGAAGGTCTGGAAGAGCTCTTCCTGTCCAAGCTGGAGCTCGAGCAAGGCACGGTCCATCTTGTTCATGAAAAGCACGGGCTTGATACGCTCGGCAATGGCCTGACGAAGAACGGTCTCGGTCTGGACACACACACCTAAAACAAACAAATATATAGTGAAATATGCAACCAACCCGAAACGCAGTCGACGACAACAAGGGCTCCATCAGTGACACGGAGGGCAGCAGTAACTTCGCTGGAGAAATCAACGTGGCCGGGAGAGTCGATCAAGTTGATCAGGAAACCGTTGTACTTCTCCTTCTTGCCATCGACGTCGCGGACCTCGACTTGGGTCTCTCCCTTGATGAAGGGGATATCCTTCTTGTCAAGTTCGAAGAACATGGAGATGGCACTGAAAAGAGAAAAATGGATCATAAAACGAAATACTTACGTCGACTTGATGGTAATGCATCGCTCCTGCTCGTCCTTGCGCGTGTCGGTGAAGCGAGTTTCTCCGGCCTTGGCTCCGGCGATGATACCGGCCTTCGACACGAGGGAATCGGTCAGGGTAGACTTTCCGTGGTCGACGTGAGCAATCACGGACATGTTGCGGATGTTTTTCTTGTGGTCCATAAGGCCACGGATCTCTTCGATCGTGAAGTTCACCTAACATCAAAAATCAAGAAAAGAAAAATATAACCAACCATTGTGGGAGAGTTGCGGTTACTCGAAGTAACACGATTTCACCCTCAAAGTTTCGGCCGCACAGATGAGGCGGTGCTGAAAAATGCCGGGTAACTCACGCCAAAAGATTTCCTCAGAGAGAACTGCGAGGGTACGGTGCATTCAGGGGTCAATACGGCGCGAATTTGAACCGGGGCAGACACAAAGGGGAAAGAGAGCGCCAAAAACGTCCAATAGTTCAAGAAGTTTGTAAAAACTGATAGGATCGTTTATGAAGACAAAATCGAGATTTATAGAGGACCTTTAGGTCTAAGAAATCTAAGAAAATAAATCAAAAGAGCTGTCTTTTCGATATCGGCGCGGAAAAAAGCCGAACAATTCGCGGAGAGATGATTGCTTGGTATTTGGGTCCCGGAGCAAACTTTTATCGTATGTGCAAAATTGTGGTTTAGAAGTCACTGAATGGATTACGCCATGTAAACTCCCTGCCCCAATTTTTTGTTTTGGTTTTTATTTTTATTGCGCCGTGTTATAACCTTTTTTCTCTTTTTATGACGGTGTTTCAGGTGCTAGCATGGACGAAGCGGAGAATGTTGCCAACCCGAAGCCTCAGTCATCCCTGGCGGCCAAAAAGTTTGTTTCGTTCTATTAATATTAAAGTTTTAACCAGGCGAGAACTGCTAGCAGGCCTATTGCCTCCGAGTCGCCTCCAGAACGCCGACAATGATTGTGAAATCGACCTCAGCCGGCCCGAAGATTACAGGCAGATCAGATTTCCCGAAAAATTAAGGTTAGGTTATCGCAAGATTCATAAATTTCCTCTCTAGGTTGCCAAAAAAGTCGATAACAAGTCCGCCAACCAAGAAAGGGGTGAGCTACGACGCGCTTGAACACGCCTTGGAAGAGCGATTAGCGGCAAAGAGAAGAGCTGGCCAAGCAAAGAGGGCTGAACTCTACAGGCAGGACAATGCCGAGTTGTTTGAGGTCTGGGTGATCTCAAAGTATCTCAAAACTTGAAGTTTAGAGTGATGATGAAGAGGATGACGAAGAAGAAGAAGATGATCAAAAGTACGAAGAACAACGCAAGAAAATCCGGGAAACTATTCTACAAAGGGCGGGTGATGAGGACGAGGAACTTGATGATGAAAGCTACCACGGCGACGAGGAGGGCGAGTCGGGGAGTGAAAATGAGGACGAGGAACAAAATGAGGATTCGTCCGATGAGGAATGTGTTAGCCGTAAGTTGCGCTTTATTTTCTGGTAGTTCGGTTCCAGCGATCAACAAAAGCTTCTACGGTGCGGAGAACAAGATTTGCACGCAAGAGGAAGAGGCATCACAAGGGACTAGCCAGACAGTGGAGGTGCAGGTACGTTATTAATATCCGCTCTTATCAATGCTTTAGGAAACCATTGCTACCCCACAACTTCCGGTGCCACAAACGTTGAGCCAATGGTTTCGAGAAGACTCTCCAACTCGATCTCCACCGAAGCAAATCATTCGTTAGTCTAGATAATTCTCAAGAAACAATCGCTTTCAGCACTTGCACCCGCTCCATATGTCAAGCCCGATCTCACCGCCGTCAATTCTCAGTGGATGGACGACCCGGATTTATTGGCGCTGTGCTCGGGCCGATTCGATACGCAAGAATCGTGAGTTTTTGGGTTTATAATCACCTTTACGATTTTTAGCGACTCCGCTGGAGCAGAGGATCCAGAAGACGCGGATGATGTCGTGTTTTCAACGCAAGCCAAGAAAATTCGCAACGGCATCAATTCTGATGACGAGGAGCAAGAGGAAGCGACCGCTAGTACAAGTCCGAAGGATTTGGAAACCGAGCGCCCTGCCTCCCCGGAAAGAGTGGGTGCAGAAGAAGCGCTGATCGACAGGGATTCCGACGAGGTCACGGTAATCGTTATTTTGGTCTATATTTTCCTCATATGTAGATGCCTTCACAACGGAAACGGGCGGTGCTTGCGGAAGAACTGGAGGATGAAGATGAGGAAGATCATGGAGAAGAAGAGGCTGACCAGTTTGAGGAAGAAGACGAGGAGCAAGAAATGGAAAACGAAGCTGAGCGTCCGGAAACCCCTCCAGGATCGGAAATCGACAGTGATGACGAACTCGCACTTTTCCAACGCGCAGAACATCGGAGACAGCTTAAAAAGTGAGGGAGGAAATGTGACGTGTGGGGTTTGGCCAGGAAGAAAGAGCCTATTCGAATTTATAGGATTGTCAAACAACGAGCGCGGAATCTATTTTTGGTCGAAAACCAAACCTAGCTTATCTTAAAAAAATTAATTGACAACGTAGATTAGTTTGTAAAGGATTCCGAAACCCGAAAGCTGGGTAATATCCGAAAAGCCCAAAAGAACTCTTAAAAAGAGGAAATACGTATATCCTCAAGAGAGCTGCTTACATAGGGCTAGTTCCACCAGATTGCGCAATATTGTGCCACCGGTACTATTGTTTTGATTATGGTGCAATCGGTTTCTATCTAGGACTGTATTGATGGGGGGTTAGAAAAAAGTGCAAAATTTTGTGTTGCAACTATTTGTAGAGCTTCTTCGTCTTTCCCGCTGTTGCTCCCCGCTTTCCGCAGCGTGCACCGGAAAGCAGGCGATTGGCTTGCGCCACATCTTTCCTCAAGGCTTTCGATAAAATCTTTCGTAAAGATGGTCCTGATCCCAAAATAGGGTTGGGGGAATGATAAATCCATTATGGCGATTGAAAAAGAGGCTAGAATAAAAGAACTGCGAATCCATATTGCTTGAAAAACTTTTAATTTCAGAGCCGGTTTTGTCGACGAGCAGGCAGAATTGTCGGGCAGCGACGTCGGTAGTGAGGATGAAGATGAAGATCGAGAAGCTGATGAATATGAGGTAATTCAGAAAAATGTTTTCAACTCTTTTTAGAAAGACGCCGCCGATGATGAGGCCATTGATATGGATGAAGTCGAGAATCAAAACCTTCGGCTTTACCAAAAGCAGCGACTAGACGAAGATCGTAGCAAGATGCGACTGCTACAGGAACAGTAAGTCCTTCACCCATTTCTAAGTAGAATAATTTAGGTTGTTGCCCGATGGCGACTTGGATGTTCCCGAAACAAATCGCGGGTTCCGTTTTGCATTGCGTGATGACGAGGAGAATATTCCTGCCTTTCAAATGGAAGAAAATATGGAAGAGGACGATGATGAGGCAGAAGCCGAAAAAGCCGCGGAAAGTAGAACCAATGTTTTGCGTTTCCAATTGGAACATCAAAGCGTGAGAATCCTCTTTCGCTTCTTATCTTGTTTTAGGAGGAAGTTGTAATCAAGAAGCCCGGTGACGCTCTAAGTGATGCATTTAATAGTGTGGAATCACTTCTTGGAAAGAAGGTATAGCTAAACATTTCAAAAAAATTTATTTCGTTTTCCAGATCAAGAAAGCTCCGGTGCCTAAAATGACAATGCTTGGCCTGAATCACTCTTTGAACAAGGAAAGCTCTAACCTAACTTCGAAGGCGCTGTATGTCTCTTCTAAGCCAGGTGCGAAGTTTCATCTCTTCTAATCCAGAATCTAGGGAATGTTGCAAAACGACCACCACCCACGACTCTTTCTGCACCGAAACGGGCCAAGCTTTTACTGTCTGATGCTCTCAATAATGCTCAAGAATTGCCTTAACCTCTCTTTGACGGGTTGTATTGTTTGGATAAATTTTCATTGCTATTTCTTGACTGTTCATCAGCCGTTGCAACGGTTTGCTATCGTTATATGGGACTACCGCACAGGACCATTATATTACACCAGATTCAGATGTTCCGTTTGGTAGTTACGAAATCGCACAACATATGTAGGACTCCAGTGGCTCAAGGTATGCATTTTGCCTATTGATGGCAACAATCTCCTAGGTTCCGTTCGGCATTTCGCAGCCCCAGGTGCAAAAGTCGTGCCTCAAAAGGAAGACAAGTCATTCGTCGACACCGACGCCGAGAAATTATCTAAGCACGTCTGCGTTAATTTTTATGTCCAAGGTGCGCTGACAGAAATCTAAAAAACTATTGAATTCAGGAGAAGAGCCCGGCCCTGCCATCAAACCAGATTCTGAATATCCGGAATGGCTGTTCAAGCTGGATTTGAAGCCTCCACAGCCTTTAGAAGATCTTGACCCGGAAAAGGTAAGATCTTTTCTTTACTTGATATTTTTAAAATTCAGGATGGATGGCAGTATTGGCGTGAATTGCGAAAGCGGCAAATGCAGCAGATGAGGAGGTTGGGCTCCCGTTTTGTCTCTAAAGTTTTGTTTAGACTGGAACAAGTCCGATTGAAGAGGCTGCACCTTCAGGATTCGCCGAGCATGAAGAATTGGCGGCGATTTTAATGTTTATCTATGATTGTTGTAGTTTAGGAAAACGTTTATGTGGTTCAGGAATAAATGTGATTACCATTTTTCAAACGCGCACTATTTTAGCATGCATAGCAAATTTAGAATGCGGAATAAGTTATTGCCGGAAGTGTCCGAGATTTGACTGTAAATACACCCTGAAAAGGCGCCGTACCCCGACGGCCCATTCACATTCTGCGCGCACAGCTCGATTCGACACGATGGGAGAAGGCGGTGAAAAGAAGGAGAAGCCGAAGAAGGTACGTTCTTTGTTTCCGGTTTTTTCATGGATTTTCAGGGATTCAATGCCCAAAAATTCTTCATCGACCTGGCTTCGGGCGGAACTGCTGCTGCCGTGTCGAAGACTGCCGTCGCCCCGATCGAGCGTGTGAAGCTGCTGCTGCAAGTGCAGGATGTCTCTACAACCATCGCCGCCGACAAGCGCTACAAGGGCATCATGGATGTCCTCGTGCGAGTGCCGAAGGAACAGGGTGTTGCTGCTCTTTGGAGAGGTGAGCTTTGGCTGCAAGACCTTCTTTCTCTTTGCTAAAAAATCCGCTCTTTCCAGGAAACTTGGCCAACGTCATCCGCTACTTCCCGACTCAAGCGCTCAACTTTGCCTTCAAGGACACGTTCAAGAACATCTTCCTCAAGGGCGTCGACAAGAAGAAGGACTTCTGGAGGTTCCTGCTCGGCAACTTGGCTTCCGGAGGAGCCGCCGGAGCCGCCTCGCTGTGCTTCGTCTACCCGCTCGACTTCGCCCGTACGCGTCTGGCCGCCGACGTCGGCAAGGGCAACTCCCGCGAGTTCAAGGGTCTCGGTGACTGCCTGGTGAAGATCGCAAAATCGGATGGCCCCATCGGTCTCTACCGCGGTTTCTTCGTCTCCGTCCAGGTATCGTCATTCATTTGGAGCTTCCTACGTTTTCATGTATAGGGTATCATCATCTACCGCGCCGCCTACTTCGGCATGTTCGACACGGCCAAGTTCGTGTTCGCGCCGGGCGATGGCAAGAAGCTCAACTTCTTCGCCGCATGGGGTATCGCCCAGGTGGTCACCGTCGGCTCGGGCGTGCTGTCGTATCCTTGGGATACTGTGCGTCGTCGCATGATGATGCAGTCTGGTCGCAAGGACATCCTCTACAAGAACACTTGGGATTGCGCCGTCAAGATCGTCAAGAACGAGGGCATGAGCGCCATGTTCAAGGTATCACAATCCTTACTTTCCCTTACAAAACCCCCTAGGGCGCTCTCTCGAACGTGTTCCGCGGCACTGGTGGCGCCCTCGTGCTCGCCATCTACGACGAGATCCAGAAGTTCATCTAGGCCACACCATCACTATCCACCACCCCCGAAAGAACAATTTATCTCGTTCATTAACGCGCCCTCATTTTGCTGCTTTTCTTTTTTCTTTGCTTGATGAGCGAATAAATGTTTATTTCAGCTTTTTGGGGAGAATAATACTTCCGCAGTTTATTACAGTCTAACAACGTACAACCCGTGATAAAGATAAATGTTGGAAATTACGATTTAGGGGATAGGGGGATGATGCTCAGTTGTGGGGCTCGATAATGGTTGACATTTTGGGGCGTTTCTTTTGCGGTTGCGTTGTGTGGATGACGGGCGGGGTCTGTTGCGTGGCCAGGGATTTGAAGACGTCGGCAAGGAGGAGAGCGTGATCTTTGACGAGACCCTCCCAAGAATCGGAGGCCATCACCTAGAAACTCGTTGTTTAGGAAAATTTCTGGATTTTCCATACCTCAGCCGCGTATCCGTTGATAAAGTTGATGGCGTTTTGCCGCAGTTGAACGGCGTTGTGTCGGTCGGCAAGTACCAGCGTACAGCATGCGTTTTCGGAGGTCAATGACGAGCAGATTGCTTGCTCGCACATCACCTGGAATTTTCAAATATTCATGGCGCGAGTCTGGGGACCTACCTTCAAACGATGCAGATCATATTTATCGGCGGCCGCCAGCAAACTCGGCGCCATAGTTGCCATTTTTGGCGATTGACCCGTGTACATGTAATGCACCATCTCTTGTACGACCTCGGCGTCGACGTCATCAATTGTTACCTAGCAAAGTAAAGATTTATAAAGTCCCTTCTTGTAGCTAACTCACCTCGCTGGTGACGCTCTCGCGCATTGGATGCTCAAACATTGACCGGAATACGGAGGATCGGGATGCGAGTAGGGCCTTGTGAACCTGAAAGTGTTGCGTTAATTTTTCAAGTTTTGAGTACTTACCGATATCTCATTTCGAATCGGTTCCCCGTCAATTCCTCGATTCAAAATTATCAATTTCGTGTCGGCAAAGAGCCCGGACTCGTAGAGAGCGCTGAGATCATCCGGTAATGTACATGGTGGGACCTGCGCGTTGATCAATTAGATAAATACTCTTTTTGAACATACTTTAAACACCGTGGCGTTCGATTGGCCAGTGACATTGACAGTCTCCGCAACAACAGAAACCTGAAATTCTCATGAGCTATCTATTTATTGAACTTGCCTCGCAGAAGATACTGAGCTTGTCATCTGGCAACAATCCGTTATTTTCGTCGAGCAAGAAATCCCGCCGGATGAATTTCTTGAAGCCCCAATCTTTTCCTTGCACAAAACGATAGGCGCGTTGAGACTCTGAAGGACAATATCAAAACCCGAGTCATTACAGTTACCCATCGCTTTCGTTTCCTCGCGCTTCACGTTCAAAATCGAAAACTTGAACTTTGCTCGGACTTCATTTTTGTTGCTTTGAACGAGGAGCAAGTAGAGCGAAAGGTAGTCACGAGATTCCTCATCGAGTCCTGAAATTATATCTACCATGCGTGATGCTTGACGCACCTTTGGGGTTGATCCGTAGACACCATTTTAGCTTGTCGTTTACACCCGCCGAAAAAGTTGAAGACTTCAATACCTAACAGAATATGAAACTTCGTGTATTTAATGCTATTTATTACCTCGCCCATCTCCTCGCGGCAGAAGCTGAAGTTGTTGATCGTCCACATGTAGTTGAATTTGACGACTTTTACCTAGAAAACGCGTTTGTAAATAATATTGTGCCTAGATTTCCCGCCAAAATAAACATACCTGTGTGTGGCACCAATTTTCAGCCGTTGGCATCCGCGCATCGACAATATTTCCTGTCCGTGAGTCGACACATGGTGAGGTCGAACGGAAGACCGATGGACCTGGCTGACCCTGACCTGCCGTCACCAGCTCATCCTAAATAAAGTATATTTTGAAAGCTTACTTTAGCATTCGTTTACCTGAGCTGCTCCATCATCTGCCATGTTTCGCCGAAGCGATCGAGCTGAGCGCCGCTAGAGCCCGTAGATGCACAAGCGTAGATGCCTGCAAAAATGTAATTTCATGAGATTTTATCTCGAAGTATGTCACCAAAATCAAAGGGAAAAATACACTATAAGAACGAAAAAAGCTGGCCAAGATTGTGCTCCAAAAGCAAAAGATCAACCAAACGAGAATCGAGCCTACTGCGAGTGATAACAGGGAAAACAAACGGCTGACAGAAGGGGCTGCGGCGGGCTTCGCGAGCGGTTGGAGTCGGGGGACGGCGGGCAGAGAGCGAGAGGCCGGCCGGGTGCCGAGCAGGCCGCCCCGGAGAGGATCGACCGGGCACACACACGCAGCCACCGTTTTCCTATCCATGGCTGGTGGAGACTGGTAAGATAGATCACGGGTTGGCGAGTGCATGCTAGGAACGGAAATCGCAGTTCATGCTCAATCGCCAATTTGGCCGGGAATCAAGAGCGGCACTTGGAAAAGTGGATGTACCTATCTAGCCAGCAAATTTTTATTTCTGTAGGGTAGGGCCAACGCCGAGTACAAAAAAAAATTTAAAAACAAAAGGAAACTTTTATCTAGATTTACATAAATTTTATTAAGCATTCCGAAACACACCCCTTATGGTTTTTGTGCTTTGGAGTGTAAGGGAACAAGAAATTTCATTTTTTGTCAAAAATAATAAAGTTGAAGAAAAGTACTAAAATAAAATCGCATTATGGCTTGTAAAGTGACCTTAGTAAAGATCTCGGTTCTAATTTCATGTTTTTAGTGCTAGCTTCTTCGCAAGTTTCTAAAGTGACCCCACCGTAGAGGCTTTTATCGTTAGAGTCCTATCTTAGTCTGAAAAAACAGCCTCATAATTTTTTCGTATGGTCAGTGCCGATCCTTGCGACTGCATCAAGTCCCGTGCTTACCCAGGCCAAGGGCTAAAAACGCGCCGGGTGACAGTAGGCCGCACGGGGCCGTTTGGGCTCTTTTGGGGCGTGAGCAATAGAGGACAATTGAAACGAAGGACCACGCATCAACGATCGCGCACCTCTAACAGACGGAATTCGATTCGCATTCGAGCAAACATATTTAAAAATCCATCGACAGCAGGTTTTGACTCACGCCTGAAATCCCAGACAAAGCTTTTCGCCTTGGCAAAACGCCCCTATCCATATACAACGGCCGTTCCTTGCTTAGTCATCGGCACACTGATCGATAGCTTTCAGATAGAACCTTGTTATTGCGTTCCTTTCATTCCGTTTGGTGTCCCGCCTAAGATTCTATTAATGTGAGCCGTATTTTCAGGTTGTGAACCTGATGTGTTAACGAGTCGAGGCGGGTATTGACATCGTTTTGTATGCGTTCCTCCAAACGCCAACTTCAAAATGTCGCTGACGAGGAGCGTTTGTCAAGAACTCTGCGAATTTGTTCAGAGTAAGCGTGTATTCTAGGACCTTTGAATCTTTTTGATTCTAGACAAGCCCAGTTCCGTACTCGGACAGAAGTTCTTTGACCTGCGCGCGGTTTTTCAGGCGGAGGTATCCTCAGGTTTACAGAAATTAATGATTTTTTTAGACTTCCTACAAAACCGATAAATTTGAAACACGAGTAATCGCACTATCGAAATTTCGCGTTTTTCTGCTGCAAGGAAAGACTCCGGGCTCCATCAAGGTAAATTAGTGCTTAATTTTCGTCACTCTTCTGACTTTTCAGATCGACCGTTCCTTCCATGTTTTGACGATTCGATCTATCCAAATAGTCAGTGAGGATGAGGTACGGATTGTTTTTGGCTTTGTCACAGGGATTCTTTCTAGCTGGCACTGACAATCGACGAAGGCGGTAGCCGACGACGCGTCGTGCTGAAAGGAAATCCAGCCAATACCGTCGCCACGCACTTTTTATCTGCCATCAAGGTAGCATGACCCCAACTACGTCCAGCCAAAACATTTCTTCAGCATTATTTCCCGGACATTGGCCCAGTTTTGCGGAATTTGGTCGATGTCGAGCCAAAGACGTTATGGAACGCGTTTGACGAAATCAAGATCGAGGTACCTTACTGGCCCGAAAGACCATACATTTCTCTTTAGGTGACTCCTCGCCCATGCCACTCCTTCAGACGAACCTACGCGGCCCTTTGTGACTATTTTGATCAGCCATATCGAGAAGAAGTATCATGGGTATATCTTCTGTTTGCTTCTCCAATGTATTTTAGGATGTCGAGAAAATATATACGATAAATCAAATCACCGAGCTGCGGATCGAAGATTTCTCTCACTTGCTTCCCAAGTAAGCGATTGAGCAAGATAAAAAAACCTCGATCTTAGGGACCTGTTACCGATAGTGGGCGTGCTGCAATATTCCTCATATTTCACCGGATTGACGGTTGATGGCTTAAAATTACCGCCAGGTATAGCTGTCAAAAAAATATTATTAAGATCCCGTTTTAGATTTGGTTGATGTGATTCTCAGCGTCATTCGTCGCTCCCAATGGCTGACACATTTGCGTTTGGTCAATTGCGGATTGCCGAAGTGAGAATTGGCCGATTTGTTTTAAAATGGTTGTATTTTCAGAGACTTTATCACCCTTTTCTGCTCGGCCGTTCAGCAAAATGTCAACCTACCACTGGAGATCCTGAATTTGGCAAAGAACGTCTTCGATGACAAGAAAGGTGAGGTTTATCCAGTTTTGCGATTTACACGTTTTTTACAGGGTTCCATGCTCTCTCGACCTGCATGCCACGGCTTGTCTCCTTGCGTGAAGTGTATATGAATGAATGCGGACTCACGGATAAATGCTGTTCGCTACTTTCCGCGGCGCTTTATGGAGCGCTTTCGCCCAACAAGTGAGAAAACATATTATTTTTTCACGTTTTTTGTTTAGAATCTCTACCTCAATGCAACTTACCCATCTCTGCCTTTCGAAGAACAGCCTGAATGGCGATGTAAGTGTTTTGTATTCGAGCGGCCATTAACTTTGTTTAGTCATCGTCACTGGTCAACCTCGTCTCGCTTTGTAATTCATTGCGTGTGCTCGACGTTTCCGACACTCAACTATCGCTTGACAAATTGTGGCCAGCCCTGAAATATGGCGGCTTGCAAGTGGAACGACTGATTTTGTCTGGTGCGTGTTTTTCCATATTTCTCATGCTTTTATTCTATAGGCTGTCAAGTCGGGTCAAAGAAGGTGCCCCCAGAGCTGTCACAAACTGTGAAGGAATTCTTTGCCATGGCCGTCGGGCTGGTGGAGGTGGACTTCTCCCATACCGTACTCCCCACCGAGGTTCTGAAGGCAATGCTGCTTGGATTGGCTTGTAATCAACAGGCAAGATCGCTTCTGAAAAATCTTACTAATTTTTTTAGCTGAAACCCTTCACATTGACACTGAATGGATCAGTAGAACGGGGAGCAGCTCCTGTGCTTGAAGCTGGATTACCTGGCGTTTCCGCCCGTGTACTGTCTTTACGAGACAACAATTTTGAAGCGGAAATGCTGGTTGGTCTGCCGAAGAATTTTCTGAAAATACTTTTAGGGTGTCGTCTCGGCGTTGGCGGGAATGCCGGAGCTAAAACGTCTCGATGTCGGCGGCTCCAATCTCACGTCTCTGCGCAGAAGCGGCAAGCAGCAACACGTCCATTCGATCAACAAAATCCTGCTCGAATTGGTCAAACTGGTCGGAGATGACGGGGTCGGTACAACGCCCAATTTTCAATATTCTATTTTTTTTAGCATTTGGAAGAGTTAGTCCTGTCTGATGCGAGACTTGGTGCTCATCTTTCCGTGCTGCTCAACACCCTTGGGGCGACCCCGTGCTTACGGTAAACTCAGTTGGCACTTGGATTTACGTTTCTGTTTAGACATCTCGATATATCCGCCAACGAGATGGGAAATTTTGGAGCGCGTATTCTCAGCAAGGCCCTTCAACTAAACGCCTCGCTCCGTACCATCCTCATTGACGGCAATCATATCACGGCCGATGGATTCGCAGATATTGCCTCGGCTATCCAGAGGTTTCTACCAATAAATAACAAAAAAAATGCTGTTTAGTAACTACACGTTGGTGACGCTGCCGTATCCAGTGCTGGACGCCTGTGAAGCAATCGTCCGTTCCGATAAAGCGAAGACACTCAACGCCCTTTCTCAAATAGAAACTGTGCTGGAGAGAAATAACGCCCATTCCGCGCCAGCTAGCGCCAATTTCAAGAGAGCGCTGTTCACGTTGAATCAGGTATGGATAAATCAATCGACCAAATCAATTACGTCTTTAGCAATCTGATGGGATGAGCTGGGACTCTGTCTGTGCTGCGGAGGGCGTGCTTCGCGCTGTCGCTGATCAGCCACTACCGTTGAAGCTGAGAGCGGATACGATTACTTTTGTGGAGCAGGTGTAACATTATTTAATTTGATAAATTTGGGCATCCTTACAGCTACGTACGCAAATGAGAGCGCATCTCAAGGAGACGTTTTCGCATGGCGATGAAGAACCGAATTCTCGAGCCATCACGAACCTCGAAAATTTGGCCTGTGATCGTTTGAAAGAGCTGCTGGTCCGAGATATTGGATCTGTCTATGCGTAAGTTATTTTCTTGTGATGATTGAGCCCCAGACCCGTATCACATTCTTTTTTCAGGGAATGGAAATGGCGTTCTGCATGCTCAACGGCAGAGGGAGTACTTCGATCCGGCGGATGCACCAACTCGGGTAGCGGATCGATGACCGGTTCGTCATCTCACGGCGGCGGCTCGCCCAGCTCGGCCATGGCCTCGCCTAGGACTTTCCCGAGACAGGATGGTCACAGACCAAGGTATAATTGCGGTTTTTTCTCAATTTTTCCTTTTAGAAGCATTGTCGGAGATCTAAGCTCTCATTCCGGGGAGGCTGGTCTAACGCTAGAGGCACCGCCAAAACCGTCCGCCCTCGTTCATCTCGCAAAAGGGCGCCCGAAGCCGCAAAGACGAGCGCAACTTGGAAAGGAGCGCAGTGTACGTTGTTATTCCTGAATTTTTGACCTAGGCTATCTTTTCAGGCGTCAACTCCCTCCGACGACATGGGCCGCAGCGTCTGTGAAGTGGTTTGCGAAACCGACGAGGAGGAGCGAAAAGACGAGAGCGGTGATGAACGCACGAAAAAGGTAACGCTTTCTTCTGCTTTTCCCCAACCCTTTGCAGCCACTCAGCGATCGCCCAATGTTCCGCGTTGCCATGCTGCCAGAAGCGGCCGCCATGGCCGCACAACTCCGTCCCGCCGCCGATCGAAGCATTGGCAGCCCGAAATTTGGCGACAAGGTACCCCCAAAGTATCAAATTTTCACTAGTCTCTCCAGCACGAGCAGCCCCTTGACGCGACTGGGAAGGCTCCATTATCGCCGAATGACGAGAGCCCGCCACCGCTTCCACGGCGAAACAAAAGTATGTGCATGTTTTTTTTTAATTTCTACATGCTTGTTATTAGTTCCGGATGAGCCATCATCACCTGCGCCGCCATGCCTACCACCAAAGCCATCGGATAGTCGGTTCGCCTTTGGGCCGGTCAAAATATCGGGGCTGACGAACGGCCGAGCAGACGGTATTTAATTTTTTTGTGTTGTTCATTTGTCTTGATAATGTGAAAATATGTATGTAATTTTGAGATCGAATCGAAGGACTCCCCCTCTTTGTAGCAACTAACCAACAGTTAATCGACCACATTTTTATTTGAGCATTTTCTAACGTGTTTGAGATAATTCGTACGAGACGGAAATTTATCAAAATAAGCGTGTTGCAGCCCACTGACTGGTCCAACCCTAATCTTTTAGGCAACAATGCCCCGCTTCGCACCGGTGTCGCCCAGCTCCCCCATGTCCCGCCGCCAGATTCCCGTCGAACTGAAGACGATGAAAACGCTAACGTCGAGGGCTCACCGACAAATCGTCGCAGTGTGGCCGACATGACCCGGCTTTTTAACCGCTAATGTAAATACCCTCTCTCTCATATCACCCCCCTATTTATCATTCGCCACGGATTTCACTTTGACTTCACTTCCCGCGCACTGTCACACATATTATTGATCTACTGGTTCTCGCTTTTCACCCATCCAATCCATGAATCTACTTGTATTCCCTTGACTAGTCCTGTCTACTTCATGACATTTAACCCCGATATATTGGAACCACAGTGTTTGAAAAGTTGGTACTTTCGTACTATCGAAGCGCGTTAACTCTTTAGAGGACGTTTTTCTACATTTTGGCTAAAAATAGAAAAATGTTGATTTTTTCACCAAAATGGCCTATTTTCGATCAAAACTTGAAAATTCAGTACCCCCCTGATAATGCTGAAGAATTGAAATGTTACTCAGCGAACCCCTATCGATTTATTGACGGGGCTGACCCCTCTATTGACATCGAGTCAGATGCTCGATAACGAATTTCTCGCAGCAACGCACTATTGCACGCTTTCCTTATCATCCAACCAATAGTATCACCCTTTACTAATATTCTTACGTGTACCCCTGTCGCATTTCTGGTTCCCCCTCCATTCGCTTTACCACTGGCATTTTTTTCCAAAATTGTGCTCAACGTTCACACCAATTCCTTCCACACCAATGCCTTTTGTTTCCAATCTATTACATTGCCTTACCGGTTTTGACCCTTTTTGAATGGCTCAAGCGTCACTTTCCTCACCCATCCCCCCACACGGCATCGATCCATAATTGTGATAACGCGGGGCACACAAGAGGCGCCAACTATTCCGCCGAACTGTAATGCAATTCGATCCCTTCACCACTTTTGCTGGGGGCCACTTTGGTTTTCGATTTTTGGGTCTTCTAGGCTAGTTTTTGTGCTGGTTTCGAATATACAAAATCACAGTAGTAAAATACACTTATCTAAACGTTTGTTAAGTTTAGGTGCAGACACCCGGTCTTAACAAATAAGGCTCGTGCCACCCGGGCCTAGTCGCTTCGGATGGGTGCGAGCTCGTACAGGGTTTCGAAATCGGGGCGCCAGGCGCGCGAAGCGGCAGGCGCCCCGATTTCGGAGGGGCAGCCCAGCCGAAGCGACGGCCCACCCCGACAAGCGGCAGCCCAATTTTGCATAAGTACACTTTTGTTAATAAATTTTACGCGGTTTTCTGGATAAACCCGACGGTTTCGCATGCTGTGGCTACTCTCGATGTACTCAGCGTAGCCCCAGATAGACTCGAAAAGCGATAAAGTGTCTCTTAAGTACCCGTGGCCCCCTTGATAAGTACCCCACTTTTTTATATTCCCGAATTCAAAAATCATTATTCTGTATCACAATTAGCTTTTTTTTTGGTATTTGCAGTTTGTACCCTGAACATTCGGAGCTTGGATAAATATTGTTTCCGTTGCTGGTTCATTTTTCTTTTCCGGCGCCATTGAATTGGTTCTCATATCGCTCGCCCTTTGGCTCTTTTTCAGCCGGTTCTCGTTTCGTTGCCATGACAACAATTTTGCCCCTCTTGCAGAATGAGCGTCGAGGCCGAAAACATTGACCCGCCACCCCAGGCCCCCGGGATGAACGACTACATGTCGGACGAGGAGAAGAAGCGCGGCCGCAAGTCATCAGCATCGCCTGAACGTGTACGTATTTTGGTCTCTATTTCGTAATTTGGCTTCTTTTTAGGCCTCTCGTAAGGAGCGACGCCGTCGCAGCAGCAGTGGATCCAGTGCTGGAGGAGATCGTGATCGCAGTGGTGGACGTCGTCGCAAAAGGTACATTTTCGTTTTCATTAGCAACTTTTGTTTTCTTTAGCCGTTCCTCTTCCCGCAGCACCTTCGACAAGAAAAGCCCAAAACGAGAGCGTCGGGCGCGTCGTTCCCGTTCTCGAACCTACTCGCCGAAGCGCTCGCGCAGCACCCCGTGCACACGCATCCACGTCAGCGGTTTCGATGCTTCCGTGTCTCGTCGTGATCTCAGCAAAGCATTCAGGTAAATTTTAGATTTGCTCGCCTGAACTTGCTTTTTCAGCGAGTTTGGCGAGATCACGGACATTTGGCTAACCAGTCGCCAACCGCACTACGCTTTCATCACGTACGCCGATGCTCGCGATTGCGAAGATGCGATGCGGCAGCTGAACGAGACGTAAGATAAAGTGTCCTTTTCAAAATAAGTTTTCTGTTTTTAGTTCATTCTGTGGAAGCCGTATCCGGATCGCGCCAGCTCTTCCCCGTCGCATTGGAGGCGGATTTGGTGGAGGCGAGGGCGGAGGTCGTGGTGGCGGCTACCGTGGTGGTGGTGGTGACTACCGTGGAGGCGGTGGCGACTACTCTCGTCGTCGCAGGTGATTTTTGAGCGCGTTAGCGTAATATAAACATTCTTCTTGCACCAAGTCCATTCCACATTTGCGCGGCGGCACTGATTCACCACAAAAAAAATCTAAAAGGCTGGACTGAAAAATATTTGTAGCGATGTAATGGTTGATGGCTCTATGTGTCGCGGTTGATGGCTCCCAATGTATGGGTTAGGAGATGCGGCGCGCGAATTGGCGCATTTTTGGCCTTCCTGTGCGCGAGCCCCTGCCATGTGTGACTGTCTAATGGTGGATTGATGGTGGCCGAATGGGAATGGCAAGCCATGATGTGTGCTCAAATGGGTCCTTTTGGTCTGCCAATGGCAATGTGACGCATTTTGGAGGTGCCACGGTACCGCTTTTTCCAATCTTCTATTAACCCCCCGGATCGTGTGTTGTTACCAGAATAATTTTTGCTTTTAGGTCTCGCACTCGCTCGAGGTCCCCGCCGCGTCGCAAGTGAGTTTATTTCTTTTTTTTCTTTTTATCAGGTTGATTAAGTATATAATTTGTGTTTTTCCAGGCGCTCGTCCTCGCGCAGCCGCTCGCGCTCGTGAATGCCGGACAAATGGGGAGAAACTCGCAGCTTCAACAATTCCATACCGTTACACTAATGTTTATTGTTATTTTCCAGGTTTCGCAACATTATGTTCTTTCTGTGGGCTTTTTGATGAATAAATTGATTACTACACCCTCGCGCCCAACATCGAGTTACTGCAAAAAGCACCTGTTCCTGGCATGCATTTGAGCAAGATTAGTAACCTTGACAACATGCGCATCACGGGATGGGGGATGTAGGTGGAATACGCATTTCGGGTTCGATTCCCCGCTTGGTTGCCAGGCTTTTTCAGCTCTGTCAAATCGCACATAGCACTAAAGCACGCAACTGTTGAATTACACTGGGCAATACGCAAGCACAAATGAACTGCAAGCCACCAACCCGAGAATTTAGCATGGGTCGTCGCGGGTACAAGGGCGATTACCACCTGCTCGTCGCGCACAACTATTTCAAATCATTGAAATCCTCACGCGAGCTAACCGACGCCTCGAAGAAGCCGTCAACCATTGATCCAGCTTGGCCAACGACATCGTTGTGTGAGACGGGAAAGCAGGTATAGAAAATTACCTCCAGCGAGTGGGGGAATGGGAGCACTGGTCTAACGTCATTACTTCTACCCTATCTTTATCAAAATCACGCCTTTCACATCTAAATCTCGATGATTAGTTATCGCGGCTTTGCCTTGGTGCTCCTCCGGTCTCCTCATCGACCCCTACCATCACCCCCTTCTCTTTGCACTGGCCAACCAAAAAGCGGCGAACATCCCGGCCTCCCGTATTCCTAAAATATCAATCGAAATCGATCTCTGCCCCGAGCACCGCTCGACCCCTAATCCCTAAGCGCTATGCGCACTCGTGTGCGTCGAAAACGACCAGGGTTGATCAGGTATCAAAGAGCGGGGGACGAGCATTACTTCTAAAGTCATTACTTCTAAAATCATTACTTCTAAAAACGTTATTTCTAAAAGTTGCCGCGTCGGATTTCAGTTTTTCGGCAATTTTGGCCGTATTTATGCCCAAATCGACGCTTAGAATTTTTGAAGTAATGCCTTTTAGAAGTAATGGTTTTTAGAAGTAATTGCCGGAAGCCTAAAGAGCTACACAGAATGCTATTCTAAATTTATGATTATCGCGAGATATTTAGGGCACTTCTCTGGATCGACTGAACCCGGAGGTCGAGCATGTGCAGGTTAAAAAGAAAAAGCAACTACATACGACACCGAAGTATGCTGCAACATCAATAGCGTATCATAGTCGATTCAGACGCTCGATATTCGCACGCATCTCAAGGATTGTGTCCAATGATGAAGCGGTCGCACGAGAATTGGAGTATGAGATGAGAAGTCGGGAGGATGATGGTGGTTTTAGAGCGGCGAGAAATTAACGATCAGCTTTAGAACGCCCCGGAAGCCCGGCGTCGATCAAGGAGTTCAGCTTTTTGCAGCGGTTGAAGCATACGTTGGTGAGAGCAGAAAGGTAATTGTTTATTTGCGAAAAACGTTTTTATTAATTCGATTGAAATATAGGAAAACGTAAGCTGATTTTTAGTTACGAACGGGTGCGACATACCAGCGGAGGTTTGGGTGAATTGCGGCCTTTCGAGTTTCGGGATGATGAGGTGAGTGCGAAAAAAGAGTCCGAATAAAGCCAAGACTAATAGATATAGCTAAAAGCCGTAGAAGAAATTTTCAGCATGAAATCGCCTTTTCGCATCTGCTGGGCTATCAACGAATCAGGGTTATGACGATGGAATGTCAAGAGAGATCTCCGCGACCGCAGAGACGAGTAAGCGGAAATATCAGTCTTATAGAACCTTGTATTTTGATAGAATTCCACCCTTGGTGGATCATTGCTCGGTGTTGATGCTCTGGCTCCGGCTGGCGGTATCTCAAGAGCTAGCAGTTGTGAGCCAGGTAATCAATTCCTTTATTTTATTTTTTTATTCGTTTTATAGAAGCCGCTCGTCTCTGCGAAACGTTAGAGGAAGAGCCGGAGCCGGACGACGTACAATACACTCCTGAGCTTTTTGAAAAGGTTGGTGATGGAGTATGAGAATATAATGTGTTTTTTTTTAGTTTGAGGATTCGGTGAAGACGCTATCGAGCTTTGGCAGCTATTCAGTAAGTGGAATCGTGAAATGGAAAAAATTTGCTATAGGAGATACCTTAAAAAATAGAATTGTTAATTTTAGAGTTCATTCACGCACTTCCGGTCTGTTGATGAGTCGAAGCGCGAGATCAATGAACTCTTCAGGGCCCAATTCCCCAATATTCAACTTACATTTTCAAAGTTTAAGAGGTTGGACGGCTGACCGGAAGGCCCTAAATTATAATTTCAGTATCAAGCGTGAAATGGTGGCCCTGGCGGAGATCTGCGATCTCGACGACTGTACGCTCGCCTCGGCGCTGCTATATTTTGAGCGTATCGTGCTGAAGGGGCTGATCTCAAAGTTTAACCGGAAATTGGTGGCCGGGTCGTGCTTGATTGTGGCCGTCAAAGTGACTGATGTCGGGAAGACGAAGATCAAGGAAATTGTGGAGGTTTGTTTGAGGGAATAATTAATTATTTTTCGTATTATTAATAAAATTTTTTTTTTTTTAAATAGTTTTAAATAAAGTTTATTTTTAAATGTTAGGTAAAAAAAAAAAAAAAAAATTTTTAAATAAAAAATTTATTAAAAAAAAAAGATTTTTAAAAAAAATAATAAAATAAAGTAAAAATAAAAATAAAATAAAAATTAAAAAAAATAAATGGAGTTTGGTTTTTCTATGGCTTAAATAGACTTTAAAACTCAATAAACTAGCCTCTAAATTTTAAGTGATTTTTCAGGAAGTGGAAAGCCGGCTGCGCGAGGATCGACACGAACTTTTATCTTTTGAATTGCCCCTGTGCGTGGCGCTCGGCTTCGAGTTGATGCCGTCTATTGAGCTTCTTAGGTTAGTAAAACCTACTAAAAATGAGTTGTTTTAGATGACACCAGCCCATTCGATAGGATTTGAAATCCTGAACAGTTCCAAGCTTTCAAAACCTGCTCAACGCTAACAGTTTTCTAGAAAATTCGTCCAGAAAGGATAGATTTTGACTGTTTTTGGTCCACCTTTCAGGAAAGGTGACTATGAGCAGCTTTTTCTCGAAGACCGTTACCGTTCAGCAGTTTTTGAAAGCTCCTACTTGTTCAGAATTTCAAGTTCTATCGACTGAGCTATTTCAATAAAAAAACAAGTCACCTGAAAGCTACACCTTTCCAATCAAAACGCATTTAGGCCGCATCTCGACAAAATCACCTTCGGTATTGTCTAGCCGTCTCTCTGCTGTTGCTGCCAAATCAATCGCAACGGCCGGGCTGACCTTTCGGCCTTGAAATAAAGCCTTTTACGCGCGGGGGTGGCGCTCGATGTTCATCGAAATTGCACGGAAGAAAGAAAGCGGAAAGTAGGGGGTTGAATGAGTGGAACCTTTGCGCCAATCGCTGTTTGGGGGTGTATCGATAACAGGACCGAAATTGTAGACACAAATCGAGAACCGTCAAGGCCATCAAACGCCCACGGCCGGGGAACTTTTGGGGGCGGCAGAAAGTAGGGCTTGTGGTTGGGTCAGTTTTTCTGGGTTTTAGTGTTTGATCAGTGTTTTCGGGTTGATTGTAACCGAAATTCGTCAAAAATAGTAGATTACTGGTTATTAAAGTGAACGTTTCAAACACGAGCTACGTAAGTGCCTATTTACGTTTTCGTTCTTTTTTCGTAATTAGGCGTTTCTAGTCCCGCGTAATTGGGCGACCACGTACCGCGTGCCTGAAACTAAACTTTTAAAGAAACTAAAGAAACTTTTTACCAAAAAAACTTTAGAATGGAAAATAGGCGACTGGACACACGCTGAACGCGCTGCGGTCGCGTCGCGGTCCAGAATTTCATGGTGTGTATGTACGCAGCTCAATTTCTAAGCGTATGTATTAAGAAAAGCGAAACAATAAACTCTAAAGTCGCAACAGTTTTTCCATTAAAGCGCACGTTCAGGGAGGGGCCGTATACTTTGTCCAACGTATACACCCTATGGACGTAGGGACCGCGCGCACTGCCTGCCCGTGCTGTGACAGGCCATTCCCTCCTTTGCGGGGTGGGGCGCCCCTCATCCCCTCGCCAGGTTGTAGCTGTGGCTGACTGGTATCCAGGGACGTAGCGTAATACAGGCCCCGGGGGCCCGGCCCCCCCCGAAATCGGCCGGGGCCCGAAAATTTCATAAGGGGGGACCCTTATGATTTTTATTTTCTCAAAAATTTTGCTGCCTGCGGCGCTATTTTTGCACGTTTTTACGGCTATTTGTAGAGCTATGTAACCTTTTTTTTTAAATTTTTGCCTGCGGCGCTGTTTTTTCGGCAAGGTTTTGAGTTTTTTGGAAAATTTGTTTCGGGGCCCCGAATTTTTTTCCTGGCTACGCCCCTGCTGGTATCCATCCGCGCCTCCCGAGCGGGGGGCCCGGGTTCGACCCCCGGCCGCGGCAAGAATCTTTGCTTTTTTTCCCAAAAAACGTCCCTGAACGTGCCCTTTAAGTAATGGGTTTAAACACATTTTAACGACGCAGCGATAGGCGCGTCGCGTTTCGCTGGTGCGATATAATTTGCAGAAACCTCATGCTCGTACTTTTTCCCGCCCCTTTAAAGTACCGTTCTTGATCTATGATGCCCAAAAAAAACCTGAAAATCGTATAATTGGTACTTATTCTGACGTGTTTATCCGATGGTCGGGATTCTAGTAGCATTAGGCCTAAAACCTCTAGGTTCAAGGTCTGCTCCCCGGTTTTTTCACCCACTTTAGGCGGCCGAGATCCTTCTTCTCCTTCTCCAGAGTGGAAGAGAGGGAGCGAGAGAGAGAGAGACAGAGAGAGAGAGAGAGAGAGAGAGAGAGAGAGAGAGAGAGCACAGCCCCAGATCGTGTGCCTCAGCATAGGCAAGAGATGGTGCTTTTGTGCCATTGTCCGCTGTCCCGTCATTTTCTTGCCACCTCGGCTTCTCCTTTTGCCGCCCGCCCATCACCAACTTGTCGGCCCCGGCTTTTTGAAATTGAGCAGAACGGGGAGGGTTGGCATTACGTGATTTTTATGGGACAATTTTGCGGCTTCAGATTATGTTTTTGATCATTTTTATCCCCTATTAACCTGAGATTTAAATTTTTTAATTAAAATACTTTAAAGGTGACGCTCCGCCTTTTTTATTGAGCACCAGGTGGAGTCTTGGCTCTACAGGCTATTTTTGGGTCAATTTGGCAGCTTTCAAAGTTTAGTTTTTTAGCGGTTCAACCGTGTAATGGTGTAATTTTTCGAGTTCTCAAGCTCAAAGTGATGCTCCGGGATTATGTAATTGAGCAGCTGGGAAGTATTAGCTTCAAGAGCTTCTTACAGCTCAAACCTCCAACTTCCGGTTAGTTTTTTAATTTTCATTTAGTTATCCTATTAATGTAATTTTTCAAGTTCTAAGGCTTAAAAATTATCTAAGAAATTTGAGCAACACCTTCAGGGGCGTAGCCAGAAAAAAATTTCGGGGGGGGGGGCCCCCAAAAATTTTTACCAAAACACTTCAAACATTAACGAGAAAGCAGCGCCGCAGGCAAAATTTTTTGAAAAAAGGTTAGATACCTCTACAAATAGCCGTAAAAAAGCGAAAAAATAGCGCCGCAGGCAGCAAAATTTTTGAGAAAATGAAAATCATAAGGGTCCCCCCTTATGAAATTTTCGGGCCCCGGCCGATTTCGGGGGCCCGGGCCCCCGGGGCCTGTATTACGCTACGTCCCTGAACACCTTATCAGCTCTTTCTGTAGATTTTAGCGACGATAATACGGCTTAGAAGGGCTTTTCCCCTTTCGCATGCCACCCTCGCTTTTTAATAGAATTTCCCTAACCGATCGCGGCCGAGCGTTCTTTGTTGTATTTTTTGGGGCCTTGAAATTCACGGGCGTATCGCTCGGGTGGATCGAGAAAAGTGTAAGCCCTCGATGGTGCTCAACGACCGCCAGAAAAGGAGATATTTTTCGATTTCTCCACTTTCTCTCCGGGGGCCAATTTCTGTCTTCTTTTTTACGCGCGCGGGGCTCACCCTTCAGGATGGTAGAAGATTAGTCCTTTGTCATTTTTTTTTTGGAATTCAGGAGATTTCGAAAAGAACTACCGTCTCTCTCCCTCGCTCGCTCTCTCTCTCTCTCAGTCTCACTTTCTCTCTCTCTCGCTCTCTCTCTCAGTCTCTCAGTCTCTCTTTCTCTTTCTCTCTCTCTCTCTCTCAAACTCTCTTCTCTCTCACTCTCTCTCTCCCACTCTCTCACTCACTTTACAACTCTTACGACTAAACGATGTTTTTACAGTCTCCCTGAAATCAAGAAAGTAAGAAATTTTGCGGTGCTTTTTCATTATCGGGGGGGGGGTCCAGTTTTCCTTTGCGTCCAGTTTTTCTAAATCGAGGACTGATTTTAAAAGAAAAACACATTCTGATTGTTTTTGGATGATTCTAGAAATTTCATTTAATTTAATTTATGTTATTGGATTTCGAAATATAACTGAAAATTGACAAAATTTTCGATTAAAATAGTCGATTTTCGACAAATTTCAAAATTTGCAAAAAGTTTTGAGTAGTTTTAAAACATCGTTAAATCGCTGAAAGCGCTCTAAAATACTTGTCATTACATTAATAGACATATCTGGAGATAGTGGCTAAACCCCCCGATAATGCGAAAGCACCAATTTTTGGTTTTTCGAGGGTCAGACCGATTTCCACGTGCGGCTGGTGGGGTCCATTTCCGGGTCGATGACCCGTCAAAACTTGCCCTCTTCTCACAATGACAATACCCACAGACATACAGACAGACAAACTGACAGACAAGAAAAGACAGACACAAAGTCCGATCAACCATGACAACACAACGCCGCCGCGGGAAGCCCCCGTCCTTCTGCCATTGTGTTTTTGATATCATTTTTCAGGGTTCTGACCCTAGTTTTAGGCTTTATTCTTTCTCAAATAAGCGAATTTATTTATATTAGTTGATTTTTAAAATTAGAAAATAGGTTTTGGACTGTTCCACCACCATACCACCATGTGACAGATATTTTTCAGGGTGCTGACCCTAGTTTTTTACTTTATTCTTTCCGCTATACCATAAAATTTACATTTTTTTATTGTTTTTGTATAGAATTAAACTTTTTTAATTTTTTCTACCGTTTTAGAATGGGTACCGGGGTTCGGTTGTGGGCCCTGGGTGCCCTGCTTTTGGCCGCAACCCACGCCGAGGTGCCCACGAAAGATGAGGGGTAAGAAAAACGCTATTTTTCACCGAATAAGCTTTGCCAATCGTTTCCCTGCCACCAGGATTGCCTGCCTGTTTTCATCCCGGTAAATCCAGACGCCCTGGCATGCAAATTTCCGGCTTTTTCTAGGATTGCGCGCGATCACTTTCCCCCGCAGGATGGGGGAGGGCGATGGCACGGGGGTTTGGGCGCTGAAAAATAGCTGCGAAAATTTTGAAAAAGATAGATATTGTTTTAACTAAAGAAATTAGGAAAAAGCCTGTATTTTTTGGTGATTTGAGCTTATTTAGCCCGCTGAAAATAGCGCGTGCTTTTCGGGCCCAAAAGGGCTTGAAAACTGATGAAAAATTCAAGAAAAGACTATTAGAAAGTGCTTTCTACATAAATGGCTATGAAATTTGTATAAATATTAAATAGTAAAAGCTTTCAACATTTTGTTGGTAGTAAAGTACCGTCTTTTAGACGATTTAAAGTTTATCACAGGCTTTATGAGCTCAAAAAAGCTCTAAAAACGGGAAAATTAATGAAAAAAATGCGCTAGTATCAGCTTTATAAATCGTATAACTTTTAAATATATGATCTACAGTAAAATTTTGATCATTTAGCCCGTTCAAAGTGTACCGCGTCGTCCCTACAACCCGATGGCAACTCGAGGAGATGATTCGCATCTTTGAAAACGCCGAATCTGAGGTAATTCCCTATAAGTTTAAAGTTTTATTGCCTTTTTAGGAAGCGGACTTTTGGCACCCTCCCTCTGTTATCAATTCGACAGTCGATGTGATGGTGGCGCCGAGTCACACACGTCTTTTCGAAGCATTTCTTCAAAACGGGTCCTACCCCTTCGAGATTGCCATTCATGACTTGAAACAGTAAGTACTAATAAGTTTAGTTAGTAGTAGAGAGTTATACACAGTTTTTTTAGCGTTTTCGCTAGTTTTGATTCCAATAAAGTCATAAACATTGAAAACTGCGCAGAAACCTCCATAAATGCTGTTCCTTTCTTACTTTTCTTTCTTTATTTCTTACTTTTCACGATATAAAAAGACGCATTATGCTCCTAACGATTTTCCTAATGTGGATTTTAGTCTATTACCTTTTTAGAAAGCTAATCGAGGTGGAGGGCGACGAAAAGGTTTCGCGCTGGTCGCGGTCGCGGCGTGTTTTTGTGGAAAAAATCATGCGCGATGGCCCGGGGACGGGCATTCAGATGGGAGAATATTACAGGTGCGTTGGTATTATATTTGAACTTATATAAGTGAAAACAATGAAACGATTACTATGTTTTTCTAGCTACGGAACAATCGTTGATTGGATGCGGCGGATTGCTGATAGGATGCCGAGAATAGCGACAATCGTCGATATTGGGCGATCATCGGAGGGGAAAGATATTTTTGGACTCCGGGTTAGTTTTAAATCGTATTTTAGTTTATTTATTTCTATAAATAATAACTATAACTTTTAATTTCCAGTTCGGTCGTGATGACGGTCAAAAGCCCGTCGTTGTCATCGATGCCGGAATCCACGCCCGTGAGTGGACAGCCGTCCACACCGCCATGTATTTCATCAATCTGGTATGGTTTTTTCAAGATAAGTAGTAAGTACTAAAAGAAAATAGAAATAGTAAGAGTTAAAACATCGAAAGGTTAAAATAGTGTTGTTTTGAACATATAAAAATGTTATGGACGGGGGCTAAAGATAAAAGAAGTAATAAAATATAGTATAGGAAAAGATAAAAGTGAGTTGTTCTAAAAAAATTAGAAATCGAATCGAAAAAACTTTTTAGATGGCCAACGGCCAAGGGTCCGACCCGTTCGTTCGCGGTTACCTCGACGGGCTCGTCATCTACATCTTTCCGGTGCTGAACCCGGACGGCTACGAGTTTACGCGAAATGACAGAACCAACCCTAGGGTGGGTTTTCTAGTTATTTTTGAAGTATCCAGTTTTAGTCCCGGATGTGGCGAAAGTCGAGGTCTGCACAAAAGTGTGCTTGGGATGGGCAGTCGACAAAGTGTTGTCACGGCGTGGATTTGAACCGGAATTTCGATTTCCGGTTTGGAGGTACGGTTTAGATAAGCTGGAATGTAGATCAGGAATTTTTTAGAAGTCGGCGCTTCGCGGTACCCGTGCTCGGAGATTTATCATGGTGAATTTGCGCACAGCGAGCCGGAAACAAAGTTTGTTTTTATCTCTCTCTCTCCCCCTCTCTCACTCTCTCCTCTCTCTCACTCTCTCGCTCTCTCGTCTATCTCTCGTTTTCAGGGCATTCGCCAATTTCCTCAAGGGTCTCGGCCAGCGCCTGAAGGGCTACATTACGCTCCACGCCTACTCCCAGCTCTGGATCTACTCATACTCCCACCGGAAGTTTACGTACCCAGGAAATATCGAGGATGTGGTACGTTTTCACTAAGTCTAAGCTAGCTCTAAGGTAAGTCTAAGCCAAGCCTAGACCTAGGCCTAAACTGAGCCCTTTTCAGCGCGCCTTAGCGACGAAGGCGGTGGCAGCGCTGGGCCGTGAATTCGGCACAAAGTATCAAATCGGAACTGGACCAGAAATTATCTGTGGGTTTTCGGTAGTGATATCTGTATTTTTCTATATTTACTGAGACTTATGTTAAATTTATTTCTATTTTTCGATACTGATTTTTAGACGCATTCTCTGGCGGCTCGACAGATTGGGCGACGGAGAAGCTGCGGGTTAAATATTCCTACACGCTCGAGTTGCGTCCAACTTATCAAGGTTTGTGTCATTTGGAGCGTAGCGTAGGGAGTATCGTAATTTGCAGTTCAGAAGTTATAAATTTAGCATAATTTTTCGTAAGCCAAAAATAGCGCATTTTTCCGGTTTACAGAATGCAGAAAGCTTGCAAAATACCTTTTCGCTAGTATAGCTAAAGTAGAGGTTTTACGAGGAACCAAAATTAAATATAAATAAAAAATTGAAGTTGTGAAAGTTTTAACTTTAAATTGACAGTGAATTAATACTGTATTAATAGTAGTAAATTAAATGTAAACAGTTAAATCATTAAAATACATACAATACGATTCTCTACGGATCAACCATAGCCCATAAGGTGTTCAAGGGATTGTAGAATGGAATGGCTTCGTCCTCGACAAACGTCAACTCATCCCAACCGCCAAGGAGACATGGGCCGGTGTGAAGGTGGTGCTCGATCAGATCGCCCTCGAATACCGTAGTGCTATAGGTGCGTTTCGGAAATATTCGACTTCACTTTCACTTTATAACATTTCTCGGGTGCCCCTTACGGAAGACGTTTTGGACCTAACATCTAAAGCTCTAAAAACTCTTCAAGGGACTGTGAACTTTTCGAAACCCCGTGGCGATCTGCCAGCCGCATCTAATCCCTTTAATAGCCCGTCGTAATGGATTGTTCCGCGGAAGGGTGAGTGCCGGAAGGAGGCGACTTCTCACGAGAACACAACGACGCCGTCTCATCGCATCCAGGAGATCCCGTCTACAGTAACCCTACAAAAAAACAGGTCAACCATGCTGGAGATACGGTGGTGGTGTATAATTCGGAATTTGGATTTTTTTGCGATTTTTGAATTTTTTGAACTTCACTAACAAACCTGGGCCCGACGCCCACCTTTGGACTCAAGGGGGCCTTCCCGCTCGGTAGTTTCACTCTGCTCTTGGCTAATTGGTTGCGCTCTCGCTTCTCACCTTCAAGGCCAGGGTTCGACCCCTTCCGCTGCAAAACTTTTTGCTTTTTGACCAGTAACTAGCTAACAACATCCTGATGTCAATTTTGCTGACCAGAAAAAGTTTCAGATGAAGCGGAAGCGGCTGAGCGTCGCCGCATCCAACTCCGCGGCCAATGCGCCGATCGTTCCCCCTCGTGCCTCCATTGGCGGGCTCAGGCCCCAGATATTTGCCGCACTTCCGCTTCCGCCATGCTGCGCGACTGTCCGAATATGTGTGATGTTTGTCATTTGGTGCTCCCTTAAAGCAGTCTGTCCTTTTTGTAGGTTATACTATAATTTTTACGTTTTATTTTGTAATTTTTGCCTTTTTGGGCAGTTTTCAACTTCCGAATTTTGTTCCTGTACATTAACGGGTACTGTAACACGAGAATACCCCCGAATTTCCCTTCCAAAAAGGTTGTAATTTGTATGTTTTGTATAATTTTTCTAGAGCGATCTCAGCCCCCAAAAAAATAAAATAACGCTATTTATGTAGGCGATATTTGAAAAAGTGTTTATTTTATGCGATAAATACGAAAATACATTGTAAAATAAGTGAATAAAGCATGAAAATAAGGCAAGGGGATGGCACAACCAGGATTGGATTTGGGATTTGTTATCATTTAAATAGATCTAAAATAAATACAGAAAAATAGGTTCGATATTTTATTGGCTCGAATATCCGTTTGGCGATTGATATTCCGGGTAGACGGGCTGAAAAACGTTTTAAAAATGTTTTAAACGACTTTATTCTCTTAAATCTGGGAACTTTATACAATTTGAGCCAAGTATACGTTAAAACGTATCTTAAAATAATCAAAAATAGCTGATTTTAGCCAAATTTAAATTAATTTCTTAAAATTAAACTTTGTATATAACAAAGGTTAAAAATTGATTCAAAAGACCCTAAAAACTCACCGAAATCTGATTCCAATCTTCAGAAGTAAACGAGAATGATGGGAGCATTCCGGCGGGATAACCGCAGTTGACGGATTGAGCGGAAGGGTACTGTAAAGGCACTATTTTTTAAACGGATTCTTAAATGGTCCCTGCTAGCCTGCCCTCTTCAGTTTTTAGTTTAATTAACCCCGGTTTTTAAAGTTTTTTAAGAAACGGCCGCTCTCGTTTGGCCTAGTGGTTGAGCTCTCGCTTCCCACGCACATGACCCAGGTTCGATCCCCGGCGGCGACGAAATTTTTTTTGGCCCAGGGCTTGAAAATGCTTTTTCTAAAGGATTGGTAGTTTAAATGACTTATAAACTTTGTGAGTAATAGAAAATAGGTACCTGCATGTGATTTTGATACTGATGCGGGATTGGGTAGGAGCAAGAAGCTGGAGCTGAATTGCTGCCTCTCGGTTGAGTTTCCGAGTATTTCGATTGGTGAGAGGCTGAAAAATAGTAATAAATGATTTCTCTCACATTCACTCGCTCTCTCTCTCTCTCATTCTCTCACTCTCCCTTTCTCCCTCGCGCTCGTTCTCTCTCCTCCCTCTCACCTTGTCCTCCTCCTCCGACTTTCCGGTGCTTCTGGAAACGTTCATTCTCAGCTGGGACCATGGCTGTGTAAGTGTTTTTCTTCTGAAAAATGATTAATGGATTTTATAAATGATTCAAAGCATAATATATACATTACTAAAGCTGACTAATAAATTAAACTACAAACTACAGAAAACTTACCCGAATCACTTCGAGAGCTTGGTCTTGGAATTGCTGCAGCAGGTTCTGCGGATTCTGAGAAAAAACATTTAGGCCGTTAGTCCCCAAACTTTCTTAGACAGCTCTCCCTTCCATCATCAAGCTATCTCCCTAGCCGAGTGGCTAACACTTTTGGCCTCCCAACCTCAGGGCCCAGGTTCGAATCCTCTCCGCGGCAAAATGTTTTGATTTTTGAAGTTTGAGCCCAAATTTTTTTTGGTTTTTTTGACGTACCTCCTTATACTCGTGCTCCTGGCCGAGCACGCCCTCCAGGTACTTAATATAGTGGATGGCCAGCTGGAGGCGCTTCACCTTGGGGAGCTCATTGAGTTGGGTGGCGTTGAGGGCCGGTTGGATTTTGCTAAAAGTTTTGTATGTAATTTATATAGCGTTATTTTATATATTTTTTGATAGTTGATCTTCCTTTCCAATCTCCCTCAAATTCTCAGGTAACACAAAGGGATAGCCGAGGGGGGAGTGAGAGTGAGATGGTGACGCAATGGGAGGCCCATTTCTAACTGTTACGCCGTTCCCTTTCGGCCATTATACCATCAGAGGACGGGGGCGTATTACAGCCAATCTATATTCAGGTAATAGCTAGAAAAACCACCAAAAAAAAGTTATAGAAACCCGCCTTAAACTATGAGATTTAAAGGTTTAAATTGCCGAAATTTTTTCTGACGATATAAGTCCAACACACTAATGGATTCAGTTCTATAGATATTTCATATTCAAGCGTAAGCCTTCGCTAAGCCTAAGCTAAGCCTAAGCCTACACCCAAGCCTAAGCTTACCTAATCAACGTCTCATAAGCGCTGTTAATGTCGATATTCCGAAATTTTTCGCGAGCATTGGCTCCTTGGCGTTGTGTGGCGCTTTTCGGGCGGTAGGCCTTGCCCATCGCTGAAAAATGGGGTTGGTAATCGTCTTAATTAGAAAATGAATTAATTGAGGTTTCTAGAAGTAAATACACGAAGAAATGTGCCCTAAAAAATAGAAAGATTCGAGTGGAGTCGTTTTTAAAGGGACGAGCAAGCCATGGTTATGGGTGTGGTAGAGAGAGAGCGGGAGAGAGTGAGAGAGAGCGAGATAAAGAGCGCGAGAGAGCCAGAGAGTCTGAGTGAGCAAGAGCCAGACCGGGCTCCAGCTTTAAAGGGACCGGCCAGGCATGGCTATGGATTTTTTGGGATTCGGATCCACAGCGCAGAGAACGAGAGGGGAGAGTGCGAGAGAGAGAACGAGAGATAGAGAGAGACAGCAAATTAGAGAGCGATAGAGAGAGAAAGAGCTAATTAGAGAGAGAGAGACAGCGAGACCAAAGAGAGTGAACGTCAGTGAGCAAGAGCCAAGCCAGATCTCCAGAATCCTATCCAGATTTGGCCCCCATAAACGGGCACTTGAGAATATAAACAAAGCGGAACAGGGTAAGTAAGTCAAGTAAGGCCCAATTGGGGCCCATACCCTAATCCCCCTGCAATAATTTGAGAGGACAATGGGAGGAGGAAGTGAGAGGACGGATAGGGATGGATGGCCAAGGGGTGGGGCCAACTACCTACCGTAACCCCACAAATTGGCCCATCCCAGAGTAAGGGATAGGGTGGCGCAACGCCCTGCTCGACCCCTAAAAGGTGTCCCGACCATCTCCCCAATTATCAAAAGCGGATTAGAGGGTTGCGTGTGTCTTTAGAGGACCTTTAGAAGGGGTATTGTTGATACCTTGATCCAATTGACACCTATGGACATTACATGTATTGGGGTATGATTGGCGTATACAAGAACCGGCTTGTGGGGGTTAATAAATAGGTATATTAGCGTTATTATAGATATTCATGTAGACTAGCATTAATAGCAGAATTTTTCCGAATCCTCCCATTCTTTTCTGAGGCAGGTCTCATTCGCCAATCACTCTGCAGACCTAGCTCAGTAGGTAGAGCGTGGGACTCCCAATCTATGGCTCGAGGGTTCAATTCTTTTGGGCGTTTTTCCTTTTGCTTTTGCCCAGGAATACGGTTGAGTGACGAATCGGCTTTTATAGAGCTTCTTAAAGCTGAAAAATATCATTTGGCTCAGTAGGTAGAGCATGGGACTCCCATTCCAAGGTTCGAGGGTTCGGAACTTTCGGGTGTTTTGTCTCTTTGCTTTTTGGTGAGGAGTACGGTTGAGAGATGGATCGGCGTTTTATGGCTTACTAAAGTTGAAAAAGTAGTATTGCTCAGTGGGTAAAAGGTCATACTCACGACCCAAGCCTCGCGGGTTCAATTCTTTCCGGTGTTTTTTTGTGCTTTTTACTCATAACTACAGCATTTTCGCTTTCTTATTACGTATTATAGTTAAAAGGCGCTTGGCTCAATGGGTAGAGTGTCGAACTTTCAATCCCAGGCTCGAAGGTTCAATTCGTTAGGATGTTTTTCTTTTTTCTTTCTGACAAAAAATACGTAAAACGGTATCCTTCGCCTTTCGGAGAAACATTACCGCACTTAAAGCCCAAAAACACACGATTTTTCCAACTAACTAATGAAATAAGTGTGAAACAAGCCCCGAGGGTCCGATTCCCAAGGAAACAAAGATAAGTTGGGGGTAGGTGTGAAGCGTGTAGAGATAGTGAGTGATTTTCTAGCCAATGTCCAACACCCATATCCACAACATCTGCCTACCCCCTTCACGGCATTATACACATCCCCTGAGGGCATTCCGGTGATCATCCCCTCACCAAAGGGCCCCAGGTAATTGCACCGGTAATTTCTTTCACGGTTGTAAATTATACGGGTTTTTAGGGTCTTAGGTTGGCTTCAAAAATGGGCAGGCTAGCAGGGGTAATTTGGGAAAAATCTAGAAAAAGCTGGTCAGTTTCGTCTTGGCTAATTGGTAACGTGTTTTGCCTTTCAATCTAGGTATCCGGGTTCGACCCCCGGCCGAGAAGAAGTTTTTTGCTTTTTGGGGAGAAAGTGGGGTTTAATGTCGGTTATACTAGAAAAATATAGAGAAATGTAGAAAACTGATTATTGGTAGAGTTAGAGGGTAATTTATGTAAGTTGGATCACGAGGTGAAGGGGATCGTTTTGTTGCTATCTATATCTCTCTCTCTCTCTCTCTTTCTCTCTCTCTCTCTCTCTCTCTCTCTCTCTCTCCCTCCGTCTCTATCACCATTTGACCGAGATAACCCCTTATCCATCCGGATGCCAGTGGCGTTTTCGGCGTCTTGAGGTGAGGCGTTTCCATGCCCCCAGGCAATGCGGTGAGTGCTCGGCCTAAAGGGCGTCATGTCGTAATATGTAAATAATACGACAGCCAGACAATCCTGATAAAGTGATCGGTTACAACGGCGGCTTTGAACTTCTGAAAAGGTATAGAAAAATGAAGCTACGAAAAATTAATAAATACAGCATAAATAAACATAATTTTCTAGATTTAAAGGCTGAAATTTTTTTGAGGAATTACAAGTTCCTAAGCTTAAGCCTAAGGATACGCCTAAGCCTGAGCCCAAGCCTAAGCGTGCCTAAGCCTAATTCTAAACCTAAGCCTAAGCCGAATCTAAGCCTAAGATAAGCCTAAGAAGCCTAAGTTAGTTCTCAGCCTATTTTTGCATCTCAGGGATCTTTACGAATCTTTATATTTACAATCAAAATTTAATCGATTTTTCCGATCGCAATTATCGCCATAAAAAAGCCCTAAAATTGTCCAATCATACCTTTTACACCCCTGTAAGGAAATCTTATCCAATCTCCTCCTCCCTAGGGGGTCTCAGCTTCCACACACTGTTGCGCAACCCGGGGGCCCTTCAAAAAAGTTGGGGTGAACACAATGGGGGACAGTGGAGAGGGCATTTAGGGGGATGTCAAGGAGATGCTCAAGGAGCAACAGCATTCTAAAAGTATTATAAACAGTTTAAAGGGATTTGGAAGGCAAAAAACCTCGAAAAAACCCCAAAATTATCGGAAACTACTCGAAAATCGTTAAAACGCACTTTTAAAACCCGTAATAATCATTTAAGGCAGCTAGCAGAGATCCTTTGAGGATACGGAATCGATTACGATAGTCAATTCATGGTTTTCACCCATCTTTTGCGCCCTTTTTGGGGATTACCTAGCGTAATTGGCCCGTTCGTGCTCGCTTGAAATTCTGGCGCATAAAGACCTGGCGGCCAGTAGACCAATTTTCCCCTCAAAGCCCCAAACCTCTTTCCAAAACACACCTACTAACGGCCTTTCCCACCTCATACGCAATGCCAAAACATCAAAGATTTCGGGGGAGCTGTGGCGCGTAAAGAGTAGTCGTTCGAAAATTCCCCGTTTTTCCCCCAAGCGACCACACAACGTTACGTATTCAGTAACACAGGGCTCGTTCTGTCTGTCTGTTTGTCTCTCTCTCTCTCTTCTCTCTCTCTCTCTCTCTCGCACAATCCTATCTTTCTCTAGCTTACGCTCTCTTTTTCTCTCTTTCTCTAGCTTACTCTCTCTCTCTCTCTTTCCCTCGCTTTCCCTCTCTCACTCTCTCTCTCCCTCTCTCTCTCTCTCTCCCTCCCTCTCTCTCTCTCTCTCTCTCTGTCTCTCTCTCTGCTCTCTATCTATCACCTACCATTAATTAATACACATACCATACATGACTCACCCCAACAACGAAAAACTTCCTCAAGGTTCTCTGCTAGCCTATTGGCCCTTCAATAGCCAACCTAAAATTCCCAAACGATCTCTGCTAGCCTGCCCTCCCCCACCCAACATTCCCCATTCCCCCCAAATGGCCCTCGGGGACCCAGGAGGACGTGATTTTTCGGGGGTGAATTCGGAATGCCTGCCCTAGGGCACACCCCCCACCCACATACGTGTGTTTATCCCCTATAAAAACAAATGACGTTCCGCTCCTCCTCCTCATCCTCCTCAAATTATAGCTTGGTTGACATTTCCAAAAATTGCCCTCCAGCTTGCAGCCTGTAATTATATTGCGCATCACTTTTTTGGGCTTTCCGCTGACGTGAGGATTTCGAAAAAATTTATTCGCCATTTTTGGCTTTCAAAGTGACATTTTTGAGTTCAATTTTTATGGGAATTTCTTAAAAACAACAAAAAAATCATCAGGTTCAAAAATCAGCATTTAAAATGGTCACCTTTTCGCAAAATCATCATTGGGAATTCTGGGAAAGTCTGGAAACCACATTGCCATCCTTGGGAAATGCGCGGTCCTTGGAACATCGCATTTAAAAATGTCATCACTTGAAAAATAACTTGCTCGAAAAATAGGTGATCATCAGCATTTTGCCGCGCCATCAACACAGACCAGTTTGGATTTAAGAAACGCGAGATCTAGGGATTTCACGAAATCTGGCCCCAGCCTGTCCGACTCCGTAGAGCTCTGCTAGCTTGCCCTCAGCCAAAAAATTTCTCGATTTTTGCCAATGATCTCTGCTAGCCTGCCCTCATCTTTATAAGGCTCAGAAATGCTCGTTGCTAGCTTGCCCTATTCCTAAAAGTTCTTTGCCAGCTTGCCTGCGCCAAAAACAAACGATTTTCCCAAAAGATCTCTGCTCGCCTGCCCTGAGTTTCTTCCGCTCCTAAACAATTTCTGCTAGATTGCCCCGATTCGATTCGATTGCGTGTCTCTAAATGGTCTCTGCTAGCTTTCCTTGAGCCAGAAAAATGTTCAAAATCATCCAAAACCGTTTCGGCTAGCCGTCGCGCGGATCTCTACAGTTCCTCAAAAATCTCTGCTAGTTTCCTTGCTCCATGGTTTCGAAAGGTGCAGTTAAAGGATCTCTGCTAGCCTGTCCGAGTTTTCCGATTCCTAAAAGATCTCGGCTAGCTCGCCTAGGCCTCTAAATTCGATTAAGGGAAAAGCCCGACACCCGGAATCCTGACAACCGGAGCCGACAGGCCAAAATCCCGATAAGCTAAAATACCGACAGCATTCATCCCGAAACGCCAAGTAGCTGTTTAAAAGAAAGCTGCATTTAAACTAGCGTCAGGAATATGTCGGTATTTAAGCGGTCGGGATTTTGGCGATCGGGATCACGGGGTTTTTCAAATCCTAAATTGCCTACGCTACTTGTGTATTCTCTAGTTTTTGTAGTTTGATTTCAACAATCGCCCCCCGTTATTTCCAGATGGACGAGCCGTCAATTAAATGTGCGGCTTCATCTTCTTTTTCTTCCTCTCCTCTTCGACCTTTCCATTCTGTTTTTTTGCCCTCGCAGCTATTTTCCAGGGTCCCCAATTAAGGGTCCGAAGGGGTCCCATCCGGCTTTTCCTCTCCACTCGGTCACCATCCCCCATTTTCTCACCCTTTTCACTCGGTCCGAGGCAAAATGTGTAGTTTCCACTGGGAGTTTTGGCTCGGAAGCTCGGTGTTTTCGGAAATCACTTGATTCGATGAATTACGAATTTTGAAAACGGCTCCGGTTACCGTAGCCTTCTTTGCAAAATTCCCAAAGGTTTTCTGCTGGCTTACCCTTTCTAGATTTATCAGGCAGAATTTTTTAGGTTTTCTAAAGGAAACTTGCTAGCTTGCCCGTCGCAAAAGACGCTCATTTCATTAATGCATCCGTTTCTCCTCAGCTAAAAATTGATCCAACTGCCGTTGCCCCCGTATTTGAACCTTCCTAAGAGATCCCTGCTAGCTTGCCCTTCGTTCACCGTTCAAAATAGCCTTTATTTTGGCAAATTATTGCATCCCAAATGCTCGCTGCTAGGCTGTTATGAAATACCTGCCATTAATGCATCTATCCCTACCTCTTCTAAAAAATTGACCCAACTACCGTAACGCTGAATCTGACGTTTCCTAAAGAATCTCAGCTAGCTTGCCCTGACTCTAAAATCCACCTGGTCCTAGTTTTGTTCCCAAATTGTCGCTGATAGCCTGCCTGCCTGATTTGACGAAATATGGATTTTTACAGAGCTTTTTTGAGCTTAAAAGATCCCTGCTAGCCTGTCCAATTTTAGGTTTTCCTTTGATTAATACAGCTATCTCTCGACTTTCTAAAAATTGCTAATCCGCGTTTTCAGCCATAATGCCGGTGCTGGCGCTTTTCTCGTTGTTCTCGGGCTCGATCGCCGGCTTCTTCTGTGTGTGGTCGCTGTTGACGAGAATCGTCCAAAATTGGTATGATTGAGGCATTAAAATGATGCATTTAAATTCAGAGACCATAAACTACAAAATCTCCCCCTCGTCAAATGCAAAAATTCGGCACCGCGGGTCATCCTCTGCTTATAAAGATGTTTTAAAGGGAGCGTGACAGCTGCGATCTCTCTGTCTATGTCTATCTCTCTCTCTCTCACTCGCTCTCTCCCTTCTTCATAGTTTTTCAATGTATGTTCCAATCAAAATAAATCCAATAAATCATTTTATCGAATAGTAAGGCCACAGTATGAATCAGTATTTCGTATTTCTCGTCTAGTAAACCCGTAATCAATAATCTTCTTCAATTCCGAATTCCGCTCGGCTCCTCTAGACGGGCTGCGGGATTTGGCGGCTCTCAAAAAGCGGCTTCGCCCGGGGCTGATCACGCTTGTCACGGCTCTGGAAACGAAAATATACAAAAATTCCACAAAGAGCTCTGCTAGCTCGCCGGGCGGGTTTGATCTTTTAAAGGGGCCGGCAAGGCATGGATATGGGGTTTTCGCTCTTGTTTTTCCGCGCCGCAACACGCAACGCGAGCGGCTGGGTCTAGCGTTCAGGAGAGCGTAAAAATCCATAGAACCACCTTCTCAATTCCCTGAATTCCCCAATAATCCCTGCCACCTTGCCCACCCACCTGAACATCCCGGAGATTGGTGCGATCTGATAAATGGCCCGAATCTCCCCAGCGGACCACCTCGAAATGGCCGTCCGTCTCGATCACCTGGAGATGTTCAGCTGATACGGGGGTTCTTTTCTAATTCCCACCTCTCCCACCGTACACTGGCCCACGTAGTTCCACTGGCCGATAAATGCTTGATGGACGCTGGCCACAGGAGAACCGTGAGAGACGAACAGAAGATTTCCTGAATTAACAAAAATTGCTTTTAAATGCACTTTGTATTTAAAAAAAAAAATTAAAATTAGAAAAAACATAAAAACTACTCAAACCCTCTGGTACATTGATAAAGTTCTCGCTTCTTGATCCTAAGGCGTAGGGTTCGACTCCTGGTCGAAGCAATATTTTTTGCTTTTTGACCAACAACGAGGTTTCGAGCTTAGAAAACCCGGACATCTTTTAAAGGTGTAAAGGCTGTTAGGGGAAGGTTCCAACAAGAGGGGCCAAAAAAAAAGAGGAGGGGGGGTAATTTTTTTTTTGAGCCCGTGAAATAAATAATTTGGTTTTTTTAAATTTTGGTACGACTATCGGATTGCCGTGGAATCCAGACCAAATAAATATACTACAGTACACCCCTTACCCTTTGGGTATCGCCTCAAAATTGCCCGTACGGTGGCGCCGACCCGATCGGCGCATCCCTCATCTCCGCCATGCTCCTGGGGGCAGTGTACTGTAGACGGGGTTGTACACAGTATCCACGCGGAACGGGCACATCTTCCTGGAAATTAAAACTAATATGTTAGAAATAACAAGAAAAGAAAAAGGCTTAATGGTTTTCGAAGTTATTTCATCCGCCAGCTACCGTACTCGATTTCACCGATGGCTGGCCTTCCTGGGGGGTCAGCACAAGCATTCAACGATTCGCCCATCCCGGGCTCGACGTGGATTTCGGGGATGTTGTCGAGGCCGCTGAGGAGACCTGAATAAAAGTAAAATTAATAAAATTAATTAAAATTAAAAATCCCCGAAAATCTCGGCTAGCCTGCCCTACAGTAAAGCACTTTGAAAGGAACTCGGAAGTGGGAAGATTTATCCAAAATTCTTCGACTGCGCCTAAAAACTAGCAGATTCAGCTTGTCGACACCTAGCCACCTCGAATGGTCGTTTCATACCCTTCCCGGTCCCTTTAAAAGGACAAGGAACCCTCACCATTCATCGTCTGAATACAGCGCGTAAACGGCGAGGTGAAGACGTGGTCAATTCGGTCGTCGAGCCGTCCGAGGTGGGCACCGACTTCGCTCGCTTGCTTGTGGCCTCGCTGGCTAGAAAAAATGGTTGAAAATACATTTTTCGTTTGTTAATCCGAAAATATAAATGGCAGGGGCCAAAAAACGAGCATTTTCAAGTTTTGATCAAAAAGCAAAAACTTTTGCCGCGGTCGGGGCTCGAACCCGGGTCATGAGATTTGTAGGCGAGCACTTTAGCAATGCTCCACAGGCGACGAGGGAGGGGGACCAAGGGAGCCTTTTCAATCCCCCTGTCAGTATCCGGCGCGATAAGGCTGATGTCTGGTATAATTCGAAATCTAGTAATTTTAATGGGGATTTTAAGGTAGGACTCTATAGAGTACCTCAAATAGGGGTCATCCCATCTCTCGGCCGTCGCCCTCCACCCCGCATCAACATTGTCGATGCGCTCGCCGTGGCGCACGAAGAACAGCTTGCGCGCCGACGACTTGATTCGCATTCTAAAATTGGTAAAATTTGTGGTGAGGGCAGCGGGGTACGGTAGCTAGGGCACGGGATAAGCACAGGAAAGGAAAGTAGGGCATACTTTAGGGGTAAAATTCAGTTTTAACAGCTTTAACAGATTTAGAAGTTCAATATTTAGGTTTTTTGGACTAACACAAAATACCGAGTAGTTTTAAAGGAACGCCCAAAATCTTCCGGGACCATACAAATGACGGAGAAATTCGGCGAATCACACGGAAACCGGTCTATCCCCAAAAAAAGTGGCCGTAAAATGATCGGAACACCCTGGGAATCACGCGATAATTTTTAAAGCGGAGATAGAGAGAGAAAGAGAGAAAGAGAGAGAGACCTTTAAAGATCGCTTGAATGGGCCAGACGGTCTGTCCTTCAGCCACAACATGGGCCAGACGGGCGTGGGGCTATCCCCTCCAAATGTGATAATGCCCTCCGGGCATATTTATGAGGAGGCGGAGGGTGGGAATGAGAGAGGGAGGAGGATATGAGAAAAACAAAAAGAGGAAGAAGATGGAGAATCGGGTCGCGTGCCTTGATCTCTAAAGGACACGTTTCGTGGTGGGCGTCACATAGCACAGGTGGGTGCACTTTGACCTGATATGGTATGGTTAAGTGGGTACATATTGCGGGTTTTTATAGGTGCTAGGCGGGCAGAAAAAAAGTGGCTATGGAGTAGAGGAAGGTCAAAGCAAAGCTTTTGGCAAAAAGTAAAAAATTTTGCACCTGGTGGAAGTTGAAACCGTTTCGTGCTAGTCGGATTGGACAAAATTAGCCACATTTTTTGAGTGTCCTAACAGTGTATAAAAGCTTGGGCTAATCGTGGAAGGCCAAATCAATATTTTTATCAAAAAAGCAAAAACTTTCACCCTCCGTGTGACTCGAACCAGGACCCTGAGATTGGAAAGCCTAGCACACTACCAATACACTAAAGCAGTAGCTGGCATTTGGCATCGAAAGTGGGATTTTGAAGATAGGGGGGCGCAAGAGCCACTTTGGCAGATTTTTATTCGCAAAAAATGACAATTCGGAAACCGAAAAGTGAACTCCAGACGGTTCGGGGTTGAACTTTACAACAACCGGTGGGAAAAGCCGCCCCGCCGAAATGAGTGGCGGGTGAGAGGGAGGGAAAGAAAAGAAACCCAGCTCCGTTCTCTTGACCCTCGCCATCTCCATCGTCTCCATCTCCTTCTTCTTTCTACTTCTCCTCCTCAAAAAAGCAGCCTCCCCCCTCTAGAAATGACTGGCCAAATCCGTAATCGATGGCCCTCTGCTTGGCCCCTCTCTATCTTTCTCTTTTGCCATTCCATCCCCTCTGCCCATATCAACACAACACGATAGCCGCATCAATTTTTAATTGGATTTATGTTTGCGAGTAAGCTATCTCCGAGTTTTTTGGGGGTGATCGTTGGATATTTTGAGTTGGAAATGTCGGATTTTTTGAGTGCTAAATAACAGAGATCATCTTGGGATTGGTCGTTCTTGCCTAAGATTTTTTAATTTTCGAGATTATAAATCGTCCAGCGAATCGGTACTTGACTGTTAGCGGGGGAGGAGGGCTGAAAGCTAAAGAAATTCCTAGCGCGTTACCCATTTTTTCAAGATAAAAGCACGTTGTAAAAAATAAAAATTGTAGATATTTTGACTTTTTGTCAAAAATCTATGAAAAATGGCCAAGAAGGTCCAAATTTTCGAATTAAAAAAAGTTTGAAAGATCTTTCAAAATTTTCTAGAGCCTCGGACCAACTAAAACACTATAAAAATACAGTATTATGAACACCTTTTCAAAAATTATGGCTACGGTTTACTTTACGCCCCCCCCCAGCCGGAAGTTTTTGGCTATAACTTTTTTATTTTACATTATTGTAGGCTCAAATTAAAACTCTTAGTATATTTTTCGACGCACTATCGAATGGCGTTGCGAAAATCCCGATAAAATAAGCGGAAATACCGACAACTTTGAGACCCTTCGGCTGTGGGGGTGGGAGGGTAAAGTAAACTCTTACCAAAATTATATTTTCTGCTCAGCCCCCTCCCCGCTAACAGTCAAGAACCGCAGGCATCTAGCAGAGGTTTATGAAAACGTGAAAAAATGCAATGACCGGGGTTGTTTGGGCTAGACGTTGAAGCGAGATATGGATGGACAGAGAGACAGACAGACAGACAGATAGACACACAAGACACAGACAAACAACCCCCGGCAGACAGCACACCACAGCCAATGGCAAACAACACCCACACAGCCAGAATTATTGACGGAGAGGGCATGGAAAATATGGGGGAAAATTGAAGAGGGAGCCGAGAGGGAAATTGACCGACGAACACCGAAATGGGAGAAGCCCCGGCAGGGCGGGAATTAGGCCCGGAAAATGAAGGAATTGGGTGGAAAACAATGGAATTTCGGCGATTCTGGATATCGAAGGTATACGGTATCACCCTACTATTGTTTGATGCAAAAAGCAAAAAGCTCGTCGCGGGCGGGGTTCGAACCATTGACCCCCAGATTGAGAGACAGCGGCGCTAGCCACTAGACCAAAGCGCATTCCGGATCGAAGATCGGGAGCGCCAGAAAAACATCCTCTTTCGCCCCCATGTTACCGCTCGTCCAAAGGCGCTTTCGGCAGTGCAAAGTTGATTTTGAACTCTCGAGGAGTTTAAATGGTTTACAATGCGTACAAAATAATATTAATTAATTTTACAACGTTCTATTTAAACTTAAAATAAGGCTAATTAAATTAAAACATAAACAGAGATTCAGAATAGCTTCTTTCTAATTTTTAGCATATTTTTCATGCGATTTTTCGTATTTTAACCAATTACCATTTTCGAATTAGTATTTTCGTATTTTTAACGAGATTTTATAGTTTTAGTAGTGTTCTTTTAACATTGACTCACCCAGTAGTGGTCAATACACGGCCAGTCATTCCAGTTGTATGCAGTAAAATGGACAGATTTAGCCAAAATTTATCAATTCATCAATTTATGCAAATATGCAAACAAAATACAAATAAAAAACGACATTTTGGCTGTTTGGGGGAAATTTGGGACTCGCCTGGCTTCACCCGTCAATTAAAGCAAAAAAATACGATGCACTAAAAACTACACGTTTTTACGGCTATAATTAATAATTTAAAGGCTAGAAAATACTACAGTAATACCGCATTATGCTACCGTAATCCACTACAGTATCACTAGCAATCCGTTAATTGAGCGGCAGCCGAACTGGGTACGGTGTGATGGCGTCGGGTCAGCAGGTCGACAAAATCCCGACAATTCGACGACAAATCCCGCGCGATGCGGACGACGTCGCGGCGGTGTGCGTTGTACGCCTGAAACTGCTCACTAGAAAACACTGAAACTGTTTCGACGATTTTACACTTTAGTGCATTGGTTGTGCGCTAGCCTCCCGGGCACACGACCCGGGTTCGAACCCCCGGCGGTGCGGATTTTTTTTGCTTTTTGGGTAGAAGCTGGTGAAAGTGCTTCTTTATGGATTTCTGACTTGTAAAGGCCTTTGAAAGGTATTACAGTACCACAGAGGGTAAATTCTCAGCCAGGGCCTGCATAGCCTTGCTCATCTGCCGCATGTCGTTGCCGATCAGGGCCTCACATTTTTCCATCTGAAAATAGGGGTTAGATAACTCGGGTTCCTGCAGGTTTAAAGGGGATCCAAGGATGGAATCCGTCCGTTTCTCGGTTCTCTCTCACGCTCTCTCTCCTGCTCTCTCTCACTCTCTCTCTCCCTCCCTCACACTGTCTCTCTCTCCTGCTCTCTCAATCTCGCTCTCTCTCACCCTCTCTCCCTCTCCCTCACACTGTCCCTCTCTCTCTCTGTCTCTCTCCCCTCACTCTTTTTCGCTCTCGCCCTCTCCCCACCTCATGCTGCCTCTCCACCGCGCAATCAGCCACCAACGGCGCGGCCTCGCTGAACATCTCTCGCAACCTGGTGGTGATCTCCTAAAAATCGTACTGTAGCAATTTCACCCCTTAGCCGCTACCTTTATGCCATGCACAAAATCCTCATGTTTCATCTGCTGACTATACGTATTCTCCAGTTTTCCTACATTCTCTGCAATCGACTCCGCGGCCCTTCGGACACAGTTCAGTTGGCTGGCGCTCTAAAGTGAGACCCAGCTACCGTATCCAAATTTTTAGGCTTACCACATTATGAATAGGTGGTATATTTCCATTTGGGGTTTCTTCATCGAGGGCGAGGGAGCGCAGGACACGGTTTAGATTTTCATCATCGTCACCAAGAGGGGCAGTCTGGAATCGGGGGTTTAAAGGGATGGTGACACCAGTCGGGTCGTGTCTTTAGGCAGACTAGCAGTAATGATTGAGTCCAACGATACATCTAAGCCTAAGCTAAGCCTTCTTGCCTGAGCCCCATCTCCTTCTCCATCTTGAGTCTCAAGTTGTTGCAGCCATTTCTCATCCTCCTCCATCTGCCTCCTCTGCTCCTCCAAAGTTCTCCACAACGTCAAGTTCGGCAAGCACTCGATGTTCGTTCGAATTACTGGGATATTCTAAAGGGTTTTAGCTTTAGCGTTATGTAAAAGTCCACAAACCTGAATCGGGCGAACGACGCGAATCTGTTCAGGATGGACACGCCGTTTCAACTGCTCCAAGACGTCGCGCAGAATTTGGCTGACCTGGAAAAGAGTAGTTTTTGGTTGAGCTCATGCTCAATGCTCGCAAGCCACCCTGCGCGGCTTATTTTTTGCTTTTTTCCCCAAAGACGTACCTCATTCATCAACGGTCTTTTCGGGGGTTGTTGAGCCCAGATATGCTTCTCCAGATAACCATAAAGCGCTGGTGGACAAGCTTCTGGGCATGGTGGTCGTTTCCCGGCCTCAATCTCGCCTAAAAACCGTTTTAAAGGGACTGTCAAGCCATAATAATATATTTTTTAGTTATAGATTCCACAAATACAATAAACAAAAAGCATAGCTTACCAATAACATCAGCATTAGATACGGTAGTCCATGGTTTCTGTCCCCATGACATAATTTCCCAACAGCATACACCAAACATCCATACATCACTCGCCATCGAGAATTCACGGAAATTGATCGATTCCGGGGCCATCCATTTGATTGGCAATTTGCCGCGAGAGGCTGAAAAATTAGATTTTGGTTTTTGAAAGGGACTGTAAAGTCAAGTCTATGGGATTAGCCGCGCCGCGACCAACAACGCTTAAGCATTTGGACACCTAAAGTTCTCTTAATTGATTAAGCAACGTAAAAATCATGCCCGCGTCCGTTTCAAATTCAAAAAAATTAGATTTTGAAAAATTCCATAAATCTAGTTTTTCTTTTTAGATCCCTTTAAAACGCTTTCAACTACAGTACCTGTATAAACGGCATCGTAATCCAATGCTCGAGAAAGACCAAAATCAGAAAGTTTCACCAGCTGGGGCCCAAATACGAGCACATTCCTGCGCCGCCACGTCTCGATGAACGAATTGTTGGCCGTGGAGGTATTCCAGGGCAGAGGCTACCTAAATAAAGGCTTTTAAAGGAACTTGGAAGGTTGCAAAAATGACGAAACCCAAATTTTAGACCTCAAATCAGCAAAAATCACAAAAATAGCGATTGAAAAAATTCGCTGTCCGATTTAACCCGGTTTCCAAAGTCTCAATCACTAAACTTTTGCAAGAAAAAATTAAAGTAGTTGAATTTCTGCGACGTCAAAAATTTCTAATAGTATTTTTACATATTTCAAATAATATTTAAGTCAATTTTTAAGTTATAGGATGCCTAAAACTTTTAATCTCTTACCTGCAAGCCAAAAAGGAGCAACGTCCGCACATCCAACGACGCTTTCCGGCCCACCAGGTATTGGCGAAGCTGAAAAAAATGTTTATTACAAAGTAGAAGCTCGATTTCGGCGGAAAATTTCCCAAAAACCGCTGCTAGTCTGCCCAAGTTTCTATAAAAGGACAAGGAAATGTCTACGAATTCCATCGCTGTTTTTTTTGGGTCTGATTAGGGCCCGCGGGTGGCTTAATCGTGCGTTCTCTCTGTTTCATTTTCCCCTCGCTTCGTGTCCGTTTCTTTCATCTTCTCGAGGACCGGTCTTACTGTAACCGTTTTTTGTTGACCGTGGGATTTCGATACGTGAGATAGCAGATTTTGTGCAGAATTTTTCGCTGATTCCGAAGCCGTTTTCAAAAGTTGCGGAACCCCTCTAGATAAAAAGTTACAGCCGGTTTTCTACCCCAAATGACCGAAAATTACAAACTTTAAAGCCTTATAAAAAACTCGTGGAACATTTTGTGGGATAAAATACAGCACTCCTAGGGGTAAAAAAACGTGCTCTTTCGAATGGGCTACCTCACGAACCCGTAGCTCAAAATTCATGAAAAAAAGTTTTTCGGTGGTAGAATGTCCTGCCTGGATGGCCAATTTTTGAAATTTTATCTAGCTTTGAAGCTTAAAGCTGTAAGGCCAATTTTTGAAGCTTAAAGCTGTATTTTATCCCACAAAATGTTCCACGAGTTTTTTATAAGGATTTAAAGTTTGTAATTTTCGGTCATTTGGGGTAGAAAACCGGCTGTAACTTTTTATCTAGAGGGGTTCCGCAACTTTTGAAAACGGATTCGGAATCAGCGAAAAATTCTGCACAAAATCTGCTATCTCACATATCGAAATCCCACGGTCAACAAAAAACGGTTACAGTTAGCGTCTCTCTCTCTCTCTCTCTCTCTCTCTCTCTCTCTCTCTCTCTCTCTTTCCCTGCTATTAATCCCCTAGGTGCCAACCGTGGCCTAACAAATGTTACGGTAAAGTTAAAGTGGCAGTAAAGACCGAGAACATTTCAGCAGACCGCTGCAGCCTGGGTAAATAGGACTTCAATGCGTCTTTTCAATCGCCAGCTATGGTTTTTGAGCCCCAAAATTTGCAACACCTTACAGTCGCCATTGGCCAAATGGCAAAAAGTATTGAGGCGGGTTGGATTCGAACTTGGATAGTGTGCGTATGAGGCGAGAACTTAGCCAGTTAGCCGAAGGCCAGAAGGGATCAGGTAAAGGGAGAGGCCATTTCACACCCAGGGCATAGCAGGGCGTTCCCCCCGAATTTGCCACGCTGACGATGGCGTTTCGGGTGTCAAATTTCGTGAAAATTCGGAAAGGGTGGGTAAAGGTTAGGCTTGGCTTGGCTTGGCTTGGGCTTAGTCTTGGGTTTAGGCTTAGGCTTAGACGTCACACCGTCGTCATCAAAAAATAATTACACAATTCTATTTGGTGGCTATCTGTTTGGTTCTGCGTGAATAATAGCAAGAACTCCACCGGTTATTTCAAGAGTATCTGTCTATACCTTTCTCAATCTCTCTCTCTCTCTCTCTCTCTCTCTATCGTTTTGTCTGTTTGTCTGTTTGCGTCCCGTTTGCCGAAGGGCCCTCCGACTCCCCAGGTAGCAGACAGAGAGAGAGAGAGAGAGAGAGAAAGAGAGAGAGAGAGAGAGATAGAGAGAAAATGCAAAGATACACACACCCGCCCCCTCTAATACCCTAGCTAACAATGGCAGCCACAACCACGGCATCTGCCACACTGTGTTCTTCTTTTCTTGACAGTCGGCTTAAGGATTTTAAAGGGACTGTGAAGCGGCGAGAAGCGCTTAAGAATTCATCCTTTGCACTCATCCTGATCCTGATTTTTTGCCAATTGCCAAATATCTTCCAAAATGCTTATTTTTGTAATTTTCATTGCCGTGGATTACTTTTTTCTTTGAAAACAACTTTTTTTAGGGTCCCCCCACCGGCAAGGCGAGCGAAATGGGCACCCGAAATGGCCGTGTTTTCCTGGTCGGCTTACTATTACAGGTGGGTGTCCCGGTCTTGGAGATTGAAAATCGTGGAAAATGTAATTGGATTTTCTTGCTGGGAAAAATGATTGGAAGGAGTTTTTAATAAAATTTCAATTTGATTTTGCTCGTTTTAAAATTTCGTCAAGGAAGCTCAAGTCTAACTGAGCCTAAGCCAAGCCTAAGCCTTAACTATGCCTACGCCTAAACCTAGGTCTAAACATAGGCCTAACTCCAAGCCCAAGCCTAAGCCTAAGCCTAACCTAACCTAGGCCCAAGCCCAAGCTAACCTAAGCCGAAGCCTAACCTAAATCTAAGCCTAAGCCTATGCCTAAGCCAAGCTAAGCCTACGTAAGCCTAAACCTGCGCCCAGCTTCAAGCCCAAGCTAAGTCGATGCCAAGCCTAAGCCCAGGCTAAGCCTAACCCGAACCTAAGCCTAAGCTAGCCTCCTCTAAAACTCTCCGAATTTCCCAAATGAATCCCCGCCAGCCTGCCCCGGCCCCGGAATTCCTATATCTCGATTCCGTTTCCGTGGGTCGTACACGCGGCGGATGTTCGTCTGTGGGCAATAGCTCTCCTCCCCCTCTCGAAAAGTGAATAAAATGGGGTGGATCGGCTTTCAAAAAAGGAGAGGAAGAAGCGGAAAGAGAATAGAGAAGAGAAGAGATGAAAGGAAGAAGAAGAAGCCTCGGGCAAACAAATACATCTCCATCCACACACACACGCGCACCATTCCACCCCCCTTCAGCCATTGGCCATTGGCCATTCACACCCCCCGTGGCTGTACGACTTTTCGTCTTTATGGAAAAAATTGGCATAAAAATAGAATTGTAAAATTTGAATTATGTTTAAAAATTAACATTTGATTTTTTTATTCCATTTGAAATTACTTATGGCTTGCCCAAACCCTTTAAAATCGCCAGCGCAAAAATCCCTAGTTTTCATTGGCTCCATGGCGATTTTTTTTTACTTTCCAATCCCCTGAATCGGTGAACTCCTGGAAAACTAAATTTTTTCGCTTGTTCTATCCGATTTTGATTTAAAAATCGCCTTAAAAGTAATACATTAAAATATGCGAATTTTTGATAGAAATATAACGATTTATGCCTTGCAAATTCCTTTAAAAAATCGGCAACATTTTAGTAAATCATTCGCTTTCAAAAATTATTTAAATCATCGAGACGCCTTTGCTAACGCCTGTAAAACTGCTACCCAAAAATACCTAATTTGCATAACTTTTTATCACGTATATCATGGCTTGACAGTCTTTTTAAGGCGATTTTTTACTTCATTACCCCTTTAAAATTGTCACTACAAAAAATTTCGCAAAAATTTGCCACGATTTGTGACTTGCCAAGACCTTTAAATTGGCGAAAATCTTCTCATAATTGTTGTCACGATCGAGATTTCATCTTTTTCGGTTTTTCGCTTCCCAAATTCCCTCTTCCCGTCTGCCTTTCTCGATAACGCCATTTTAAAGGGACCAGGAAGTCAAGGTGGAATTTTGAGCTCTTGATCGGGTGACAAGGCGCCAAAAAGACCCGAAAAGGTTATCCTCATCCCCCGCGACAAATATTTGCCAATTGGAGGCGGGTGTCTCGGATTACCACTTTGGATTGTTGGTGCTCGGCATTGAGGGCGATATTTGAGTCCGAGTAGACAAAAAATAGAAAGAAAAACGGTTTAAAACGACTAGTAACGATTAAAATTTAATTTTTAAAAACGCGTGGTCAAGCGGTTAGTGACTTTGACTATGAAGCTAGGGGTCAGGGGTTCGAACCCGGCCGGACGAATTTTTTGATTTTTGGATTTTGAATAATTTTTCGACTAATTTTCTACATCTTTCAGTTGGTTAAGTGGCTAGCGCGTTAAGCTATCAAGCCAAGAGTCGAGGGTTCGAGTCTGCACGCGAGAATTTTTTTAATTTTTTAGCCTTTTTGAGGGATATTAACCATTGTGGGTGGTCAAGTGGTTAGAGCATTAGGCTATCAGTCTTGGGTCAAGGGTTCGACTCCCGGCCGCGCATTTTTTTTGCTTTTTGCTTTCAGGATCCTTCTACCTCTGGTTCGGCCATTGCGAGAGAAATAATGTGTCAAAAGGCATTACCTAAACAAAAAGTGGACTTGAAACGCTGCAAATGAGAGACATTAAAGGCGTTGTAAGTATGGTCAAGTGGTTAGCGCGTTCGGCCGCCGATTTTGGGTCCAGGGTTCGAATCCCGGGCACGGAAATTTTTTTGGTTTTTTTCATTTCTGTATAATTTTAAACCATTTTTGCCATTTTCCGGCCGGGGTTCAGTCAAGTGTTTGACCCTATCAAAAGTCGACTGTCGAGGGGGGAGGGTGAGTGTGGTGTGGTTAAGTGGGGGATCAACAAAACGGGTAGGGGCATGGAAAAAGGGCCCAAATATTGGGACCCAGCCAGCCGGTGGCCCCCCACCAATTGCAAATACACAATCCGGGGGGTGCGCAGAAAAACCTGAGGTGGGTGTCAGTAGGTGTAAGGAGTACTACAAAGTCGTGATTGTGTACCAACAAATAATGGCCAGCCGGGGCGTTTCAATGGAAAAAGCCGGGTCGGGGGTGCTGGGGGGCGCCTTATAAGGAATTCACTACGATGCGTCTAGCTTTTCCGGAAGTGTGCTATAGACGTATTACTGTAATTTTTTAGCTTTCTTCCTTTCCAGTAAATTCCCGTCTTCTAAAACGTTCATAAAAGACCCCTGCTAGCTGGCCATCTCGCGCTTCAATGGTCCTTTAAAAGCGCCCTGAAAGGACTTCTGCTATTTTTCTCTATCTCTCTCTCGCTCTCGCTTCACTGGTTCTTTAAAATGTTTCTTAAAGGTCTGCAGGCCTGCCCTCCATTGCCTTCAACGACCCTTTAAAACGTTCCTAAAAAATTCCTACTAGCCCGTCCTACCTCGCTTCAAAGTCCCTTTAAAACCTTCCTAAAAGATCGCTGCTAGCTTGCTCTCACGCTCTCTTGCTTCAGCGTTCCTTTAAAACGCTCCCAAATGATAGCTGCTAGCCTGCCTTCTCTTGCCTTCAATGGCCCTTTAAAATGTTCCTGAAAACCTCAGCTAACCCGCCTTCCCTTGCCTTCAACGGTCCCTTAAAACGCTCGTAAAAGTTCCCCGCAAGCTTGCCATCTATACTTCGTCGTCCCCGGGGGATCCCCCACTAGGGGGACCAGGGGGGACCGCCAAGGGGGATGGTGGGGGGACAGGGGGGACGGTGGGGGATGGGGAGGGGATCCCCCTCCCCCTCCCCCCTCCCCTCCCCCCTCCCCCAGTTTTCTGGCACCCGTATTGCGTAGTCGGGCAAACTCAATCGAACCTTCTAGTTGGAGAGCCACATACGTTTTTTGGATAGTCTGATGTTTTGATGTTTAGATTAAGTTTTTTTTTACTTTTGAAATTTAATGACGAATTCGAAAATTCTGGTTTAGCTCGCCCGACAAATCACATAGTAGAAAGCTCTGATTTACCTGACAGAGTATCGATGGAAAATATACCAACCCAAAATTTTAAATAATTGAAAGGCTGGGCACTCAAATCTTTGAGACTGTAAAAATTTGAAAATTAGACAAATTAGCTCGTCGGGGCTCTCGGCATTTCAGAACATTCGACAACCACATGCTGCTGTATTTTAAATTATCAAAAATAGCAGCTCTTTAACAAGTATTCAGTTCTATCTAACCACACATTGCGCGCACTTGCGAGTCGGGGGATCCCCCAGTGGTCCCCCACCGTCCCCCCCTGGGTCCCCCCACCATCCCCCCATGGCGGTCCCCCCCCTGGTCCCCCCTAGTGGGGGGATCCCCCCGGGGGGGGGGGGGACGACGAAGTATACAGGGTGTGCAAAAAAAAAAGACCACAGTTTGGGTCGAAATAACTCGCGAACGGTAGAGAATCGAAGGTACGTTACCATGCCAGAATGCTTAAATATGCTGGGTATGAAGATTTAACACAACTTGATTTTTTCGATTTTTGAGTACGAAACTGTACTATTGACGCTGGTTACGACCGAAAATTGTGCGTTCTTGAACGGGAGGTGGGAAAATTCTGATTTTTGGCCTAAAAATAGTATAAATTTGTAAAAATGTAATGGCAAAATCTTAGAATTTATCGAGGTCAATTTCATTTTTAAAAGCAAAACAATTTTCGCGATTTTGCGTTATTTTTGTTCTTTGAGTCATAACTCGCTTATAACTCGCTGCCCATGGCTGATATTTTGTCAATGACCTATCCAAATATTAATCTCGGATTCCACACCAAATTCCACCACAATCTATGGTATTTTGTATTGCTTGCTAAAACGTGCCCCAGCGGGGTACTGTAAGTTTCGTTTTTCCCGCTTTTCTCGGGGCCCCTAGCTTCGATTCGGCTAAAATTTTCTGGGTTGTTAGGCAATAAGTAGGGGCACCTCACTGCCAAATACGAGAGCGTACTATCCACAAACTTTCGTGAAAAAGACTAAAAACTGATTTTAATTCTGCGGCAGAATTTGTAAATTTTTGGTCAATTGGTCCAAAAACTGCTACTATTGGTTTTCCGAAAAGATCGAAGCGATTCCATGGCAAAAACACCACGAAAATCGCAAATTTCGGTTTTCTACAGTAACCCACGTGGAGCGCGTTTTAGCATGCCATCACAAAATTCCATAAAGTGACGATTTTTCTATTCGAGGGCCTTCTAGAGTTGATTGTAAGATAACCTGTGAAAAATTACTGATTTTGGGTGGTAAATAACGAAGTTACGAGGCCAAGTGCAAAACAAGGCCAGAGAGCCGATTTTGGGTCCGAGTAGCCGGGTCAATTTTCGAAATTTTAAAAATAAAAAAACCACCTGCGTTGTCGAAAGTATTGTGGAGAATTGCCCTATCCCTCAGTATAGTTGCCACCAATTCTCTTCGACCCATAAAGCCTCCTACCCTCGGATCATCGGAGTTCAGTGGGACCTGGATTTGGGCCTTCTGCTAGCCCCACAGGTCATGAATAAGATCGTATGTATTGAACACGGGTAGAAATAGTAATACGGTTTATTGAGGGTTATTAGAGAACGGGTAGGATAATAGTTAGAATGGATAAGAGATTAGAAGAGAGAACAATAATGGGGTGTCGAATGGGATCCGGGTGTCTCAGAGAGCCACCGGATAAAGGGTGGAAAGGTGAGCAGTCTACTCCACGCTTAGCCAGCTCAATAGAGTGGTAGCGGAAGCGTAGTGAACAGGCATAAGCCCGATACACTACACGACACCGTTGGGGACGGCACTCCCGTAGACGGATAAATCCCAGAGGGCGAACCGGCGGGAGGGATATTCCGCCCCAGCGGGGGCTCGGTCTACGGTAGGAAAATGGGTGGCGCGCTGCGGGACCCGCCACATCCACGGGATAGAAAGGATGCCTCGAAACTATTCCCGAATTACACATAAAAGTGTGAATCGGGGATAGAAGTTTCGACACTCCCGGCCGCCAAGGGCGACGACGCGGGGGTGCTGGCTCTTCCCAAGTGGTATGGTGTCGAGTCGGGCAGGAGCCTCCCGGGGCCAACCAGAAGACCAGGGGGCCGGGGGGAGGTACAATAAAAAGGGTAGGGACAGTAAAGGGGGGCTGGGCCGAAGCCATAATAAAAAAAGGGAAATTCAGCACACCTCTACTGGGCCCGGACCCGGTGTACTGAAAGGGAACCTAGGGGTGGGGAGAGAAGAGAAAAAATAGACAACATACATGGGCAAGGGAGCGATGTCGAAGATAAGCTTATCCATCAATACTTGCGTTGTCGATGTAGGCGAGCATGTAGTCGTGCGCTTGAACTGATGTCGGCTTGTTCTTCGTCTTGTCGCATCGCTTGACCGGAGACCAGTGGGCGTTGACTTGACGGAGGGCTTGCTTGCATCGTCTTCGCACATGTCGCCGAGCGTCGCGAAGAAGGATGAGCTTCGGCTGCTGGTGATGGTGGTTGTCCATGCATGTAGAGTGGTGTCGCGTTGTACTTCGTCGGAAAAGAGGGGTCCTCCTGACCGACTTGGCACGGGGAAGGCCAAAAAAGAAAGTGTCGCGGTGCGCTAGCCAGAAAGGTGTGTAGGCACCTAACTGACCTGCACGAAAGAAAAAAAAATGGCGCGGTGGTTGTAGGTTGTAGAGAGGCGGTCCTCAGAAGGACTTGGCAACGCCATCATGCGGCAGCGATGAAGGTTGACCTTGATCCTTGATGCCAACATCCGTGACGAAGTGCTCATGCTCATCCGAAGGAGGGTCAATAGCAACGAGCGTCTTGGTGCCGTAGGGTAGAATGAACCGAGGTCCTTTGTAATCTTCGTGCAGAATTCCTTGCAGTGGCGTCTCATGAAGTTTTGTACGTCCGCTAACGGCGGAACCATGCCGGTACTGGTGGAAGACGCAACCAGATGGAAGGATAATGTCTTCGGAGTGGAAGTGCTTCAGGATGTCGCGTCCAATAATGATGTCTGTCTGTACGATTCGCTTCCGCCTTTGGATGAAAGTCCGTCTGGCGAGCGCACTGCTTCAGGAATCTCCGATCGAAACTCCCTATCTTCCAGAGCTTGATCTCCACTTCTGCAAGCGATGAACAGTTGATGTTGAACGTCCCAATGTCAGGAACCTGGATCAGGGTAGGCTTTAGTTCCACGTCGAGCCATTTTGCAATCCCGCTGCAGGAGCGCACGATGATGCCTTCATCGTCTGGTAGATGGTACTTGCTGGCAATTTCGGGGCTCAGCCATGATGTCGCTGATGTCACATCAATCAAGGCTTTGAGATAGATGTACTCCGATGGGTCCTTGGGGTCGACCATAGGAAGTTTGATGAGCTGAAGCGACGTGTTTGTGTTGCCCCTCAGTAGATAGTGTACGGGCAGATCCAGTGTGATGGTACCCATCAGAGGCAACGGGCCGTTTGACGTGTTGACACTCGGTGGGTTATTGAGTTGTTCCAACTTCTCAATACGTGCTCTGAGCAGATCGTTGTCGCGGTAGAGTAGGCGTTGATGTTGTTGCAGATTGTCGACCTTCCTGATGAGTAAGTGGAGCGAGCCCCGCATGATCTCGTGCAGGTTTGTCGCATCCTCATCTGCACCGATGTCGCATTGGGGGTACGAGGACGTATCCTCTGTCGCGGTTGATGTGTCGAGATCCATGGCAGCATCCGTGTCGACCAGCGATTGAAGCAAGTGTCTTGGAAGTGTTGCGAGCAGAGAACGGATTGTCGGCCAGCCATCGATGAGATCTTGCACATCCTGGGTGTTGACGTGCTTGCGTTGCAGCTTCGGCGGAAGAGGCATCGGCGAGTCTGCAAGCAGATTCTTCAGAAAGCATTCGCCTTTGAATGGCACATCGAGAAGAAAAGAAATCACGAAGTGCATTAGCAATCATGATAGCGCAGAAAATGTTATCCGAGTAGGCACGATGTTTACAGCGATGAAGGGGCGGCGAGCTAGGCTTGATGTGCTTGACTTGAACTTAATCATCATATCCTTGAGCCATGGTGGTCCGCCTGGGACGAGGCGCTTTTTGACTTGACGGCGATGTAGGATAGGCGCCCTTGCAGTGAAGTCGAGCATGTAGCCGGAGTGATAAGACGAATTGCGCAAAGGGCGGTCCGCGTTAGGCGAGCTGTCTCGAAAACTCCGGCTCACAAGTTGCTTCATGTGTCACAAGTTGCTTTGGTGGGTAGCGCAGTCAAAGTGTCGACATCCATGTAGGCGGCCGTCGAGGTTGAGCGGTGGCCATGATGTCGCAGTGCACTTGAAGGCACGTTGTAGCAGCCTGTCGCAGCCAGAATGTTGTGGGGCAAGATGATTGGCGCGTTGTTGAATCCATTGCCGTTGTATTGTCGCGGCAGCCTAAAAAAATGCGCAGGCAGTCTCGAACGGTGTCTTGCGTGTTGTCAATCGTTGTCGAAACATCGTAGGCAGCAAAGTAGTGGCTGTGGGCTTGATCATCAGCTGCTTGAGTGAAGAATCGGCATGCGACCACGTGAGTTGAAATGAGCCGAAGCGGCTTCGGCACTTGATGTCGATGAAGCGCTTGCTCTGTCCATCCTTGAAACTGACAGGCTTGTCAGGTGTCTCCGCCTTCTTTGCGATGTCTATTTCTTCCGCACGGATGTCGCCACACCAACAACTAGAAAAGATTATAAATACCTTGATTGACCAAGTTGCCAAAGTGTCGCAGCCGAATCGCGAGCTGTTCGCAACCTGAGGGGCTGTTCGACGACCTGGCTCTGATAGTGGAGGTGAAGTTGTCGTGACGGCGTTGACGCACGGAGAGAAGATGACGCAGCAGGTAAGGCCTTCGTGAGCTCGGGCACGCAATGATGAAGCATGAAGCTCGAGCATCGGCGCTTGAACAAGAAATGCAGCATGCGGCCGTGTGTCGCGGTGACGATAAGAAGCCGTTTGAGAGAAGGACCGCAGCAGCAGATGAAGTGTGGTGACGATGAGCAGCAGCGGCCTGGGCACTGTGATGTCGAGACAACGTTGGAGCGGTCGATGGGCACTGACGGGCTTGTAAGGTGTCTCCGTCATCCTTGCAATGTCTTTTCTTCCGCTGGAGTGTCGCCGCAACAACAACTAGGAAATCTTTTAGTATACCTTGATACGCCAAGCTGCAGGAGCTTTGACGCTTATTCAGGAAGTGTACTTGAGTCCTTTTTGAAGCCGCTGACGCCGTGGGCTGGGCTTGTGATGTCGGGCGGGCGCTCGCGTATGGAGAAATGAAGCGGCACGAAGGGGAAGCTTCGTCTTGTGGAACGCGGGCACGCAACGATGACGTAAGGTGTCGCAACACGTTGCATTCCGTTGATCGGGAGGCGGGTTGGCGTGCGGGGCACCGGCTGTCCATTGGAAGGCGGCCTCTGGTGGTAATTGTCTTCTTTTTGGGCCATTGTCTCTCTTCAGAACGTAATCTGAAAAAGAGTGTCGAAAACTGCTTCAAAGGTGTCTAGCAATCTCGCAGCAAACAGTGTCTCGGCTTGGCCATAGAGCGGGATCCCATCGGGTAGCGGCTCGGAGAGTGATGTTGTTGCTCCGGCTTGTTCGATGTCGGCGATGGTCCATTCCTTGAGCACGAGTGTCTGGCGGAGAAAGTCAGTCCATTGAAGGCGCGTGTCGAATGTACAATTCAACTTTGTGTTTCAAGTATGCGAATAGCTGATAGGCTGGCGCCAAATCAATCGCGGAAGCTCGAAAACACAAAGAAGAAATTATACCGGTGTCGAGGCGGCGTCACAAAACATTCGGTGTCGACGTGTGGCTGTAGAGTGGCCCGAAACGTCGCCGAGTGACTTCGTAGGCGCCCAAAGAACGATGTAGTAGTTCACAGCTTCCACAAAGTCGATGCTGCATGGCCACGGGCGCTTGATGTCTGTCGATTTGCAGCGCGCTTGTTGCATCGTGTCCATTTGTCGCTGTTTCCTGGCTGCAAAATAAAGATTTGATGACGAGGAAACAGGGCGGAAACAGGAACGGCTGGTTGGACAAGCGTTGAACTTGTAGTGGCGCGGGACGGGCGTGAAGAGCGGCGATGGCGGCTGGGGCTGTTCTTGATGGAAGTTGAAGCAGCTTCAGCTTGACTTGGTGTCTTGGCCATGGCTCATCAGCGCGTGCAGCAAAAGCGGCGGCGGCAGCAAGTGTCTTTGAAGGAAGCGATGTCTCACTGGCATCGTGTGTCGCAAATGCTATGCCAAAAAGAGAGGAAGGCTCTAATCGGCACAGCAAAATTGACGAAAGAATTTATAAAGCAAAACTCCATATTGAAACAATGAGAAAACGATACGAAAAGAATGAAAAGACGAATGACAATACCCGAAAATTAGACGTAGTTCTAGAACGAAGACGTTTTTCGGGCAAGCAAACGAAATTTCAAAATTTCGAATCACTTTGGCCAACTTTAGCGAACGAATCGTAAGTGGCTCACTCAAAATTTCAAAATGAGCTTACTTTTACAAATCCGAGTGTCGCTTCGTCGACTAGAGAATAGTAGCATCCGAATATCGCGGTGTGCACGCCGGAACTTCATCAGCAACCATTCATCATCGACGATCGCATCCGCGCAGCATTGGTCGCTTCTTCTTCCTTGAGCGTTGGGCATCGGGCTGGGCACGGGCGAGGTGTCGCTTTGGCGTAAACGCCGATTGTCGCTTTGGCATAAAGCCGGGTGTCGCTTTGGCGTAAACGCCGAGTGTCGCTTGGCAAAAAATGCCGGTGTCGGGTGGCAAAAAGCCAGTGTCGAAAAACCAATGTCGCTTTGGCACGAATGCCGGTGTCGTAAGGCAGAAAAAAGAAAAGCGGTGTCTCGGGGAAAAATCCGGTACAAAACGTACGCAAAATGTGAAATGGAGAAATTCACAACGGAGAAGAAATGCGAAAAAGTCGAGCGGCAAAAGGGAATCCGCGAGAAAAAGACGAAATTGGGCGGTGAAAATTTTCAGCGGTCGGTGTTCATCGGTTTGTGGCGTACGGTGGGTGATCCACGGTATATCAGCACCAATTTGAGCGTTGTTGAGCGGCTTTCTTGCATCCATTGGACCATTGAGCTCGTTTCCTCGCACAAATTCCTTGTTGTTGATGTCTTCTTGGCATTTGCAGCACGGGTTGTCGTGGGGGGCCGTCCTGAATGGTGAAGTGTAGTGAAAAAGTGAAACGAAAAGACAAAAATTCCTATCATATCGCCCTTTCACCATCCATTGAGGCAGTGTCGCACAGAGTCGAGTGTCGCCAAACCATGCCATCACCGATGTCGCCTCCAAAACATCCCCAGGATGTCCAAACTACACCTTATATTGTTCTGCTCCTCCTTCTCTCATATCAGATTCTTGTCGGGGTTCCTTCTTGTCTTGAGCACATCAGTTGAGGTTGTTGAGCGCTTGATCCTTGAAGTCAGCTTCCTCCCCGTGGTCGTCCCCGCCTTGGCGAACCAAGTCACGCGTCGGACTGGGGTCCCTTCCACGAATTGACCGTGGTCGTACGCTCTCAATCGGCACTGCAGTCCATCGAGCTGGTAGGAAGTGTCGATGCGCATTCGACGAACTTCTTGGGGCAAACGGGTGTCTCATGCGCTTTTGCCTGGCCGGGCAAAGCGCGCCTCAACGAGTGTCGCGGAAAAAAGAAAACAGAAAGTGGAGAAAACCGTAAATAATAAAGAGATAAACCTAGAAGAGGGATAAAGGTAGAATTTGAAAGGTGAACAATACAAAAAGACGATCTTGACCAGGGTATTCACAACGGCCGACGCACCATGTCGAAAGTATTGTGGAGAATTGCCCTATCCCTCAGTATAGTTGCCACCAATTCTCTTCGACCCATAAAGCCTCCTACCCTCGGATCATCGGAGTTCAGTGGGACCTGGATTTGGGCCTTCTGCTAGCCCCACAGGTCATGAATAAGATCGTATGTATTGAACACGGGTAGAAATAGTAATACGGTTTATTGAGGGTTATTAGAGAACGGGTAGGATAATTGTTAGAAAGGATAAGAGGTGAGAAAGAGAGAACAATAATGGGGTGTCGAAAGGGATCCGGGTGTCTCAGAGAGCCACCGGATAAAGGGTGGAAAGGTGAGCTGTCTACTCCACGCTTAGCCAGCTCAATAGAGTGGTAGCGGAAGCGTAGTGAACAGGCATAAGCCCGATACACTACACGACACCGTTGGGGACGGCACTCCCGTAGACGGATAAATCCCAGAGGGCCGAACCGGCGGGAGGGATATTCCGCCCCAGCGGGGGCTCGGTCTACGGTAGGAAAATGGGTGGCGCGCTGCGGGACCCGCCACATCCACGGGATAGAAAGGATGCCTCGAAACTATTCCCGAATTACACATAAAAGTGTGAATCGGGGATAGAAGTTTCGACATGCGTCTTATGGATACGATTATAGCTTTGATGTTATTATCTACGCTCGTCAAATTCGGGGGCAATCTGATTCAAAATTATGGTGACTTCCAGCTCAAAATCGAAGATCACCCTATTCCAAAATCGAAGTTTAGAAATCTTCTTAAAATTTTTGCGACGCGAAATTGCTTTAATCTTTGCATAGTTTTATTCAACTGATGGCACTGACTTATTGCTCAAAATATCCCTACGACCCCACCTTCCAAAATTTTTTTACGCAACCTCGAATTCGGTTTATTTCGGGTTTTGATGAATTTTCTTGGCGCCAACGCCTGGTTAAAAAAATTAATGAATAAGGCTTTAGGATGCGCTATTCAAATTATATCAGATAAAAATAAAACGAAAATTTTCAAAGCGCGACTAAATTTTATAAAATGGTGACAATATTCGGAAA